ATAGTCGCCAAAAATATTACGAATATGCCATCTGAAAATAAATTTGCTCAAATCGGTGCTTAATGGACTTATCATCCGTGGAGAATATGATCAATAGACTTCATTATCGATGGAGAATAGCCTCATCCTGTTTCCGTGATCTGTAGCCTCCAGAATCAAAAGAAAATGGCATTTCAGAAAAATAGCTTGAAATCAGTGATGGTACCCCTTTGGAATCTGCCAAAAATTGACCCGGAATAAATTCGCCCAAATTCATGCTTAATGACTCAATCAACGTTGGAAAATAGCCTCAGGCCAAATTCGTGATCTGTAGCCTTCAATATCCAAAGAAAATGGCCTTTAGTCGCCCAAAAAATTACGAAAATGCCATCCAAAAATAAATCAGCCCAAATCGGTGCTTAATTGACTTATCATCCGTGGAGATTAGGATCAATAGACTTCAATATTGGTGGAGAATAGCCTTGGCCTAATTCTGTGATCTGTAGCCTCTAGAATTGAAAGAAAATGACATTTCGAAAAAATCGTCCGAAATCGGTGATGGTACCCCTTTGCAATCTGCCAGAAATTGACCAGGAATAAATCCGCCAGATTCGGTGCTTAATGGACTGAATCATCGTTGGAGTATAGCCTCAGGCCGAATCAGTGATCTGTAGCCTTCAATATCCAAAGAAAATGGCCTTTCGTCGCTAAAATATTACGAAAATTCCATCCGAAAATAAATTAGCCCAAATCGGTGCGTAATTGAATTATCATCTGTGGTGATAAGGATCAATAGACTTCAATATCGGTGGAGAATAGCCTCGGCCTAATTATGTGATCTGTAGCCTCTAGAATTGAAAGAAAATGACATTTCGGAAAAATAGCCCGAAATCGGTGATGGTGCCCCCTTTGCAATCTGCCAAAAATTGAACCGGAATAAATCCGCCATATTCGGTGCTTAATGGACTCAATCATCGTTGGAGAATAGCCACAGGCCGAATCCGTGATCTGTAGCCTTCAATATCCAAAGAAAATGGCATATCGTCGCCCAAAATATTACGAAAATGCCAACCGAAAATAAATTGGCTCAATTCCGTGTTTCATGGACTTATCATCCATGGAGAATATGATCAATTGACTTCATTATCGATGGAGAATAGCCTCGGCCTGATTCCGTGATCTGTACCCTCCAGAATCAAAAGAAAATGGCATTTCGGAAAAGTCGCTCGAAATCTGTGATGGTGCCCCTTTGGAATCTGCCAAGAATTGACTCGGAATAAATCCGCCCAAATTGCTGCTTAATGGACTCAATCATCGTTGGAGATTAGCCTCAGGCCGAATCCATGATCTGTAGTCTTCAATATCCAAAGAAAATGGCCTTTCATCGACCAAAAAATTTCGAAAATGCCATCCGAAAATAAATTAGCACAAATCGGGGCTTAATTGACTTATCATCCGTGGAGATTATGATCAATATACTTCAATATCGGTGGAGAATAGCCTCGGCCTAATTCTGTGATCTGTAGCCTCCAGAATTGAAAGAAAATGGCATTTCGGAAAAATCGCCCGAAATCTGTGATGGTAACCCTTTGGAATCTGCATAAAATTGACCAGGAATAAATCCAAGCAAATCGGTGCTTAATGGACTCAATCATCGTTGGAGAATAGCCACTGGCCGAATCCGAGATCTGTAGCCTTAAATATCCAAAGAAAATGGCCTATCGTCGCACAAAATATTATGAAAATGCCATCCGAAAATAAATTGGCTTAAATCGGTATTTCATGGACTTATCATCCGTGGAGAATATGATCAATAAACTTCATTATCGAAAATGGCCTAATTCCGTGATCTGTACCCTCCAGAATCAAAAGAAAATGGCATTTCGGAAAAATCGCCCGAAATCTGTGATGGTTACCCCTTTGGAATATGCAAAAAATTGACCCGGAATAAATCCAAGCAAATCGATGCTTAATGGACTCAATCATCGTTGGAGAATAGCCTCATGCCGAATCCGTAATCTGTAGCCTGAAATATCCAAAGAAAATGGCCTATCGTCGCCCAAAATATTATGAAAATGCCATCCGAAAATAAATTGGCTCAAATCGTTGTTTCATGGACTTATCATTCGTGGAGAATATGATCAATAAACTTTATTATCGATGGAGAATAGCCTCGGCCTGATTTCGTGATCTGTACCCTCCAGAATCAAAAGAAAATGGCATTTCGGAAAAATCGCTCGAAATCTGCCATCCGAAAATAAATTACCAAAATCGGTGCTTAATTGACTAATCATCTGTGGAGATTAGGATCAATAGATTTCAATATCTGTGGAGAATAGCCTCGGCCTAATTCTATGATCTGTAGCCTCTAGAATTGAAAGAAAATGGCATTTCAAAAAAAATATCTCGAAATCGGTTATGGTACCCCTTTGCAATCTGCCAAAAATTGACCCAGAATAAATCCCCCCAAATCGGTGTTTAATGGACTCAATCATCGTTGGAGAATAACCTCAGGCCGAATCCGTGATCTGTAGCTTTCAATATCCAAAGAAAATGGCCTATAGGTGCCCAAAATATTACGAATATGCCATCCGAAAATAAATTGGCTCAAATCGGTGTTTCATGGACTTATCATCCATGGAGAATATGATCAATAGACTTCATTATCGATGGAGAATAGCCTCGGCCTGATTCCGTGATCTGTACCCTCCAGAATCAAAAGAAAATGGAATTTCGGAAAAATCGCTCGAAATCTATGATGGTACCCCTTTGGAATCTGCCAAGAATTTACTCGGAATAAATCCGCCCAAATTGCTGCTTAATGAACTCAATCATCGTTGGAGATTAGCCTCAGGCCGAATCCATGATCTGTAGCCTTCAATGTCCAAAGAAAATGGCCTTTCGTCGACCAAAAAATTTCGAAAATGCCATCCGAAAATAAATTGGCTCAAATCGGTGTTTCATGGACTTATCATCTGTGGAGAATATGATCAATAGACTTCATTATCAATGGAGAATAGACTCGGCCTGATTCCGTGATCTGTACCCTCCAGAATCAAAAGAAAATGGCATTTCGGAAAAATAGCCCGAAATCTGTGATGATACCCCTTTGGAATCTGCCAAAAATTGACCCGGAATAAATCCGCCCAAATCCCTGCATAATGACTCAATCAACGTTGGAGAATAGCCTCAGGCCGAATCCGTGATCTGTAGCCTTCAATATCCAAAGAAAATGGCCTTTCGTCGCCAAAAATATTACGAAAATGCCGTCAGAAATAAATTAGCCCAAATCGGTGCTTAATTGACTTATCATCTGTGGAGATTAGGATCAATAGACTTCAATATCGGTGGTGAATAGCCTCGGCCTAATTATGCGATCTGTAGCCTCTAGAATTGAAAGAAAATGGCATTTCCGAAAAATAGCCCGAAATCGGTGATGAGCTCCCTTTGCAATCTGCCAAAAATTGAACCGGAATAAATCCGCCATATTCGGTGCTTAATGGACTCAATCATCGTTAGAGAATAGCGACAGGCCGAATCCGTGATCTGTAGCCTTCAATATCCAAAGAAAATGGCCTATCGTCGCCCAAAATATTACGAAAATGCCAACTGAAAATAAATTGGCTCAAATCGGTGTTTCATGGACTTATCATCCATGGAGAATATGATCAATAGACTTCATTATCGATGGAGAATAGCCTCGGCCTGATTCCGTGATCTGTACCCTCCAGAATCAAAAGAAAATGGAATTTCGGAAAAATCGCTTGAAATCTGTGATGGTACCCCTTTAGAATCTGCCAAGAATTGACTCGGAATAAATCCGCCCAAATTGCTGCTTAATGGACTCAATCATCGTTGGAGATTAGCCTCAGGCCGAATACGTGATCTGTAGCCTTCAATATCCAAAGAAAATGGACTTTCGTCGACCAAAAAATTTCGAAAATGCCATCCGAAAATAAATTAGCCCAGGGTTTAATTGACTTATCATCTATGGAGATTAGGATCAATAGACTTCAATATCGGTGGAGAATAGCCTCGGCCTAATTCTATGATCTGTAGCCTCCAGAATTGAAAAAAAAATGGCATTTCGTAAAAATAACCCGAAATCGGTTATGGTACCCCTTTGCAATCTGCCAAAAATTGATCCGGAATAAATCTGCCATATTCGGTGCTTAATGGACTCAATCATCGTTGGAGAATAGACTCAGGCCGAATCCGTGATCTGTAGCCTTCAATATCCAAAGAAAATGGTCTACCATCGCCAAAAATATTACGAATATGCCATCCGAAAATAAATTGGCTCAAATCAGTGCTTAATGGACTTATCATCCGTGGAGAATATGATCAATATACTTCATTATCGATGGAGAATAGCCTCGGCCTGATTCCGTGATCTGTAGCCTCCAGAATCAAAAGAAAATGGCATTTCGGAAAAATCGCCCGAAATCTGTGATGGTACCCCTTTGGAATCTGCCAAAAATTGACACGGAATAAATTCGCCAAAATCGCTGCTTAATGGACTCAATCATCGTTGGAGTATAGCCTCAAGCCGAATCCGTGATCTGTAGCCTTCAATATCCAAAGAAAATGGCCTTTCGTTGCCAAAACTATTACGAAAATGCCATCCGAAAATAAATTATCCCAAATCGGTGCTTAATTGACTTATCATCTGTGGAGATTAGGATCAATAGACTTCTATATCGGTGGAGAATAGCCTCATCCTAATTATGTGATCTGTAGCCTCTAGAATTGAAAAAAAAAATGGCATTTCGGAAAAATAACCCAAAATCGGTGATAGTACCCCTTTGCAATCTGCCAAAAATTGATCCGGAATAAATACGCCATATTCGGTGCTTAATGGACTCAATCATCGTTGGAGAATAGCCACAGGCCGAATCCGTGATCTGTAGCCTTCAATATCCAAAGAAAATGGACTTTCGTCGACCAAAAAATTATGAAAATGCCATCTGAATATAAATTGGGCCAAATAGGTGCTTAATGGACTTATCATCCGTGGGGAATAGGATCAATTGACTTCATTATCGATGGAGAATAGCCTCGGCCTGATTCGATGATTTGTAGCCTCCAGAATCTTAAGAAAAATGACATTTCAGAAAAATCGCTCAAAATCAGTGATGGTACCCCTTTGCAATCTGCCAAAATTGACCCAGACTAAATCCACCCAAATCGGTGCTTAATGGACTCAATCATCGTTGGAGAATAGCCTCAGGCCGAATCCGTGATCTGTAGCCTTCAATATCCAAAGAAAATGGCCTATAGGTGCCCAAAATATTACGAATATGCCATCCGAAAATAAATTGGCTCAAATCGGTGCTTAATGGACTTATCATCCGTGGAGAATATGATCAATAGATTTCATTATCGATGGAGAATAGCCTTGTCCTGTTTCCGTGATCTGTAGCCTCCAGAATCAAAAGAAAATGGCATTTCGGAAAAATAGCCCGAAATCTGTGATGGTACCCCTTTGGAATCTGCCAAAAATTGACCAGGAATAAATCCGCCCAAATCCATGTTTAATGACTCAATCAAAGTTGGAGAATAGCCTCAGGCCGAATCCATGATCTGTAGCCTTCAATATCCAAAGAAAATGGCCTTTCGTCGCCCCAAAAATTACGAAAATGTCATTCAAAAATAAATTAGCCCAAATCGGTGTTTAATTAACTTATCATCTGTGGAGATTAGGATCAATAGACTTCAATATTGGTGGAGAAAATCCTTTGCCTAATTATGTGATCTGTAGCCTCTAGAATTGAAAGAAAATGGGATTTCGGAAAAATCGGCCGAAATCGGTGATGGTACCCCTTTGCAATCTGTCGAAAATTGACCAGGAATAAATCTGCCATATTCGGTGCTTAATGGACTCAATTATCGTTGGATAATAGCCTCAGGCCGAATCCGTGATCTGTACCCTTCAATATCCAAAGAAAATGGCTTATCGTCGCCCAAAATATTATGAAAATGCCATCCGAAAATAAATTGGCTCAAATCGGTGTTTCATGGACTTATCATCTGTGGAGAATATGATCAATAGACTTCATTATGGATGGAGAATAGACTCGGCCTGATTCCGTGATCTGTACCCTCCAGAATCAAAAGAAAATGGCATTTCGGAAAAATAGCCCGAAATCTGTGATGGTACCCCTTTGTAAACTGCCAAAAACTGACCCGGAATGAATCCGCCCAAATCCCTGCATAATGACTCAATCAACGTTGGAGAATAGCCTCAGGGCGAATCCGTGATCTGTAGCCTTCAATATCCAAAGAAAATGGCCTTTCGTCGCCAAAAATATTACGAAAATGCCATCAGAAAATAAATTAGCCCAAATCAGTGCTTAATTGACTTATCATTTGTGGAGATTAGGATCAATAGACTTCAATATCGGTGGAGAATAGCCTCGGCCTAATTATGTCATCTGTAGCCTCTAGAATTGAAAGAAAATGGTATTTCGGAAAAATAGCCCGAAATCGGTGATGGTAGCCCATTGCAATCTGCCAAAAATTGACTAGGAATAAATCCGCCATATTCGGTGCTTAATGGACTCAGTCATCGTTGGAGAATAGACTCACGCCGAATCTGTGGTCTGTAGCCTTCAAGATCCAAAGAAAATGGCTACCGTCGCCAAAAATATTACGAATATGCCATCTGAAAATAAATTGGCTCAAATAGGTGCTTAATGGACTTATCATCCGTGGAGAATATGATCAATACACTCATTATCGATGGAGAATAGCCTCAGCCTGATTCCGTGATCTCTAGCCTCCAGAAACAAAAGAAAATGGCATTTCGGAAAAATCGCCCGAAATCTGTGATGATACCCCTTTGGAATCTGCCAAAAATTTACCCGGAATAAATCCGCCGAAATCGCTGCTTAATGGACTCAATCATCGTTGGAGTATAGCCTCAGGCCGAATCCGTGATCTGTAGCCTTCAATATCTAAAGAAAATGGCCTTTCGTCGACAAAAATATTACGAAAATGCCATCAGAAAATAAATTAGCTCAAATCGGTGCTTAATTGACTTATCATCTGTGGAGATTAGGATCAATAGACTTCAATATCGGTGGAGAATAGCCTCGTCCTAATTATGTGATCTCTAGCCTCTAGAATTGAAAGAAAATGGCATTTCGGAAAAATAACCCGAAATCGGTGATGCTTTGCAATCTGCCAAAAATTGACCCGGAATAAATCCGTCATATTCGGTGCTAATCGACTCAATCATCGTTGGAGAATATCCACAGGCCAAATCCATTATCTGTAGCCTTCAATATCCAAAGAAAATGGACTTTCGTCGACCAAAAAATTACGAAAATGCCATCCGAAAATAAATTGGGCCATATCGGTGCTTAATGGACTTATCATCCCTGGGGAATCGGATCAATAGACTTCATTATCGGTGGAGAATAGCCTCGGCCTGATTCGGTGATCTGTAGCCTCCAGAATCTAAGAAAATGACATTTCAGAAAAATCGCTCAAAATTAGTGATGGTACCCCTTTGCAATCAGCCAAAAATTGACCCAGAATAAATCCACCCAAATCGGTGCTTATTGGACTCAATCATCGTTGGAGAATAGCCTCAGGCCAAATCCGTGATCTGTACCCTTCAATATCCAAAGAAAATGGCCTATAGTCGCCCAAAATATTACGAATATGCCATCCGAAAATAAATTGGCTCAAATCGGTGCTTAATGGACTTATCATCCGTGGAGAATATGATCAATAGACTTCATTATCGATGGAGAATAGCCTCGTCTTGTTTCCGTGATCTGTTCATGCCAGTTGTTGCCATTCTCTGGCGAATTTGGCGGTCTCGTAACTGGGTTGTCTTTGAAGGAAAGCAATTCGGGATCCCTGCGTTGATGCGCCAGTTTAACCAGCAATATGAGGGGTGGGTTGGGTTGCCAGTGGATCGTGCTCCGCAGGTCTCTGTCCCTTTGGTACAGCACCCGAGTCCGATGAGGGCTAATATGGTTGTTTGTATGTGGGATGGAACTACTAGAGGCGGGTCTCACTCGGCAGGCGGGATGGTTCTCATGGACCCAAATAGGGATGTCCTTATGGTTAAAAGGGTTCAGTTTCCGTGTATTGATGACCCTCTGGTGGTCGAATTACTTGTGCTACGGGATGCTATTTTGTGGAGTCTTGGCCATGGGTTCACAGACATAAGGTTTGAAGGAGATGCCAAAGTGATAATTGATAAGATTAATCAGGCTGATACCAGCGACAATCGGATGGGGGTTGTTCTTCAAGAAGTCCTACATTACTTTGCTATCCACACTGCGTTTAGTGTTTTTTCTTATGGAACACTACGTTTAGTGTTCGATTTGTAGGTCGGTGTAATAATAGGGTAGCCCATAGGGTGATTCGAAAGGTCCTTTCTTTGTCCCCGACTACGAGTCGTTTTTTTTACTTTCATGCCTGGCTGAACTCCAGGATTTAACTATCTCTTATGAATCAATATATGATGATTTTTTTTTTAAAGGACATAATTCAGGATTTGAGGTCAACACATATAGTCATTATTCTCTTACCTATAGTGAATCAAAGAAACTCGAGAAGGGACATAATTCACAACTAGAAACGCTCGCACATCCCAACTGTTCAGCGCAACAGTTTCTCCGGTCTGGAGACGACGGGCAATGAACTCCGGATCAAGGTACCAATCATGGCCCCCTAGCCAGTTGGAATCTCTGGCATCGTAGAAAAACAGGAAACTCGTGGAACTTCCCCAGAAACGATAGTAGTCGGTCACAATCGGAACGACAAACAACTTGGTCCACGATTCCGGCACCCATAACTTGAGCAACGCCCAAATCTCGAAACAGGAGCCGCTCTGATCATCAGCACCAGTAGAACAACAAACCGCGGCCAGGGAATGATCTCCCAGCTGGCTCGGGGGCAACTCGAGTAAGGAACGAACTCTCCAGACCTCAGCAGCAGCAGCAGGCTTCGCCACATCCACTATCTCAAACACTTCCCTGCTCAGATCAAACGAAGCGAACCGAGTAGTCTGACCAGTCTCCCCTCGCGGGTATGTAATTTCGGTCCACCAATACAACTTCCCCTTACAGAACCGAGGGACCTCGTAATCTGGAAGTTGCGGAAGAAAACTGCGCTCGGAAGACGGTTGACCGACACCGACATCGATTCTTTTCCACGAATCGTTACTCAAGCTGTATACCTCCTCAAAATGATGGTCCCAACACGCTTGATCGTAAATCATACCGACTTTTCCATAGTCGATAATTTGTCTCACGACTTTGTAGTCATTCGATTCTGGATCGAAACCAAGCCCAACGATACGAACCCAACCGGCTGATTCACCGTAGAGGGTAGGCGGCAAGACCTTGATCTCTGACGTGGCCGGGTTCCAAAGAATCAGAGCCGTCGCTTGGGTGGGATCACGGCTGCAACCATGATATCCCATGCACATGAGGCCATTGCAGTACCCGACGATGCGGTAGTTGTCCGAATCGAAGGGTGACTCGGCCTCGAGGAGCGGTTCGAGTGTGTTGCGAGAGTGGAGAGTGTACAATAATGATGCCGCACACTTGTTATTCTTGACGATCATGGTTAGCGGATAAGTAGAGTAGTCCGGATTTTCGGCGGCGGAGAAGAGTTTGTGGCGAGTGAAGGAGGGATCGGAAATTAGAGCGCACCATTGTTTGGAGACGCAGCGGAATCGGACGATGCAGCTGGCGAGTGGAAGCCTCCCCAGAATATCGATCTGCACGTCCGCCGAGATTTCCTTAATGATCTGCATGGCGCCGCCTCCAGGGAATCGATTCGAAGGGCGCGGCTGGCTGAGAAAGAAAAGCTAGGTAGGCGATCTATAAACCCTAGGTTGTACGTTTTTTTCTTCTTCTTCTTGTTTTAACGGTGTTGTTAATCAACTCGATCATTTAGTTAGGATTACATAAGAGATCGTATAATAGAAGTTGACTATTGGATGGGTAAAAAGAGATCTGGATAGGCCCAAGAAACGAAAGCCTGGGTCCTTCTTTGTTTCTGCTTGTGTTTACTCTTGAACAAGGATGGTAAACGGGTGGGTCAAAAGAATCGGCCAAACATTGTAAGGGACCGTCTTCAAAATCGGTGAATAATATAATTTTAAAATTTGTGAATAATTGCATTAAAAAAATTGGTCAAAATCTGTGATAGATAACCTTCAAAATAAGTGAATTATAGCATTCCCAAAAAAAGACAAAAGTTTCTGAGGATAGCCTTCCAAATCGGTGAATAATAGCACTCAAAAACATTTGCCAAAATCTATGATGGATAGCAATCAAAATTGGTGAATAATTGCATTCAAAAGAATCGCCAAAATATGTGATGGATAGCTTTCAAAACATGTGAAAAATAGCATTCCCCAAAATTGGCCAAAATCTGTGATAGTTAGCCTTCAATCAGTTACAAATAGCATTCTAAAAAATGGCCTGAATATGTGGTGGATAGCCTTCAAAATGGGTGAAAAATAGCATTCTCAAAAATCGGCCAAAATCTGTGACGGATAGCCTTCAAAATTTGTGAATAATAACATTCATAAAAATCGGTCAATGATTCGGCGTGACTGTACATCTTTTACCCTTTTATATCTTTGATTATTTGACTTGGTAATCTTGTTCCTCGACCCATTTTACGCTAGCTAGGTTATGCTTCTTTCGCCACATTTTGAGTCCTAGTACGTGTGGGAAGTTGGGGGCAGGTTATGGGACATTCGAAGGTCGAAACAAGCCAAAAAATGGTTGGCGATATAAAAATTAGACAACTTTGAAGACGTGTTGAATTGATCTGTGTTGGTAAGTCGACCCAACAGTATTAAGAATATCAATAGAAAGTAAGAAGTTAGATGGATAATTTACTGAGCAAATAAGTTTCAGTGATGAAACTAATGCATGCATATCTACATGAATGTATATGTATGTAGGTAGATGTAATTAAGTTAAAAGTAATGTGTGACATTAATTATTTCTACCCTATAAAGCCATATAAATTACAGACCAGTTACCCATACATACGTTATATACGTATCTATATACCATTCCCCCCTCAGTCGTCTAACGCACGCGAGCTTAATTAAGGTTATATGAAAATGGCTCGAGCGTGCTCATAATACATACATACATACATATATATATATATATATATTCACAGAAGGGAGTTGGAGGGATCCAAAGCGAACTCCACCACAGATCTAAGCTCGTCGAAATCCCCTAAAGGTAATAGCTGATCTTCATCACGATGATGATGATGATGATGATGGACGTTATTAATGTTATTATGCTCGCTGCCGTACGGGCTCGACGTGTTGGACGAGGAAGCTGCCATGGACGACGACGACGGGAATGATGCGGCAGCAGCTGCGACGTGGCTGCTGACGAGGGCGGCTGGGGATGGCTTCATGTCCACGTGGTGGTGGGGGCCAGCAGAGAAGTCGATGAGGTGTTGGCCACGTGTGTAGTAATTACCTGACGAGGATGAGGTGTAGTAGTTGTAATTGGAGGATTCCATTAACGTGGTACTACTGCTACTGCATGGGATGTTGTTGTTGTTGTTGTTGGAAGTGGTGGCGGTGGCGGTGGTAGAAGTGAGGGTGTAATTTGTGGCGGGGCGTTTGGATGACGTGGACAGCTCCCTCCAGTCTGGAGTGTACTTTCTGTTGGAGGAACTTCTCTTGAAGATTCGGCAGATTGTCCATACCTCCTGTATGTATTCAAGTACAAACGGTAATTAAGATCGAAGGAATCCTAGCATGGAAGGATCGTTTCGTCTTAAGAACTCAAGAAGACCGGTAAACGTGTTGATTTGTCTTTTGAACAATGATAATAAATAAAAAAAAGAGCTAGCTCATTGTATGGATCCTAATTTAATTATTATCACGATTGAATCAAGCTAGGCAGCTTCCTTTCATCACCGATCCTTAAAAATAAAAAGTAAACTATGACAAAAAGATTTAAAGTCAGATAAATTATTAGATCTTCGTCAATTATCGAATTTGAACAAAAATACGTCTATCTAGTAGCGATTACTTTTGTTCATGACAAGAACTAGATTGCACACACGTGAATTAACCATAATCTTATAGATACCCGATAATCCAATAGAAAGAAACAAAATGAAATATGCACAACATATATAGTATTGATTGTGGATGACCATCAAGAGATCTAGGTTACTCTACAAGACCTGAACTTACAATTAGCACTTCTCTCTTTAATAAAAGTACTAGCTAGAAAATAATAAGAATACAACTTCCACCATATTTTAGAGATGTTAGCAGGATATCAAATACTTACAGCTTCTTGGGTGGAGGCCGAGGAGGAGGAGGCGACGTGGGCAAAAATGACGTTGGTAGCGGCGGCGGCAGTAGTTTCCGGGGTGGGAAGGCGGAATTCATGCATCATCCAGTCTGTCTTGGTGCCTTTCCCGGCGCTTCCGCGGTAGTAAACTAACGTCTTCTTCAGCCCAATGCAGTCTTTCGATCCACCCGCTGAGTAGACCGGCTTGTCGATCCCGGTTGCTTTCCAGAACCCAGACCCGGTCACCCGGTTGGGCCGGATGCTGTTCCTGTACTTCCTCCCCCTCCTGCAGAAGAAGTATCCCTCTTTGTCCCCATCCCCACTTGGCCCTGCAATCATTATTGAAATTGACCATCATATAGAACAAAGAAGCTTGAGAAATCGACCATCATATACATACATGTATGCACAACAAAATTGATAGTACAAGTGTACGATCACACACCAAATTTGAACTTTGCACATTGTACCATGACCTCAAATTAGTTGCTAGCATCGGATTATAATGAATCTAACGTCGTACAAGACCTTTGGTAGGCCAAATGGAGGAAATATGTGCATGTTTGACAACTCCTCTATCGAAGGATTGACCATTCAAAATGATCAATGATTGATTGTTGTCAAATTGAGAATCGCATGATAGGAAATCCACGAATCGATAAGATCCCAATAACATTTGCTTATTCCCTGCTGCAAGTATAATCAAAACCCTGATATGCTTGGACTACTATTACTCAGTTACATCCTAATTTTAACGGTAGCAACCGTCATTCATAAAATAAAATAAAAACGGTACCAGCAGTTGAGTTTACATCGATTTTCCTCAGTATGTAGAGAGAAAACCTAATACAACTAACATGGATCTGCATGAACCCTAGGGATTATGATGATGAGCTCGATTGATATATATGCATGGACTTGGTCAACAATAGAAAACCCTAGTTCATCCCTAAACCATAAAATTAGTTAATCAAGGAGAAGAAATTATGAATTACTTGGTAGATCCCAGGGATCGTATTTGTAGATATCAACTTGCTTGATGAGCTCGATGGTAAGGGGCTTGTTGTCCACCTTCCTCCGTAGGTAGAAGCCCAGCAGCTCTTCATCGGTAGGGTGGAATCGGAACCCGGGAAGCGAAACGTCGTCGTCGTCATCGTCTTCTACTCCCTCTTCTCCTTCCCCACCTTCTTCTTCCTTTCTGTGTTCATCAGCATCATCGCAGCAAGCAGTATAAGTACTAGTATTCATTTCTGTTGGCCTGGTTTTCCTTTTTCGGTTTTGCTGGTTTAGTCTTGAACTCGAAGAGGATAATAAGGCCAGATATGAAACGTTCGAGAAAGGAATATTGAATGAGTGAAATGAATGAAGAAAATTGGTGGGCGGTTAGCTGCTCTATATAGGGCGCCCGCCCACTTGCATTGAACAGAAGCTAGATTTTCAAACCGGAGAAGACAGCAAAAGTTATGTCTCTAATTAAAGCGCTTTTTTAATGGCTTATTATCATTTGAGTCCCCATACTATCTTGTTTTACTAAATATATCCTCATGTAATGCTTTTTAACAAATAAGTATTGTACTATGTAATTTACCCATTTTAGTCCATTTGCTAAAGATTTATGAGCTTATGTTACGCATGCATGCACACACGCATGTCTCCTTGGTTACTCACATGTCATGCATATTCAAATGATATCTTTTGTCCGATAGTTTGACATCAATAATCAGTCTTAATCCCGTTAAACTCTAAATGACGAATGCACATGCACCCGTAAACAAGAAAAAGGATACGTGGGTTTGGAACTCTAATATAGGTGAACAATTGGAAATTTCAAGCTTTCAATCAGTTGAATCATACAATGGATAAAAAATTAACGAAGGGATAAAAAATGGATAAACGGCAAAGGATATAAGGTGCTTAATTCTTCGTTTAAGTTAAAGGATACAAGGATGTGTTTGTCAAAATAACATAGTATAGGGAGTAGAAGCATATGATTTGTTTTCTTGGTGACTTTTATTTGGGCTTGATATCATTTCATACTTTCTAATTAATTGTAAGATGGTGAGTGAGTGAGGGAAGAGAGTTTGGTTGGTTTGATTTGCTCCAAGTCAAGTCATGAAGTTTGACTATGGAGAGTTTTCAATGATGTTGATGGATATTTGCTTTTATGGCTATGTGTGTGGTCTTAATTAATTTTTGTTTTCGTCTTTGGAAAGAGTCCTCTTTTCTTCCTTCGCTAGCTTTCCGTTCCTCTAATGTCTATCCTCTCTGACTTTTTTTAATTATTTAGTTGCCATCACAGACCTCACCAATTCTTAATGTCTCTTAATAGTATTATTTGATTCTCTACTAGAACCTAAAGCATGAAAAGTTAACAACTCTAATGCTTATTTTTATGATTCAGTTCGTGCAAAAAATAATAGTTATGTACTTACAATAGATGCATAGAAATGTTTTAATGTTCCTAATTAAGTTTATTGAACAGTTTTGGAGGGTTGCAGCATGCATGTTATCAACTTTGAGCCAACAATTATCCAACAAAAATTTGTGTTACATATTCAAAATGATATCTAATACCGAAACGGTCAATCTTTTAGTAACATAGTCCTAATAAATTAATCATAATCACTTAGTTTTTCGTAGATGATGATAACCATCGACAACTTATTGAACGATCCTAATTACTCTTTGGTATTCTTTCCGACGGGCGACGGTCCCACTACCAAAATTTTGATTCTGTCATGTTTCCAAAAACAGCATCAATTTCTAGTTTAGACGCCAATTCCAGCTTAGTAGCTTACGTATATTATGCCAAACCTTAGTTTTTCTTTAGCTCAAGAAATTGAATCACCTTGGAGGCGGCGAGCCTATCTACTTGTTATCCTTCTACGTACTTTGGTTCCTTCAAACTAAATTGTCCCAAACTTTTTATCACTTGTGGGGAGATTGCGGTGGAAACTAATTAATTCTTCTCAATTATTTGAAATGCGAGAGTTGGGTAATAAATTTCAATTTTTTATAGATGTATTAATTATAATGTTGCTAAATTGTTCGAGAATTTTTAGGAATCTAATTATATTCATGATATCTTGATCGTCACAATTATTGCACTATATAAAAAATAAACCTGGTTTGATTAATAAATTGATTGAAACCATTGAAACATGAACAGTACATACATACCCTTCCCAAAAAATATCGTTTTCTCCCTTCTTGTAACCTCAAATGGTTAGAAATTATGTAGTTTGAGAATCTACATACATTTAAAACAGTACCTCATTTTCCCACACAAATAAAATTCAGAAAATATGTACATTTCGTACCATTGGAACAAGAAAGAAAGAAACTCTACACATCATAATTCCTTTCATATTTAGGGTTCTTAATTTACACTACTAGTACTAGGTATCCCCAAAGTCTTGTAAGAGCTGGAGTTGTTGACTAAACCTAACCCTCTTAAAGGTGCATGCCATTAATCAAAGCAATCATAATTCAACCTGTTTTAGGCACATTAACACAAACCCTAATGGCCATCAGGCCCGTTAGTCTCCCCTTCCACATCTTCAAACTCGTTGTTTTTTTAACGGTTTCAAAAGGATGCCCTAACATGTATAATTTATCATTCAAAATTCAATCTGTCACGTCATAAATCTCTCTTAATCTCAACAACTTATAAATGAAAATCTCGTACTAGGATTTTCTTGATTCAAAAGTAAATCACATAGTGTTTAATTAACATTGTGAATTCTAATATCTCCAATGACATCAAATATGTTGTTCCTCCTTGTATCCATTTTATTTTCTACTAAGTAAAAACGTTGAATTTGTTCCTATAAATCCAAACTTGTAACTTGATTGGGTCTAGAAGGGGCAGAGCACAATCTCTGACCAGACCATTTCCTTATCACCAAAGGTAGAGAGGAGCCAAATACGAGTACTATTCAGGGCTTCAAATGTGACATATATACATAGGACCCATAATGCAAACATAATATTTGGTCAACTTTTCTGTCTCATTTATGATGTGGCTGACTATTATATTACACCCAATTTTTGTCTATCTCTATTCTCCACCTCATCATTTCATTTCATAGGTTGAAAAAACAAGAACTCTTTGACTTGCCAAAAAGAGCTCCATGCACATTTCAGACTTCTCTAGCTATCCGGTTCTTCTCTTAAGAGAAAAAAACAAAAAAAAAAAACAAGTATAAAATTCACATTTTGTGTATGTGATTTAGATTCGATTTGGTTGAACTTACTGTTAAATCATAATACTTTTACTTGATGTAAATGATTGACTAATACTATCTTGATCTCAAAGAAAATCGCAAAATATTCATTTGTTGCATATGTTCTTGCATCAAATTTAATTTTTCCGAGCAGTTTCATCCAATTTCATAACATAGTGCCCAAATGTACTGATCATCAAAATTATTCTCTTTTTTTTTATAATCATAATAGTTGTCATTTCCAGCTTGTCATATAAGTATGTTTAGTTTTTACGCTAGTGGAAGTAAATATTGTTTGGTCATATATAGACCAAGTTGATTTTTTCTTAACTTTTCAATTTTTTCTCATGGATGGTCCAAACACAAAATAATTATTTATTATTCTGTGAGTTGCCAAGTAAATTTAACTTAACTTCTAGATTCTTTTGTTTCAACATAGTTAATCCTCCCGATTCAATTGCTTATCCACATGCGTATATATATATGGTTTGGTACATCTACCAGGCGCCAATAAGTTCCAATCCAACCTGCAAGTGATGAAAGCCTTATTAAGAAGCTTCAAAACAATAAATAATAACAAACTGTACATAACTTATCACACTAATTAAAGATCGCCGCGTCCAACATTTAAACTGCCACTGGGACTTAACAAGCACACGGTTGAATCTTTCGGGCAAAAAGTAATTTACATCTTTTAACCACTCCCAAGAAATTGAGTTGCACCTGATGAAAGGTTGCTTGGAAGCATCATCTCATAATGAACCTACCCATTGATTAATTTAATTTACTCTTGACGACGGAGACGTTCTCGTAAGTTATTGGGATGCATATGGTTCCCTATAGTTCATATCATATTAGATTGTTTCCAAGACTTGAAAGTTTATACTTTGTATGTTTTGATTCCGAATAAACTCAAAAAGTTTACACTTAATTTAAGCACAACGCTGGGTTATTGTTATGTATAGACAAATGTAGCTGTTGGGCTCTAGTCTTGCTCAATGAGATGCACAAAAAAATTGAACAACATTTTGAACTCAACAACTCGAATTATTTAAACCAGTTGGTTTATCACATAACCAACTGGCTAGCTAATAGAATAGTATGAACGTGATGAAAGCCATTATTTTTTGTAAGCGGGCCAACCGCTACTGTTTAAGCAGTTGCTTATGATCCAAATTAACCTTTTGGTTATTATTCTGTAACAATTGCATTATCATATGATATCGTATTGGTTATGAGGAGAAGGAATAGAGATGAAGAAAATTCAAAGAAAGGAATAGATAACCACTACAATTAAGTATTAACCACCAGAAGAATAGACAACCAATTGACTCCAGGTGTACCCTTCGCCATTTTTCAAGTCAAGACACAATTCGTTGCATTCAACAAGTCAACCCTGTAGTTCAGCTCCAGTCAAACATTTATGAACCAATCTCTTGCCCCACCTTTTTATTTATTAGACTTGTTCGATCTTTGTTGCTCGACGAACCAGACAACTTTGGCGTATTGGTTCTTTGATAACCAAAGCGTTACCTTGTTAGAAACTTTTCTTTTTCTCTCCATTCAATCGATTTCCTTACATTAAGTTACAATAAACCAAATTTTTATTCGATGTATATGAGATAAAAGGTTGTTCGACCGACCTTACTTCAACTTGCTAGCTAGAATTTAGATCAAATGAAGTGAACAAAAGCGTATGGACTATGGACCTGTAGGTTGGTTATACGTTAGTTCAGTTAAGGCCACAATTATTCTCCTAGCTAACTGAATTCATAAAAAAAAACATTTATCATCCTCCCTGGCATTAATAAAAAGGATTTCGTCGATTACATTTGTCATTATTAAGTTCTAACCACAAGACACGACGAAACCGTTCAAGGTACATTTTTTTTATAAGAATACTATATGTTTGTTTTCTTTATAATTAGGTATGTACCACTAGACCAAATTTTTGTTTGCATATGTTTAAAGACACTTTTCTAATGAGACACTCTCTTCTGATTAAACCATTTTATTACCGAAAACGGGGGACTTCCATGTTAATTTTAATTTTATTCCTTCCTTTTTTGCTTTGTATAGTCCTCGTTTGTTTGCATACTTTTCTAGCCGGTTAACTAGATTCGATCCATCGTCACTAAGAAAGCGTCTACTCAATTGTAAACATCTATTGTAACTATTGCTTTCTTTGATATTTGTAAATGGAGTTGGGGTTCCTAGGGTGATAAATTTTCAGCTCCGTAGACTTGGGTGCAAGGAGGAGACAAAAGAATGTTCTAAAATGGCTTCTATGCGTCACTCATCCATCCACCCATCTACCAGTAACAGTTTCAGTTTTAAAAATTTCAACATGCATGAGAGGGCAAAGGAAAAAAATGGGTACAAACAACAGCGGGACGAAGTCAAAGTCCGCAGTCAATAGCCATGACATTTTGGTACATTGGAATGTTCCACTTTGTAATTGTGACACTCTCTTCCTTTTCTATTATGTCTTGTCTCTCACTCCAATTTCTCAACTAACCAAGGAAGTTAGATCATTAACTCATGACCCACCAGAACCAAAGTATTATGATTTACGCCCTCCTTCACAGCATCTCAGCATGATAATTTCGAACTAACCCATGTTATCCAACCTGTTTAATTTGTTTTGGGGCGAATAATATCAGCCTCGTAAGCGGAGCAATGTGGGGCAGACATGAGTACTACCCTCCTTGACGTGATATGTCTTGACTCGTTCCATTCTCGATCCATTCTTGTCTAAATTACATGTAATTTTAGTCAAATTATTTAGAATTCTCAAATTTTAACTAAAATAAAACTGTAAATATATGAAAACCTTGAATTCTCAAATAATTTAATTACACGATAAATAGTTTATTTATTAGTTGTCTTAATGAAAAATGAATATTTCTATTATTTTCTCTTTAAATTACATATTCATATAACCCAACCTGCTCCGACCAGCGTCCCGTGATAAATTTACTCGATCTATACCCAACCTACCACAAAGCGAATATGAATATCGAGATACCCATCCCATAGAGTTGCCATTTCTACTCCGGTAGTTTATGGGTTATGCTGATCGGTCTTATAACAATGGCCCCCACATGTTTGATATCCTTGCAAACCTTCCAGAAAACCTTGGGACTAGATAGTATGACAACACTCCTTGTGTTGTTATTGTAACAACACTAGCCTCCAACCAATAGGAAGCTAGGGATGTGATGACTTTTTATTAGTTGAGTTGACCTAGTGCAAAATCAAAACAGGGGTATAATTGTCATTATGAAAAATATGTTTAAATAATAAAAAATAAAAAAAAATAAAAAAATAAAAAAATAAAAAATATTTTTTTTATTTTCTGCCCAAAAATTTGGTCGTCGGAATTCGGTCTCCGGTCACCGGAATATGCTTTTTTGTCGTCGGAATATGCTATTTTGTCATCGGAATATGCCACCGTCGCCGGAATATGCTCACCGTGGTCGGAATATGCTTATCGGCGTCGGAATCTAGTCATCGGGGCCGGAATATGCCTATTGGCGCCGGAATCCGGTCACTGACGGTCATCGGAGTTCGGTCAACGGTCTTCGTTGACCGATCAACGGTCAACGACCCCCGGATGTATGGTCTGCATTGTGAGATTTATGGTTTGGTTTCTCATATTTTCGTATGCCTTTTGTGGTTTGCTTTATCGTGTTTGTGGTTTGCATTAAGAAGTTTCTGGTTTGCTTTATCGTGTTTGTGGTTTGCATTGAGAAGTTTCTGGTTTGTTTTCAAAAACTTTGTGGTTTGCATTGTGAGGTTTCTGGTTTGTTTTAATATATTTGCTGTTTGCATTAGGACGTTTATGGTTTGCTTTTTTGTGGTTTGATTTACTGTGTTTGTGGTTTGCATTAGGAGGTTTATGGTGTGCTTTCGCAAATGTTGTGGTTTGCATTGTAGGGTTTCTAGTTTGTTTTAGGAGATTTGTGGTTTGCATTAGGAGGTTTCTGGTTTGTTTTTTTTTTTTTTGTGGTTTTTTTATCACGTTTGTGGTCTGCATTAGGAGGTTTTTTGTGTGCTTTGTGGTGTTTTTGGTTTGTTTTAGGAGAGTTATGGTTTGTATAATAAGGTTTTTGGTGTGCTTTAAAAATATTTATGGCTCACATTATGGTGTTTCTGTTTTGCTCTGTTTTGCTTCACGAGACTTATGTTCTATATTAGGATGCTTTTGATACATCATAAAACAAAACAAAAAATGATAAACTTTGTTGATCTTAGGGACAATTGATCTCAAGTGATCAGATATCAACCATTACAATGTCAGAAAGCTATCCATATATCCTCCACTTGCCATTACCAGTACTCTTCTATCATTTTAATGCAATAAATAAGGTGGGAAAATGAAAAGAATTTGGTGATGACAACATTGGGGAATCCGTCAGCGTGGAGGGGGGGGGGGGGGGGGGGGGGGGGGGGGGGGGGGGGGGAAAGACGGGGAGGAAGTGAGATCAATGAGGCGTATTGTTGAGAATTGAGATCAATGATCAATTGGTTGAGCGGCGGGAGCCAGTGCGAGGACGCGACCAGCGGCCAGTCAGCGATGCTGTTCAATCGGGATGTACCTAATAGCTTTGGGGACGAGCGGGGTGAAAGCGGCGCTGTCGCCTTTGGGAGCGAACCAGTTCGATCTGGCCGCAGCACGCGACGAAGTGGAAGCGGCGGCATCGCAATCCAATGATCCAGATCTCCTCGAGAAAGTATGCGAGCAGTGATATCCTGCGCATCAGATCGGTGGAATCGTTTATGAGCGGTGGCGGAGTGGCGGCAGCGGAGGCCCTCCCGCTTCCTCTGACGAGATTGGTGTCTCCGCCTCCGTCACGGGCATTTTGGGGGAGAGAGGGGCTGAGACGGCGGCGATGGGATCTGAATGGGAGAGATGGTGATAAAAAAATAGTTTATTGCCATTTACAGTTATGCCCTTGTTGTTATAATAACAACATTTAGGGTGTTGTTATGCTATCTCCGCCCGAAAACCTTGCTATATTGCCTGCCCGGCAGGGCTGCAGTTGAAGTCAAGGCTCGGAACCCTGCCAGCAAGTTATTAGAGGTTCCCCAACAAGCAAACACAAATGGTTCAATCACCACATGGAAAAAGCAAGAGCCAAGGAGATATGGACGAGTTGACAAGAAACTCTTCTTCGAAACATAAACCAGAAGTCTTGGACAAAGCAAACACCACCAGAGATTATGGACACAACATTTAGGTACATTTTGTACACAAATAGGAACGAAGAGAGGAAGTTTTGTGAAGCTACTAATTGCCTCCCAGATCGATTCTAACAATACAAAGTTAACGTGTCTCGTCAGTTGACTATGCTCTTTCTTTCACCCTTGATTCATTCTTTGAACTGCTGTAGTTAGTATATGCAGGTTTAGGACGGGTTAGATGTTTTCAGCACCGTGGGAACCGCACGAGCCATCAGGTATCGTTCTAATGGAGGGCAGCTATGATGAATTTGGAAGGACTTCTTGACCTACTTGAAGCCACGAATCATCATGCTTCACGTTCTCCTCGTCATCTCCGGACTCGTACCTCAGCAGTATACCAAACAGGATCTTCCCCTGTTCCATGAGCAAAAAAGGGATTACTACGAACTCGAGATGGAACCGAATTGAGTGAAGAATAAAAATATTTCAAATGCAGGTCATGTCAAAACCTTCACTCTTCTGTACGAAGCTAGTGTTGCCAATGGTTCCTTAGTCCTCTGGACTTGTCCAGACTGATGGCCGAGATTGATCATCTGGCAACGGTTGCATCCACCAATCGACTGTTAAGTAACACCAGAGCGAACAGTTCGGATTACTTTGATTGACAGAAAGTGGAATTTACTGCAGTAACAAGAACTGAAGTGCATGGACTCACTGTAAAATGTGCATTTCCTATTTGGAGGCTCGTCCATCCATCTTCAGCGTAAGGTTTGCCTCCGGATACCACAAGGTTAGGCCGAAACCTTGTGGGAGTCACCTGAACTGGTGAACCATGGGCTGCCTTCAGTGCACCTGTCAGCAACAGGAGTGAATCAACAAGTGCCCTTGGTGACCAGTCTAATTTCTCAATGCTAATGGGAAGGAAAGTTTTCCTGGAGTGGGGAGAAAGCAGGACATACCCGAGCTTAACCTTGTGTTGAGGTCGGATATGCTCTCCTCTGATATCAGCAAGAATTGTGCCTCGTTTGGGAAGTTAGTTCTAGCATTCACTTCCCGACACACACCTGAGGTTTTGGTGTTGTTTGAACCAGAAGATCGTAACAGCATACACGGACGGCCAATGGCAATAGTAAACCATTGGTTGACATCGTTATCGTAGTGATGAACTGTACATCTGATAATTCAAGAAAGAGGTAAAACTACAAATGATACAAATTCTTTGCTCGAGTTAATAACATATTAAAATTCTTGGCTTTTTCATCTTCATACTTGTGTGTACCTCTGAGCATGCAACTCAATATCTTCTGTTGGGACAAGGCTTGAATCTGTATCAAGGGTAATCTGCAACTTATCTCTGCACCGAGGCGACTCTACAATCATTTTTCCTTGCTTGAGGTCAAGGAAAGTACTGATTAAACACATTTCAGGAACCTAAAACAGAGGAAGTTGGAACAACATCATTTTCTTGTGAATGGCAAGTATTCTGACATGAGATTTCACTCCCACGAAACCAAGAAATCAGTCAAGGAAAGAAAACTCCACCAGGACTACAGACAGGACTACATACGTGACCATAATTCCATGTATTGGTAATGTCAAGAGCAACAGAAGGATGAAAATAATTCGAGCTGCGCAGCAGAAAACAACAGAAAAAGCATACTAACCTTTTTCTGAGTCAAAACTTCCCCAGTTATACTTCTAATAAGCCATTCCCTATCATGACGCAGACCTGATGAAGAAAGCATCATTTAGCAAACAAGTAACATACATTAATGTGTTCCTTTGATGCGACATTTCTGAAGAGGGAATAATGTTACAGTTAAAAGGCAATATAACAGGATTTCAGCCATTTACAGAGAAGCATTCTGGACAATATTCACACATAATTTAAGCATCTAGTAAGATAGGGTACTAAAGAACTTACCAGTACTACTCAGCGGCCAAAATTCAGCACTGAATCCGGCACATGATTTAATGGGGTAAACAGTAATGGACTTTAGTTGATAAACAGCAGATGGAAATCGTTTTTGACAACCTGCAATTCCAGTGAATAGTGAACCGACAGTTTCCAGAAGACGAACCATTAAAGCATAAGAGTTAGCTAAAGGATTACCTTCACTTGAGAATGAGAAGGCCCTTGTCGTTAACAGATGCCCATTTCCAATACTAATTTGTGTGGATACAAATGAACCTTTGATGAAGTCAATGAATTTCTGCAAGGACCAATTCTACTTGTAAGTGGTCATGCCAAAGTTTATGCACAAGATGAACAGATTACTTCTAAATACCTTCGCATCTTCATAAGTTGACATGTAACCAAATGATATTCTAACAGCTCCTGTAGGTTTTCCATTTATTAAGTCATGATCATCCCAGCACACATGTCCAGCCTGGATATCGAAGAAGAATAATGTAAGAACGCAGTGATAAGGAAATGATGCAGCTGACTAAGGCCTTTTTAATCAATAAGTGAAGAGTCAAAACCTCCAAGTTCGAGAGAAGATCCAGGTGAGACAACTCAAGATACTTGGCACATGCGCCTGGGTTGCAAAAACATCCTGTCTACGGAAAACATCACGAACAATGGCAACATGCACAATCAGTTTCTTTTTTAAGGCTTATGCTACTGAACTTTTTTAATTGCATTTTAACTAGCTTTCTGGCCTTCATTAGAAACAAGGGAGTTGAATTAAAGAACTTATGAAATTACCCGTAGCTGAATTCCAGACAACGTAGCCAATTTCTCAACCTCACGATAACCAACCCATGAACCATCTTGCCTTTTCAAGTTGAATGATACAGTAGGACCTAACGCACGACAAGGCACCTAGGAGAGAAAATCCATAACAATCATCAGAAACTTTCCCAGACTCGACAGTCAGGACATATTGCACTGACTAGCATAAGAACAACCCCATTCCCATCATATATATGCTCAGTAAGTAAAAAAGGAGCATGTGTTGTCTGCCCTACCTTTGAAGCATGATTTCCATAAACCGTGCAGACAATAGCTCCATTTACATGTCGCAAGGCCAAAAGCATTTTCTTAGTATACACGGTTAGTGATGCCGTATGCCTGGGATCCCAAAATAGAAACAGCAAAAGTCAACAAAGTTAAACTAGCAGGGAGTCAGGGACCCGACATAATTTTTCACTTCACAAAAGAATAACCTATCTCTATCTACATACACTCGCAAGAAATACATACCGGCGTATCCCAGTAACAGTTAAGGACTTCAGGATCTTGAAGCCATGCTGTATCGATGCTATGCTTAAAAATGAGGTAGTGCCATCCTCGAAAAGCTCTTCGATATTTTCTCTTCTTTTCACAAAATCCAAATCAGCAAATGATGCCGCAACTGTCCCTGCAATGCATTTGAAGTTCAGTAAATGGTAATGTATCTACTTCTTCCAACCAAACTAAAGGCACACACCTCCACTGAAATAGGTCGGCTTCAGTAGCTTGGCAGCATCTGCGCGATGAGGAACCAAAAAAAAAAAAAGATTAAAGTTCTTACTCGCTGGATTGTGAATCTGCACCATTTTTTACCTTTTCAGAATCATTAACTTACCATTACGAACAATGAGAGCACCAAGTCCAGTTGGATAACCAAACAACTACAGAAGTACAGGACACAATATATTACAGCAGGTTCTCAGAAAAGTAATGGAAATTTACAAGAACCATGTAATACCTTATAGAACGATATTGCAACAAAATCAGCAGGACACTTGGACAAATCCGGCGGTTCAGTTGAACATCCTTTTGCAGCATCTATCAAGACCATCCAGCGACCCCTACTTTAGAAGATAGAAATATTAATTTGATAGACATGAAACCTGAAAATAGATAATATTGCTTGAACTTCAATACTTCCACCCAAGTAGTATTCAAATGGCCAATAACAAATGAAACATAATTCTTTCTCTTCCATTATTAGTATTCCAGATGCCATAATAAAGCTTATATCAGCTTCAATTAGCTCGTAAAAAAACTAAATAAATTACTTTGAGGAAGTTGTGAGGTTCAGGAAGACAATCAGCCATATCCAAAAAAATAGCTACCAGAATAGGATGGAGCGCTTTACATACTTGCCATATGGAGAACCCCTTAAAATTCTTTGTGAATCTTCCTTAATGAGCTTCACCAAATCAAGGTTGAATCTCATGCCGGAGAAATTGCACTCGGAAGGGAAGGAAAATAAGTTAAACACATCATCTGCTCACAAAATGAAACAAGAAAAAAGGGCAGAAATGAGTTTGACTAAATGAACTCCAAGCAAATATTTGAAGGGGATTATAAACAGCACTTGCCTCCGGAGCCTCCATCCATATGTCTAATTTCGTTCCTCCTTTGTACAGGATGAAGTGAGAATTCAAACGAGGAAGATGGGCTCGTTGATCCAAAGTCCAAGGGCTCAGGACATTCAACATCAACTGCAAAAGCTGCAGCTCCTCGACTGAGAGCATATCTAAACATAATCAAGGTGAAACAGATGGAATCTGAAAGATACACATTACATGATCTCAATGCATTGCTAGAACTATTCGACCGATAATATGCATCAATCCATAATAGGACCCCATGGCACAGAGGCCAAAAGTGAAAGGATACTCTCTGATCCCAAGCACACTATTGTGATTTTCCATGGTGTACATGTAACTACTGCTACCACTCCATGGAAAGGCCTCCCCTACGAGCTTTAGCGCTGCTGTAGCCCCAGACGTGAATATACACTTGTAATCCTTCGGGGACGCATTGAAGTAATCAAGTACCTGTTTCACCAGCAATTCAATTTTCTCACAGACTAACCCACAAACACCATTGCCTCAATTAGCACAAATGCAATTGAGGCCACACAACGGAGAACTATCCATACCTGCTGGCGCGCTTCCCTCACAGCGTCCGTAGTTGCAGAGCTACTATCGCTTTGGCTATCTAACTCGTTCGAGTCAAGGAATCTCCACCGTGAAAAAACTGCCCTATGAGAACAACTACAACTACCACAAACACCACAATCCTAAGCACCAATTCAACGTAAGGATACGTGGATTTCCATAAACATTAGCGGCGAGATCCTTGAAAACTCGCTCCATCTGCAGCTCGGAGTACAGAGTCGCTCCGGCGTGGTCCAAGTACACAAGACCTCCTGCGGATTCCACCGCCCACCGCCCACATATTATCAAATTGAAAACGAAAGGACAGCCGGAAATCGGTACAGGAAGTGGTCAATTAATTACCGTTTCCATCCAATCGCTTGAACTCAGCGGCGCGTATTTCATCGATGCCTCTAGGACCGTCGGGGTAGCCGTAACTGTCGCCAAATTCGTTGAGGAACTCTTGCTTGTCAGCTTCCATTTTCGTTTCACTCGCTTCCCGCGCTGGAGGAAATTAGCTCGCCGCCGGGGAGTGGTTACCGCAGAATCCTCGCTTGTGTTTTCGTAGACGGGAATCAGATGCCGTCATAACTCATAACTTGTTGACCACCCCGTGGCCGGTGGACTGTCACCGCCTCGGCCCTTTACGACCCTGCCGGTGTGGCTTTCAATTGGTTGACGTCTCTTTCTCGCTACAATGTCACTACGTCATCACTACTTCATCGGGGAAAAAGAAAAGAAAAAATGGCGTCAATTGAGTCCTGGGCTCTTAGAAGGCCCAAAATAAAATAGCAGTGCAAAGCTCAAAATTGATACAAGCAAAGCCCAAATTATCTGGCCTATATTAATCTTCAGTTCAGCCCATTTTACAACCTATAGGATTAGACGCAAAGCCGCTCGATTAAGCATAATCAAAGTTCAACATATATCTTTATCCCCATCCAGTTATAAAATGTGGTGCTAATTAGAACAGGCAATTGAACAAGGATTACTTAAAAAATACTATTGCTCATGCAGATGACGAGAACATAAGTAGTTGGTGACGTGGGGCAGAATTTCACTTAAAGTGGGTTCGAATTAAAAATAAAAATAAATGAATGAATTTTGTTAATATTTAAACGAGTCATGAATGTTTTTAATAATTTTCCGACAAATACTCCTTGAAGGTGGAGAATTCGATACTAGATAAGAAATTAATAAACTCAGAATGAGTAATTAGAGACACATGTTTATGTAAAATTCAGAGTTATTTATATAATATGGTTAATGTGTGTCACAAAAATTTCTACCATTTATTGGTAGATAAGTAAAATCGTGAATATGAAGTATTGGGTCGAGTATTATAAATAGTGTACAAGTATTATTATTTTTTAAGTTCTAATCTATAGTCAAGTATTATTATTTTTTGAAAGTCACTGTATTCATACTCGGGTTATTAAAGATTTAAACATAATTTTTCTTATCAATTAACTACCATTATAATATGTTAATATCAATTCATTTCAATGACTCTTAATTACCCTTGATATTGCAATTGATGGAAGCGAAATATCTTCAACTAATCAATCTATGGCTATGCCTACCAATCAATCAAATAGTTAGCTGATTAATTTTTGCAAATTTCTGATGAGAGAGAAATGTTGGTGGATGTTTAATAGCGCCCTCATTTTCAGGCGTATCTTATCAGGTTTGAAAGGTTAGTGAATTAATTAATTAGATTGCCACTAATACATATATGATGGAACTAATTTCATCCATCGACATTTATATGTAGAGATGGGTACTTTGTGGGGAAAGCTCTTAGCAATATCTGACAAGTGACAACCAGTCAGTCAACAACATGATCATCCCACTTAGTATTAATAATAGCCAGAGAAAATTTAAAATGTTGTAATTAAGCTGAACTCTTTTTTTCCTCCACATATTACAATAAGGAAGGCAGAACCACATTTTCTTCTTATTATATATTCTCTTTGGTAAGAATAGCAATATTAAGAAGAAGGCGTAGATAATATTCATATTCTTTCGTCTCGTTTCAATATGTCGATCGATTGTTTAATTTTCGTTAAATAATAAAGTGAATACAAAGTACAATTATCTGACGTTGTTACAGTTTGCAATTAGTCATATAGCTATCTACGAAATAAGAAGTTAAAACTTGTGTTTAGCTGGCCATGTTGCCTCGTGACTCGAATATGTAAAATGCATGTACGAAATAAGTCGGGACAAATCAAATCGGAATGACATGTCTTGTAAGTTGTTTTTTTGCTAATTATAAACATTTCCAACTTTGCCATAGACAAAACAAGTGAAGTAGCAATTATAAGAAAAGGTAATAGAACAGGTGATGAAGACTTGAAAACCTAATCATAAGACATTATGGTGTGATCATCATCATCAACATGTACCCTGTCAAGATTATCATAAGACAATGGCACATGGCTATGGTAGCCGGCCTCTCTTAAGGTCTTCCCCATAGCTAGGCTTTTATACTAGACCAAGAACATTGAGAGATTGATTGCTCCAGTAATAGTACATTTGTTTTTAGTTGAAAAATTGTTCAGAACTAAAATGATATTTTATGTATAAAGAGGTCAAGGGGAAGTAACAAAAGCCAACCACCTATATATTGAGAAAAACACATTGGAAATCTTGATAATCGTATCTAATTACAACCATAAGATTTTGCTCTAAATTAAGAAAACATCTTTAAATGAAACATACTCAATGATGAAAACATATATATTGTTGTAGTGTAAAACACTAAAACAGAAATAGTATTATATATGGGGCCACTACAAAAAAGAACTGACCCTAATATCATAGATTAATTAACTTAATAATTTGAATCTTTTAAGAGATATGTAAAATAAATTGGAGGGGATCATTGTTGGAATACTATCGTGCCACTTTTTCAATATTTCTTAACATGTAATCCACATATTCTAACTTAAAATCTAATAGTATAGTCCATATTAAATTACACATAGCTCCACGGTTGCTCTCAATCTATTTAATTGATTCCTAAGAAGTTTTTTCCCCCTAATTACGCGTGTGCGAGAGAGAACATCGATACACAGTAGTCGGCACTGATAGCTGAATTAATGAAAGCTACTCCAGGTGCTCTCTTTGTAATTATACGTGCGTGGAACCGCCAAAATCATAAACTTCTCCTTTGAGTTTAATATATGCATATATATATAATCATTAATTATTATTTGGAAAAAAGAAAGGAAGTAATTAAAACAAACGGACCGCACGCATGCACTATACATCTGGCCCAGAACGGTCACCAATATATATTTCATCAAATCTTTTTCCAGGCAATTTGTATATTGGGGAGACTATATGCATGAAGAAGAGGACAAAGAGCTATGCATATGGATAGAGTGAACCATAATATAGACATAAATTGGAGGAATAAATTGGAAAACCGAAATTATTTGGTCAATTCTCTTAGTTTACAAAAGGAGTGATTTTAAATGACTCAATTTGAATTATTCATCTCATTCTAGATATTTGTAATTGTACCAAAACGAGTTCATTCGAAATCTCTTAGGGGTCGTTTGGATTGATTAATTGACAATGTGATATTTGTCGAGTCAAATAACTCATTAATTGTTCATGTGGTATTTCAGTGGCAATTGGTTTAAAGTATCTTGTTTGGTTAAACCATGCAAATGTGGTATTTAACATGTGGTATTTGGAAGAAGGCAGAGTGATAAGACGAGTTATTTCGAAATAACACAGTGTATGAGCTATTTCAAATAACTCATTGAGTTTTTTTGTAAATAACTCACTGCCCAAATAACACATTTCAGAAAAATGCTGTCAAATGAGTTATTTATGACCAAATAATTCACAAATAACTCACCAAATACTCCATCCAAAAGACCCCGTATGTCAAATTGCTTCATCCAAATTTTAGGTTGCCAAATGGGTAAACTTGACCAAATTGTCTCAAAACGAGAAAATTAGATATGTTGCTATTACTTGAATTGGACTATCTGGTTGCGATTGGATTTGTCCCAAATTTTATGTTGCCATAGTGTATTGGCCTATACACAAGTTTGGGTTTTTGTTTTGCGCTTGGTTTTGTAACTTTATTCTTTTACCAGATTGAATTAGGGTTAGACCACATGGAGAAGTACTATAAATACTTCTCATACTCCTCTGTAATCCGTATCTCCTCGAAGAATAGTGAAACTGGTTCTCTCAAGTACATGGACTAGCTAGCACACATCGTGTTAGTGAATTACGTGAATCCGTGTGTCTAATTCGTTTATTACTTTCTTTTTCTTGCTTTGTCAATCCTCCGATTTCCCGATCAGTAGAAAACAGTCGTATAGGAATTTGTTAAGGAATGTTTACTAGTATGGATTACCTGAGATACGTACAAGGATAATCGGTGGATTGATCTGCATTATATATGTTCGATCTCTCTCTCTATATATATAAAATGCCTCTTCATTAACGACGACACATGCATGTTCGTAAAAAGCTTGGGTTAGCACTTAGCAACTTAGAGTACTAAATTGAAAACTTATACACTTTCATACAGCGAAATGATATTTACTGTAGTTGTCCCCTTAACAAAGTTTAGTAGAGTGACTAATTAATATATATATATCTCTTTATGAAAAGAAAGATTATTAGTAGCTAGGGTGGTTATTAATTAACATGGTAAAGGAAAAGAAAGGTGGCGGGGACAAAGAAGCGGGGCGGGGCGGTGTGGATGTTTTTGTCCAACAAGATCTAGTGGCGCCTTCTTCCGTGGGCTCCTCCACAGATCTCCTCCTCACTCACATCACATTTCCTCCCCTTTCTTTCACATCTCTCATCTCTCTTGTCTATATAACTCCCAACTTAACCTCTCATTTCCCTCTCATCAGCCATCTGATTTTGCAGACACACAAATCTCATACCGACTCCATCCTTTTTTCCCCCACGTAATAAACCAGCTAGCTAGCTAGCTCTGTTTTCCTTGATCACTATCATTCATCTCCCTTCACATTTGCTTGTGCTTAACGTTGTATCTTTTTTCTGGTGGACAGATAGAAATGAGGGAGGGCGGCGCGGCAGCTGCAGGGAGGAAGAACGGGGTATTGTCGCCGTGCGCGGCGTGCAAGCTGCTGCGGCGGAGGTGCGCTCAGGACTGCGTGTTTGCGCCCTACTTCCCCGCCGACGAGCCCCACAAGTTCGCAAACGTGCACAAGGTCTTCGGCGCCAGCAACGTCAACAAGATGCTACAGGTTCTTCTCACTCTCTCTCACTGTGTGTGTTTGGTAAAGTGGTGAGGATTCTGGAAGCAAGGAAAGTAAGGCTAAGTCATTATACAACCCACTTAATTTGTCTGGTCTTTGGTGTGGTTTCCTTTTTCTTTGTGTCTTTGTTATTGTCAGCTTTCTCTTTTTTGTTTGGAACGGAGTGCAGAGCAGATAGGGAGCGCGGCTTGGTTTAATTTGTTTGTTGCACTGTACGTTTAGGGTAAGGGTCAAATAAGGCATGCAACTACTTTCACTTACCCTACCAAATACCATAGACATGGTGAATTGCTTGCTGATCGATCGATGTCAGACAATATCTTTCCGAACCACTTTTCCCTTCACGCGCGCAGTGGTTCATTTTCTACGATTTTGTCGGTTTAATTGGTTCACTTGGCTAGCTAGCTACTCGTCAATAACCTTAGCATCAACCCGACTTTGAGGAAGCTAATTAAGAAGCATGGATCAACATAAATGCATGTCCAAACCAACCAATGCAAAGCAAAGCATACCAAACCAAATTCCAAGATAATTAGTTATGTTGCATTTGCATATATAGTTGGTGTGTTAGGTATACTTACATTGAATGTTATTACCAGAGTTTCATATATAGTACTTTAGGATTATTTTGGTCATTCAGATTTCTCAAGCGGTAAGTATATCTATCTCTCTCGAATTATAGTTCTTGATCGTTATTCTAACCCACTTCTTCAAATAACATATCTAACCTTTTTTTTTTCAATTGATATCAACACCTCTTAAAAAATGGTTTACACTGTAATTTAAGAAGGACTCAAGAGATTAAATTATTCGAGAATGACACTTACAAGTGAATTTTTTTCAAGTAGAACATGAGTAGATTTTGATAGATTGTATCTCATCTAAATACGATAATTATGGATCTCATTGAAGTTCGCTATTATCTTTATAGTACCTAATAACTTATCTTGGTGCGGATGAAATGAGATATGAACGTAGTAAATTACAAAGTGAAAAAGTTTGGGACGGCTGTCCCACCAGATAAATAATGAGGATTATAAGGTTATGGTTATGGTGATGATGATGATGATCAGCTGTGTGTTATATTTCGGTTGTAGTGGGTTAGTTTTTCGGTTGGTATCAGACCCCACTAATAGGTAAAGGGAAGTGCAATATTCTAACCTATTCCCGTGCAAGCATAAAGTTCACAAAAGAAAGAAAGGATTAATATGGTTCCACAGGCACACTTGGATTCCTTAGCTAGTACACAAAGCCAAAAAAAAAAGATAACGAAATCATTATCATAATCAAGTGTGCTGGGTGGCTCTTTATGCATATCTATAGGTTACTTTGTGCTATTTCAAAATTTTCCCAAAACAAAATCATTATAATTGTATTTGAGCTACAGTGTATATTGACAAAAAAAATTAATAATTCTTGCAACCACTCAACATTTATTGTTAGTTATATTGCCAACCATTACAGTATAGTCTAGCAGGGATTACAATCGCACTTTAAATTTAATATCGAGTTTTGACATGTATATATGTAAATGTTTCAATATGCATGAAAAACTGCCATATATTTTATTTATACAAACATAGTCGAAATTGAAATACTAATAAATGATACAATTGTGAAAAGGAGGGGTTTAATCGAGAGAGCAGACAAAGAAGTTGTTATAGCTTATAACTGTACTATATACTTTTTGACCGCCACCATCTATCCTTCAATTGACTGCCTAGCTACGTGATGGAGCCTTTTGGACTTTGGGAGGCAAGCCCTTTCTGAATTCTGATGCTAGCTAGCCTACGGTCGAAATTTCCCAAAGCAATAATAATAATAATAATAATAATAATAATAATAATAATAATAATAATAATAAAAGAGAGAGATTAAAGCAAAAGGCTATAGGATTAAAGTCGTTCATTATTCAGCCACCTTATTGGTTTCTTAAAACTTTGCCAAGGGCATGCATTAGTCAAACATAAAGAAAAAGCAATCAAATATATTTAGATGTGACACAAGATAAATGTCCTTTCATATATAGTTAAGATTGTTTACTAGGAGTAAAATGGCCCGGTCCACTAAATTATGATGTATAGCATAAGGTTAAAGGTTGTTGGATTTGAATCTGAGTTTGAATAAGGAGAATCGATATATAGCTAGTCTAGTAGTGTCACTTTTCAATTTTAGTTACCTTTCTTAGATCAATGAAATGAAGTGCCAAATATAGCTGGTCTTACTATACGATGCACATTTAAAATTTTGCTACGATAGAAGACCTATTTTTCGATCGTCACTTACACAGACAGCTAATTTTTATATAGATGTGACTTGGTCTATTTTCTTGTCCACTCTACTAATGATGATGACAAGACCATAAACCACTGATCTATCATTTCTGTATTCTATAAAAGAGACAACTCAAAACGTGATTAGTTTGGTTATTAATTATAGTGTAGAACCAACCCTTTTCAAAGCTTATTCAACACCATGATCACTATATCAAAGCATGCAATCCCAAAGTAAAATCCACTCACATGACAGGAAAAGCTATTAAGTGGTTAAAAAAGAAAATTGTGTCCTTATCAAACAATATTTAAAGAGAAAATTGTGTTAGTGGTTAATCAGGAAATATAATCACGCTTTGTCGAGGGGAGTTGGGCGGACAAATCAATTTTGATTAGTGATAGTAATTGATAGGTTGTCTTTTGCCCCCCCTAAAAAAGGTTCATTGCACTAACCAATGAAAATCAAAACTTTGATGTTAACCCTAAAATACAATAACCCACTACACAATAGCCATTAATTAGTAGTCCTTTAATTTGTTTCTCTTGGCTGAATTTCTTGGACCATTTTTACACCATGTGAGTAATTATAGTTATAGAACCACACAACTAAACTAATTAGCTATGTATAATGTATCATCCAGTACTACACATACTTTAGCGAATGCAATTTTTTAGAATTCATCACAATAACGTACGTATATATATGTGCTTCTTTGATAAATTGAAAGTAATTGATAATTTGCGTACGTGGCAGGAGTTGGGGGAGCAGCAGCGGAGCGACGCGGTGAGCTCGATGGTGTACGAGGCCAACGCCCGGATCCGAGACCCTGTCTACGGCTGCGTCGGAGCCATCTCCTCGCTGCAGCAACAAGTGGACTCCCTCCGAGCCCAGCTCGCAGTCGCCCAGGCCGAGCTAGTCCAGCTCAGGATGCGCGAGCCCAACAGCAGCACCCACCTCGCCTCCAGCAATCATCAGGCTAACGTGGGGGAGTCGCTCTGGTCTTGCTAGCTCATTACTTCCTTAATTAATTAATTAAGCCACTAATTAGTCATATATCTCTCTCTCTCTCTGTGTTTTTAATTAAGTGAGACGTACGTACCCTCTGATTTTGTTTTGGCTTGCTTCTTATTTATCCATGGTGACGGTTAATGATTAACCATATATATATGTATATATATATACTTGTATGATTTTATTTGCAACTATGTATTGTAGATAAATATATTTTCTTGGGATTGGTGGCTCGGTGTAGCCTTACTCTCGACTTTCGTATTAGCATCGGCAACATGAATATGATATCGGATGTTGGTTTTGTGGTGAACAAGAATACAACTAGGGTCGATTCGTAACGCATGTGGCTCCATTTCGTTCCAGCTCTCATCTTCAAGATTGTATAATTTTTCAGTAGGTTATCTCGATCCACTTTGACATTCGCGATTGTATGTTTGAGTCTGGACGATAACTTGTTTTTCTGATAAATCACAATCACAAAATTTCCCCTCGTCTTTCTGACTTTTGTGTTCTCATTTTGGTGTCTGTTAAGTGGCAGCAACAATAACAGTGAGACTGTGGAAGTGTCCCTCCACTCCACTATCCACTCTCAACTCTCAAGTCTCCATACGTCTTCATTTCTCTGCAGCCTTGAGATAAATGGTCAACTTAATTCGATGGGCCCAACCGGCCCAATTTTCTTGGCACACATTCGTTGGTGGGCCACGAAAGATAAGCCTAGCCATGGTCACCACCACGCATATCGCCCTCATGAAAGCCTGATAAGAACTTTTTTTCAATTTGGACGTCGTTGTCGATTTAGATGTGTTCAATGTTGTTCATGAATGCATGGCTTCAAATCGATTCCCCCTCCGTCCACTAGCTTTTCATTTGCTTGGCCAGCGACCTAAACGTTATTAGCTCTTTCTGACCATGAAAGGCCACTACTCGAGCTTTGTTGCATGCTAAACCAACAAGTGACCATGAAACTCACATGATCTACGAACCCTTTTCATTGAAAGTCTTGTTATTGTGTATAATTTGAGTATTTGATCCAATGTTATTTCAAACCGCTCCTCACTTTAAATTTTGGTTTCATTGTGGAGTGAAGTAATTCATAATTGGAAGAGATTTTTATTAGGGGTAGATGGTACGTATTAATGTGGGAAATGATAAAAGGGTACAAATATGATGAAGCTATATAGAGCTATCAGCTATCCAGCGGCGAATATAGGGGATCGCCTCGGGTCACGGTCCAACCCTCTCCAGGATTCAGAGTTAGATAACACTTGTAAATTTTTTTTATTTTAGGTATTTGTTTTAGTGCTCGTCGAGTTACGGCCCAACCCTTCTAATCTCTTTCCCGGTGCTCTACCCTATTCTAGATCCGCCTTTGAAGCTATCTCAAAGTGCTTTCTTAGGATGGTAAGAATGCTTGCTCGTGACACCCCATTTGCACGAAGGGATAACTTACATATATGGATGCCATCTACCTAGACTTTTGCCCTAAATTGTCAATAATGGATTTGGCTGAGCCATCGTTTAATTATCACCGACTTTTTTCTCCCCCAATTTCTACATGTAAAATAGCTTTTACATTTCGATAATTCAATCAAGTATATAATATAAAGTGGGGTTTCTTCAATAGTGCACCCGTTTGTCTAAAATTTTACTTATAAAGTCTACGACGTAATAATTCTTCATAATTTAAGGAATATAGATTTCTATGAATTGTCCATAAACTACAAGGGTATCTATTGTTTTTATCGCCGGTCACTTTCTCTTATAAATTCCAGCTAAAATGGGTAGTAAAGCCTGCAGCTATCAGTCTGATGGAAAATAAAGCAATTTGGTTTTGCTGGCTAAGAATAAGATGCTTTTGTCTGGTGCACTATACAAAGAAAAACATAAAATTAAACCAAATTCAGTTCATCAGTCAAGCACATTTTGATCCCCTCAAATGAGGTTGATATACATTATCTAGCCAGTCTTCTATCTCATGATTGAGAAACAAGATAACCCTAGTTGGAAATGGGGAAATGAAAATAAAGGGATTTTCTTTTTCATGAATGGGAAATAAAGGGATCCAATGATATGTTGTTAACTCGCTATCAATTATCTATATACCTTATACATTTTTCAACCATTTTTATAACGAAAGGCCAGATTAGATAGAAATTATGTATCATGACAACTAGGATCAATTCATTTGAATAACATCTTCATGAGTTTCGGTTACGTCTCTATTGTTTATACTAAAAGATCTTTAATAGCGAAGAGCAAACGTATAGTCAACATTATAAACCTATCAAAAATATTGAAAAATTTATATATCAGGCGTACATCTTCTTCAATCAAATCACTATTTCCAATTAAGTATTTTGTTTTCATATCAGAAATCTAATCATTATTAAAATTTGCCTTATCAACAAATGGGTACTTGTAAAAATCTTGTGATTATTGGGGGGAAAATGATCGGATCTATAGTTGATCTTTGGTATAATTATGAGAACGATGATGATTAAGACCTTATCAAGCATATCTTGATTAAACTGTACTTAGAAATTTATCGATGGAGACACTATATATACTTATAGTTGACAGAGAACAAACCTCATACTAGTAGAACAACAATCTGATAGAGACCCAATCGATTTGATAATATAAAAGCAAACCCATCAAAGTACAATTTGAAGTACAAAACACTAGCTAATTAGCATACAAAATGACGATGAAATGATAGTTAACTACTTAATTAGAAGCAACTATCTACCTATTAATTAATTAACCCACCACCAATATTGATATATAGCCGTACGTATAAATAATTAACCTTGTTATATGAATGTATAGTTAATTAATTAAATTCATCCAGCCGCAATGTATGGTGTATACAGCAGACTCGCCATTGCCTCTTGCAGCCATTGATCTTCTTCTTCTTCTCCACCACCACCACCTTCCCTCATCATCTGTAGGCTAGCTTTATTATCTACCAGCTGGACGTCGTTTTCGTTGTATGATTGGTTATTCTCTTGCTGGAGATAATAACCTTGGTAGTGGTGATAGTAATTATAATGTTGGCGTCCGTCGTTTTCCGATAGCCGCCGTTGCGGCGGCGGCGTGACCACGTCTTCTTCGGACAACTCGCTGCTGCTGTTCCTTGCGAACCTCCCTCGCACACGTACTCTTCTGTCGGCCAGCGTTTTCCGGCAAGCATACTGCAAGTTTATGTACATATGATTATTAACATTAACTAATGAAAACAAATCAACAATTATCAATTGATTAATTACATTGATATTAATTATAAAAAGTTTAATTACCTTGATGGTTTTGTTGAAGTTTCTTTGGTTTCTCTTCTTCAAATACCTCAGGATTCTGTCCTTCCTCTCTTCCGCCGTGTACTGCCCAACCTTCACGTCCGCATTATTATTATTATTATTATTATTGCATAATTGCGTCGTCGTCGTTCCCTGCAAATTAAGCAACATAAGCACATTCACTAATCATAATTAATAAGAACATAATCCATAAAACGAAACAACAATTATACACTTATGCATGCTTACGTAATAATTAACCCCCTCGGCTACTGCCGCAGCCGATGGAGCACGTACGTAATTAGCCGCCGCCGCCGGCTGCTGGCCACGGTAGCAAGTAGCCGCGTCAAACGACGTCGTTATGGATCCGCCATCAACATTTTCCATCATCCCGCTCGCAATATTGTTGAACAATATCGCCTCGTGATCACGGTCAAGAGAAAAAGAACGATGAACACCGTCGTATCGAGCCGCCGGTGGAAGGGGTGAACCGCGCTCAGACTCAAACGAACACGATGAAGACGACGCCGTATTGAGAATGTCATGAAGAGATGACGACGATGACATGGCCATGGCGGCGGCGTTCATGGGAGTCATCGAGATTAATGAAGAGTTCTCCTGCTGATGATTTGCGACGAGGGACAGCATGATCTCCGACAGCTCTTCCTCGGAGAATTTGTTGATGATGAGCTGATCGTCGCCGTCGACGTTGAAGTCGGAGCAGAAGGGATAGTGCTGAGAATCCATTGAAGCGAGAAGAAACGAAGAAAGAAAGTAGAGGCAAGGAGAGGAAACTAAAGAAAGGGGAATATTTTTTGTGAAGTGGTGTGGCTTGATTTTATTTCATTTTTTACACTACAAGAAGGGGTATATATAGTGGTTGATTCTTCTTATTAATTATTAAAATTAATTTAGCTAATATTGACTGTAAAAAGTTGGTTTCCATCTGTCAAAGCAAAACATATGCAAGTTGGTTTTTACTTTCCAGCCGCCGCGTCTCGTTGGTTATATTAATTCCTATTACAAGGAGTATTTTTGTTTTTTTGTTTTGTTTTTGGTTATCGAGGAAGCGATTAATTAGCTAGATGAACAGGATTTTGTTAGCGAGTTAAACTAGCTAACTGATCAGACTTGATCTTAGTTTAATTAGTAGGGTAAGTTGGTTTCATGTGCACAGAGGCATATTCTATTAATCATTCCCACAAAACTGCTGTTTTTAGTAGGGTATATTGTGGTTAATTCGTTGCTCAAGTGCATGCAACTAGAGACACGATGCTAAACAAATCAAGTAATGATTCGTACGTACATACATAACTAACATATATCAAATTGATAGTTAGCACTTGTTATTGACGTTAAATACATTGTAAAATGAAGATCTTTGTGAACAAACTAATTGTCATATACCATCAGGTTAGTAAATAACAAACAACAATATTGTATTAGTACAATCCATAGTAATTAATTTGCATTGCGTTAGATTATATTTACTTGGGTTTGTTAATTATGATTAAGTCCAAAGGGCTAAAAGATAGAAACTTAATTGAAGTGATTAAACTAAAGATAATGTGTGCCCCAGAAACTAAACTACGTATAATCCATATAGGTTTCTAAGAGATTTGAGTGTTGTTTTCCATTGAACACAAAATTAAGCAAAAGGAGGCATTTGTGAAGAATAAATAAAGTGTGAACTTGGAGGGGAAACCATGTCCAAGGAAAACAAGAAGTAATATATGTGGCCCAACATTGAATACTATTCCCTCCAACTATAAGTCTAGCCATTAAGGTAGGTAGTGCCCCAAAGATATAAGGGTATATGGCTAGTTATAGGCTAGAATAAAAATCCACATGGCTGTGCAAGATTTGCATCCACATTCAAGTACAAACATATATCCCCCAAGATTTAGGGTTCCTTTTCCTTCCTTCCTCTCCCCCTTTTATTTGTTTTGGGCTTTGCTTGCTTGGCCTGTGCCTTGTAGCAGCATTTGGATTTTGGGCACTACTATAGCTCCCATTTAAGTACAAGATTTAGGCTTTGGCATCCACATTGAAGTAACAAGCTTTTAGGTTTGAAATTGGTAAGCCCCCTTGTTTTGGTTGTTTATAGTATGCGATAATTTATTGTCAAAGGTTTATGTATATATATAATAAAAAAAAGTTAAATACACTTGTATATCCAACATTTTCACGATTGTGCCAATAATATCCAAATTTCCCGAAATACCATTTATATCCAATTCCTTCACATTCTTTAACGGTGTTTTTGGATATACAAGTGTATTTAACCAAAAATATATTGGGAAATGGATAGATTTGGCAAAGAACAACTTTAAAACATGGATATAAGTGGTATTTCGAGAAATTTGGATATTATTGGCACAACCGTGGAAGTTTTGGATATACAAGTGTATTAAACCTAAAAAAAATCTATTATCAAAGTGCATGGGTTCATTATGGAAATACATAAATAAAGAGGAACAAGCAATCATACAATACATTAAATTTTTACATGGTTTATAAGAGTACCTACAAGTCCACCTAAGAGGAGAAGAGGGGCGATGCATTAATGTTTGCCATAAGAAGTTTTCTGATCAGTACGAATTGGTGAGGATTAGGAACAACAAGAAAAATATGTAACAATTCCTTGTATGAGCCTTAAAACCTCATTATATGTTGATATTTCGATACCCACATAAATTGTTTTTCTTGTTATGAATTACCGCTACTTATAGGATTACGATGGACTTTTGAATATGAAGCATGAAACATAACAAAATGAATAATATATAATTGATAGTAAGCAAATCTAGTTTTCTGATGACGATCCATACTAAATAGTTAATATCAAGAATAATTATGGTCAAGAAGGAGGTTCTGAACAATAAAATTTGTGCCTCACCTATCCTTTTATAACTTTTGATTTTTTCCCCATTTGCATGGGGAAAACGTGAAAAAATAAATGAATGAAATTAGTTTTTTTTTCATGAATCTTTGTGGAAGTACTTAATTAAATCCTTTTTCATATGATTATATATACACTATATGATTGTCATGACCATTCACTTCACATCCACACAAAAGCATGTTTCGAAGGGACTGTCTTGTTAGGACTATCACTCTTTTTTCCGAAGGGGATATTGTTCCTTTTTCCTTGGATAAAAGGTCAAAATAATATGCCCTCACCTTTCAATTAATTAACAAGAATAACACCATGTACGAAAGGATCATCATCGTCGTCGTATTTCTCATGCTAATTAATCATTTGTAAAATAAATTTCCCTTTATTTTAGTTAGTATCTTTCGAGGAATAATAAGGGCAGGCGCCCTTCCTATCAATATGGTAAGTGCTTTGGTCAGTGGTCAGAGATCGATACCAATTATTCTCTTTAGAAGGAGAGGGAAAGAGGTATATAATTGGTTCTAACAGATTGCTTGAAAGAAGGTCTCTTATATCTCTATACATAAAGTACAAATCTCTTTTGTTATCTTTGAGGAAAAAAATTTATTCCTGGGTTTCACATTTATCTATTGTTTTCTTCTTTTCTATTAGCACTTAGTTATATATCCTGTTACTCAAGCCTATCCATAAGAACAGCCTCTCAACACATATGATTCGTTTAACATATCCCAAATAAACTTATTTTGTATGTCCGTTGAGTTTTACTATTTAGAGCACAAATTAATAGGAGTTTGAGACATGATATTATACTCTAATCTCAAATGGGTGAATCCCAATTCCTAATTCTCTTACCCAAATCATAAGATTTATTTAATCTAAAAAAAATAATAACCGACAATTTTAATCAAGCTAAATATATTAAAGTGCAACAACCAAATGTTAACACAAACGTACGATAGCCTTTGTCCTGAATATTATGATTTCTAATAAATGTCAGCTCCATCGTATGTTATATGCTCATTTTGATTCCCAAGATAATACTTGGAGTCAGTTTTGGTGGTCAGCTGCTGTTTTGGTCATCACTTGCTTGGGAGCTTCGTATTTTTTTGTTTTTGTCATCACCTCTTTGTGTTCAGCTGCTTTTTGGATTGCTGCCATGGTTGGTGCGCTTGGAGGGTGGTTTTTTATACAGCAGTTCTTGCTGGTTTTTGTTGGCTGTATATTTATACTTTTGTGTTCTGTTAATAATATTATTTCACCCTTATAATTTTTTTTTTACTGATATGATAAAAGTTTCGTACAATATTATGTGTCAGACATCTGATTATTCGATTTCAACCACACCTGACTGACTTTGGTGCCTAAGGTGGACTCGGTGAAGTCTATGAAGCAGATTAGACCGATTAGTCTATGTCAACTTTTTTACAAGATTATTTCTAAAATCATGGCGGAGCGGATGGCTGTTGTTTTGCCTTCCATTATCTCACCGGAGCAAAATGGGTTTATCCGTGGTCGTCAGATTGTTGACAATGTTCTGATTGGGCATGAGGTGATGCACTATCTTAAGATCAAGAAGCGAGGGAAGAAGTCTTACCTGGCTCTAAAGGTTGACATGGAAAAGGCCTATGATAGAGTAGAGTGGGACTTCTTGTTTGCAATCATGACTAAGATGGGTTTTAGTCGGCGATGGATAGAATGGGTACAGGAATGCGTCTCGACGGCGTCTTTCTCTGTTATGATGAACGGAGTGCCTGCAGGGTATTTCCGCTCGACGAGAGGGCTACGACAGGGGGATCCGTTATCTCCGCTATTATTTGCCATTTGTTCTGAAGGATTCGCGGCTCTGTTGAGACAGGCTATCTCGGAGAAAAAGCTAGTGGGGGTTAAGGTGAACCCAAGATGCCCTAGCATTTCCCATTTATTTTTTGCAGATGATTCTTATCTGTTCTTGAGAGCGTCTCGACAGGAGTGTGACGCATTGGTGCAGTTGCTTCACAGGTATCAGGAGCTGAGTGGGCAGAAAGTTAATTTGAATAAGTCGGCAGTATGTTTTAGTGGGAATGTAGACCCGGTAGAGGCAGATGAGATGGCGGGTGTGCTGGGTGTTGGGGCTGTAGGAGTTCAGGACAAGTACCTAGGCCTGCCCACTCTAGTGCAGCGGTCTAAGGTGGAGACATTTCGGTATTTGGAGGAGCGATTATTGGCTAAGCTTCAGGGTTGGAAGCAGAGAAATTTGTCGTGGGCAGCAAAGGAGGTTCTGCTTAAAGCAGTGGCGGCTGCACTCCCAATCTATGTTATGTCTTGTTTTCTCTTGCCAGTAACCTTATGTAGAAAATTGGACAAGCATATGGCTCGCTTTTGGTGGGGGTACTCGGTGGATAAGGAAAAGGCGCATTGGGTTTCCTGGCGGAACCTGTGTCGTAGCAAATTCGATGGTGGGCTTGGGTTTAGACGCTTCGAGGACTTCAACCAAGCTTTGTTGGCAAAAGTGGCTTGGCGGGTTTGGCAGGAACCGCATACTCTACTGGCACAGGTCTTGAAGGGGAAGTACTTTGCGCACACTTCGATACTACAAGCGAAGCGTGGTTCTAGACCGTCCTGGGGGTGGACTAGTGTGCTCCATGGCAGAGATTTATTGCAGCAGGGGTTAGTTTGGCAGATTGGTGATGGGAAAGACGTGAGGGTGCTGGAAGATCGTTGGATCCCAGGGGTGAGGCGTGAGGAGGTTTGTATACTCCCCTCCGCCCCGGTGTTGACAGAAGCCAGGGTAGAGTCGTTCTTGGTCCCTGGGTCGGGGAAATGGTGTGTTGAGTGTCTCCAACAGTGTTTCCCTGAGTCAGTGATGCAGCGGATTTGCTCCATTCCATTGCCAGTTCGGCAGATACCGGATCGGTGTGTTTGGGCTTGGGAGTCAGATGGGGAGTATACAGTGAAGTCGGGGTACCACCTGGCTCTTCAGATCAGTCGTGCAGCTCCGGGATGGAAGGAGGAGGTTTCATTCTTTGATATGGGATTTTGGAAGAAAGTGTGGGGTTTTCCGCTGCCTCCTAAGTTGAAATTCTTTGTATGGCAACTTCTTAGGCGGGTGTTACCCACTGCGGAGGCTATCTTTGAAAAGAGGGGACAAAATCCGACTGAGGTCCGGGACCCCCCTGAAGATGGTGAGACACTCTCTCCCAGATGCCCGGTCTGCTGGGAACCGGTGGAGACCCTGGAGCATTTATTTTTGTCTTGTAGAGTTGCAGTGGACCTATGGAATCGCTCGGGTGTGACAGGTGTGGATGGGATGGCGGGGGTGTCTAACTTTGCTTTGTTCTTCCGTAGGATGGTTGAACAGGATGATGGGACAGAGCGGATTGTGCGTATGGTGGCTCTGCTTTGGAGAATTTGGAAGAGCCGGAATTGGGTAGTCTTTGAGCATATACAGTACGATTTAACATGCTTAGTTCGTCAGTTTGAGATGCAGGTGCGTGAATGGATGGCGTTTGTTCAGCCAGAGCAAGTACCGGTGCTTCAGCGGCGAATTTCGTCTGGAGGACGGGGTCCGGTCCAGTTGCATCTGGCGTTGCCGTTTTCGTGTTATGTGGATGGGGCAGTGGCGCCGGGATCACATGGTGCGGGGGGCTTGGTTGTCCGCGATGGCATGGGACGGGTGTGTATGGTCAAGGGATTTTATTATGCAGGTATTGTGGATCATTTTCTCGTGGAGTTAGTGGCGTTTCGGGACGCTATCCAGTGGTGCTTAGGGAAGGGGATGGATGCAGTTTGGTTTTATGGAGATGCCAAAGGTGTGATTGAGAAGATTCAGCGACGGGATGCGCGGGATATGAAGGGGGGGCGCATACTTGTGGAAATTGAGGAGTTGCGGAGGCAGTATTGGTCTTTTGGTGTCTCTTTTGTTGGCAGGAATGACAATCGGGTGGCTCATGATGTAGCCAGGAAGACCCTCTCTTTGTTATCTGCTGTTGTTGCGAGTTTTGATTTTGATCAGTGGTTTCATTTTGGATTGTAAAACTTTGCTATCTTTGATTTGGTAATACCAGTTATCTATTGCTAAAAAAAACATATCCTTGATGACTCACATGCCACGTGTGCTAACCATTTTGTACTTTTCCCTTCAATTCAACTACCAAACCCATATGTCTATGCTAATTTGTACATTTCATTCGCCATTAGATTAGGATTAACGAAATTGAGGTTGGTTAATGGAATCAAAATAAGAAACAAATAATGAATTTTCAACATACATAAGGCAGGTAAATCATTGATGACATGTTCATTAAGCATGAGTGAGTTTGAGGCCATTAATTATGTCCTTAATTAAATTGAAAATTGACCCCAATACATACAGCATCATGAATTACTTTCACAGTTTTAATGAATACATCTCAAAGCTGTTATTCTGTTTAAATGTTTTCTCCAATCCCCATCTGCTACATAAGGCAAAAAAATTAAGATAAGATATTGGAGAAGGTGGGAGACTAGCTAGGGATGATCAAGAAAGGATTTTTGCTAGTTTTCTTTAGGGCAAAGTACTAAAATAGTATCAGGTGCCTCCCTACATCCCATCAGTAGAATTCAAAACTTAGCCATCAAGCTAACCTTAAAACCCCGCCTGCAAATCAAAGAAAGGCTAGGCTATCTCTTTCCTTGATCAATTCAAGAACAAACCATATGATTGTTAACCACTTCTCTTGGTGTAAAAAAGAAACAACACTGTGAATCAGTCAAACATTTTGAAAGTTCTAATCTTTGTGATGAGAAGTGTGTCTGGGAACCTCTTTATGAACTCTCAATTTGTGTTCATTTCAGAAACTAAAAAAAATAAAAATCACTTGAAGAGAAGGGGGGAACCATGTTCTTTGCTATAGCTCTGCAATCCTTATGAACTGACAGAATTCCTTGGAGATCTAATCTTATATTTTTTGTGCATATATATATGCCCTAGTGATTGGTTTATGGTTTGTTTGATGGCCCCAACAAAGCCATGTTGGTGCATGTTGCCTGGAAGTGAATCCTTTTCTTTTGAAGCATATAAGATCAGAGTACTATGCAACACTTTTTCAGTTTCTTCCTCTTCTTTTCTCTCTCACTCTATATTTTTGTCCAACACTCTTTTAAAGGTCAATTACACAATTGGTTATTTAGCTTTATTTTCTAACATGCTACTCGATCATTGCTAAAGCTTGAAATAATTAACCTTCTAGAGATTATTCATCTTCACATGATAAAATTAGTCGAACTTTTCCAATTTAGTGTGACACCTCATCTCAATTGATAATGAATATGCCCTCACGAGGTATTAATTAGATGACACATATATGATATAACCCATTACATCGAAAACAAACCTATAAAAACTGACTAATCCAAAAAGCTTAAGTGGAGGGTTAATGTGAAATTTGTCATTATTAACTTTAGTGAGTTAACACTCCATATCTGGGTAATTTTGGCTAATTTTTTTTGTAAAACTATTCTAAACTTTAGACAATCATTTGTTACTAAACCAGAAGTATGGTGACCATTTCTGTAAAAGGACCCAACTTGGTCCCTTCAAGTAGCCTACTTTTGTGTTCTTTGTTGGTTCTCTTAACAAAATTTGGAAGTCCTTTCTTCCAAGATTTTTTGTCCAGCTTTTCCTCAACATGTTCACCTCAAATTTATGCAAACAGGGTGGCAATGACCCCCCCCCCCCCCCCCCCCCCCCCCCCCCTCATTTGTATGGTAAAGAGAGATTTGACCAAAACAGTGTGAAAGATCTTCTGCTTACTTGTGAATAGTGAATACACATGCATACAATTAGGCCATAAAATAAATACATTAATGATTCAGAAACCATATATAACATTAACAACATTGGAAGAACTATCAAACAGATAACTTGAGACAATTTAATATCAATTACTGAATCTCTTTTAATAATTTGGCTGTTGGTATACTATCACAATTTTAAATGACATATATATTTGATTCATGCGAATTTTGACAACCTTCCAAACGTAGGGCTGGACGTTCAGTTATCAGTTGCCTGTTAACCGGCCGGTTAAACCGATAATCGGCGGTTATCGGTTAACCGAAAATTACAAAATCGGGCGGTGTTCGGTAGCGAGGTTAGCTTTACCGGTTAACCGGCTAACCGACGGTGGTAACCGCCGGTTAACCGGCTAACCGGTAAAACTAACCCCCTCCCCCTTCAATCCTAAAACTACGCCGCCCTCCTCTTCCGCTTAAACCCTAATTGAGCCCCTCAATCGACCATTCTCCCATTCTCCCAGTCTCCCTGCCGCCTGCCGCCTACATCGACCATCTCCCCTCCGCCGACGGATTTAAAAACCATTCTGCAGTTCCCTGCGATCGAGATACGGATGTGGTAACAGAACCTCGGGATATCAACCCCGACGATTTCACAAGCCTGCAGAACCATCATCCCCTTGGGGATTTTGACAGGATACCAATCGACGAACACCTCGATGGCGTCCTCGGGATTGGGGAAGTGAACCGGGGCCCCGCCCACCGGGTTCCGAGGCGGGAGATCTGGAGTCGGCTCTGGCGCGGCCAATGCGGCAGCCTCGGGAGATTGGAGTTCGGGCTTGGTGACGACGGAGCGGAGGAGGAAGAGATTCCTGGGGTTAGCGCGGGGTCTGAGTACCCGTGAAGCTAGTAACCCTAGCCCCATTTGTTGAGGTTGAGAAGTCCCCAAACCCTGTCGGCTCCTGTGCCAAAGCTTTCATCTTCTTCTTCTTCGAATACCCGTCCTGTCAGTTACCACGGTTAACCGAACAACTAACCGGTAACTGACCGGTCGGTTGCCGGCTAACCGATGGCTTCCGTCGGGCGGTTGGCGGTAGGCGAGACTGACATCACAGTTAACTGGTAACCGACATTTCGGTTTTTGGTTATAACCGATCTAACCGAAAATCCAGCCCTATCCAAACGAATGCATGGTTGATTTAAATATTTATGTTAAACGGCTCCCCAATTTGTCAGTCGATTTTCGTATTAAAAGATATGTAAAGACAATTATATAAAATCCATCTCCTATATTAATTCGAGTTGGAGTTATTACTAAGGAGTTGTTCATAGGGATCACGGGCCGGACACCTCTGAAAACCTCAACGTACTGAAATCTAATCATCCACTTATCATTAAACGACACCTTATTACTGCACCAATCCTTCTCTCTCGAGGCCAGGAAGGAGGGCAAACCGGTCTAATAGCTGCATCAATGAAAGCCATTCTCTTTCGTTTCGATCGTTTTGATTGCCAATATTTCCGAATTAATAACGAATCAAGTTAGTGGTTTTGTGGGGCGTGTAAATGCTTAATTACCTTTCTGGGGTCTAGGTGTGAAGCCCAGAGAAGGAAATACCCGTCCGTCGCCGTCGCTCATCGCTGGCAGCCGGGAAACAAACAGGGCTCCCAGAAAGAACGACCAGATTTCACCCCGGTCAACATATCGCAGAAAAGTGAATATATCGTCTAAATATCGCGCTATATTCTCGTATCGTGATATATCGTCAATTTCACTTTCTCGTCAATTTATCGCGTTTCGATTTTGGTTTTGAGAACCGAAACGTTTCGCGTTTCGGCGTTTTTTAGATACCGTTTCTCGCTACCCGTGGGTTTGTCCGCACTGTTTTGCTATGGGTGGGCCATTTCGGTCTGACGGAGGGGATTTAGCGGTTTCCTTATGGGCCCTCTCTGATAGGCATATTGGACTTTACCCGCTGAATTTCCATGGGCCTGCCGCTGATATTCCTGCGGCCCGCGTTGGCTTTCCTGGTTTTGAAAAACACCGACTATAAATATGACATCTCAGAGCCCCACCACCGAAACGATCTCCCGCCTTTCCTCGATCGTCTGAAAGCCCTTAACTCTCTTAGATTTCGGCGCTTCAATCTTTTTCACGAAAGGAGCTCGAGGCGAAACGAAAGGAGCTCTTGGCGAAAGCAAAGGAGAAGAACTCCTGGTTTATGGTCCATTTGGATTCGGTCGTGAAGCCACACTCACGCTTGAGAGTTGAGAGAGGTTATGCGCTCGTTTGCAGGAAAAGCTGAGATCTGGAATCGATCTCAATGATGTGAGGCAGGCAGGACATCGACCAGCTTGACGAGATGCTGGATGCTGTGCGTGAAGCATATATCAGCCAAGAAACTGCGATCGAAAAAGGACTCTGTTCCTACTAGATTTGCTGGTTAATCCTTTCTTTTCTAGCTTCGATTTTGTAAGGGAGGGGTTCCTTATGGATATAGTAGTTAAGTAGTTGATTGATGGAAGTACAGCAGAGGATTTTTACTGTGTAGTCTGATGATTAATACACTCATTTTGTTAGTATTTGCTGTGTTTACCGTTCTTAGTAGCCAAAAGACTGGAGTCTGGAGGGCAAATGCAAGAAATTCCACTCTGCGGATAATCAGGGGAAGCAAATGTTGAAATCAAAAAGATCATGTCAAATGGAAGTTTCCAATTAATCAAAAATCATTCATCGACAACGAAAACAATGTTGACCAAGTAAAGACTATCTACAACATTTGCATGATTTCAGTGAAGCCCTAACAACATTCTACTTCTACTTGCTGAAATACATGTCACTGTCGATGATTGTGCATCCTCGAATGAATCGTCATAAGGAGCTGACTGCTGTTTCGATGTACCACCTGCCATGAGGATGCAACAACTTAAGTTAGATTCAGTAAAAGGTTTAGCAAACTGGAGCTTGGAACGTTGTGAAGTTTTTATGGATGGATAAAGCTTGAAGATGGTGGCCGATGAACAGCATACCTAGTTAGGTTGGATGCCTTACGCATAAGGCAGTTTCAGTGAGCACTACTACGGTTGAGCAATCCTTGAAATGATAAGAAGAGATCTTTATTCTCTGTCCCAAAGATCTCTTCAGCTTTCCTTAAAGTTTCCTAGAAGATAGAAGAGCATCTAGATAAGCAAAGCACCCCAAACACTGTAACAATGACCAAGATGTCCTTCAAGCCAATAATAGCTTACCTCCCGGGTTTGCTTCTGGGCATTTAGTTCCTTGATGTTAGCCAGAAATGCACTGAATTGCTCATATGACAGGCGACTCCTGAATAAGCATTATACACGTGAGTGATAAGATCTGAAGTACAAGTTCTGTTAACCATAAGTTTTTATATGAAAGCACATCTGGGACCAGTTGAACTCACCTGGCCTGACGAAAGAACTCCTTTCCATCAATTCGTGGAGTCCGTGCTACAGAGATTTCAAGAATACAATGATTAACGTTAAGAGGTGGAATTAATATATAACCATCTTTCTCAGATTTGCACCTGAAAGTACTGATGTAAGGATAGACCAATAGTATCACTTAAGACTTCCACTGAGAGTTGCAGTCACAAACCTGGCATTGAGCGTCCCCGAGGAGGGGAGTTTGCTGCCGAAGACTGTTGACTGGATGGATACCATGGAGAAAAGCTAGTTTGTTGTCCCTCATATTGGGATTTCGTCGGAGATGTCAGAGCAGAGGCTCTCCGAGGTGACACAGCAGTAGAATAACTCCTAGGGGACACACTGGTAGATGTAACTTCTGGGGTTGCAGTTGGAGTAAGCCGTGGTGTGATGTACGGGGTTATGGAGAATCTTTGTCCAGCAGACTTTGCAGCTGTTACATCAGCATAAGAGTCATGAAGTGAACTCAAACTTTAGCGTACACTAACGTAAACTCCACTTTTCTAAGATAACTGGGGACACCAATTTAGCTTTTGTGATTCAGTTAAAGAGGGTAACAAACGTTAGGTGCCCTGGGTAATTGGTCTGTTTGACTGAGAGCATGTTTTCCAGAAGTTAAAATTCAGATTCCAGATACTATTTGACTACAGCTTTCCGATATGAAAGTACGGATGAAATAGAGAGGAAACATTGGTACATTATTCATCCCAAGAGAAGTCTACTCTAGAGCTAGCCACTCCACTTAAAGATCTTATTTTCATAAATTGATGTAAAGACCATCAATCGTCTAGAAGAGTACACAGCCATGAGAAGTTGAATACCTTGATCAGCTGTACTCATGTTGGTAGAGCCATTGTAAGAATTGTCGCTGGCAAATCCATTTGACACTTCATCTGCCAAGAAAGAAGCGGGATGGCAACAGAAAATAAGCAGACATATACACATCAAAGTTGATCTGATTGATAAAGAAATGGAGCAGTAATATGATCAGCCAACGGGAAATTCCAGCAGCACCAGAAGCTGTTCGACACACTACCTTTATCAGGATATGCCTTTGGTGCATGTTGATCATATGCTCTAATATCAACAGTTTGTGTTGGCTGCAAACATAGAAACAGAAGACAATTACTCAATAAAATCACAGTAAAAGAAGATTAGAAATTAAATAAGAAAAAAACTATAAATAACAAGTGAACAACACATCTTACCGACGGACTGTCATCACTAAGTGACTGCATCAACTGCTTCTTGAAGTTCTCCAACTGCAATCAAACAAGTTACCTTAGTCATTTCTCTAAGCATACACGGAGACCCCTGAACCGATGACAAGTCATTTCTCAAATTAAACACACCATCCGACACTAAATATGCAGATATCTATGTACAAGAACTCTAAGCAAGTGAATATAGGCAACCTGAGCCATCAAACATGCTTAATGACAACCTAATTCACAGCAACTGCAGAGTAAGCAAGAAACTCAATTGCATTTCTGAGTAATGGCGATGCAGCATACCTTTGCCAAATCACGGCCAAGCTTCTTCACGTTGGCAGCCAACGAATCCCTTTCCTTAGCAAGTTTAATCTTCATCATGAAAACAGCAGTGAAAGAGCCAAGTAAGTGCTAATTTCCAGAAATCAACCTCAATATCCGAAATTTCGCAGAAACCCTAACACCCACTGATCAAATTGCAGACTCAAATGTTCTTTCTTCTCCATATGATATGAAAAATCGAAAAGAGAAGAGTTTCCCTCTACTTACATTCTCGTCAAGGGTGATCTTCAGCCTCGACTCTGCCTCCCGGTACGCCCGCTGCATTCGAGACGCTTTCTCTTCGAGCTCGTAAGCAATTCGATCCTTCTCGTACATCTTCTGCTTCATCCTTCCCACCTCCGCTTCCAGGTTCGACACGCGGGAAGCGATTGCCATGGAAGTGATCTTTCGCGCCAGATCCAACTGGTCGTAAGGGTCGGCCGGTATAACAGCCAGAATATTGTCCGGCAAGTCGAAGTCCGGGCCCCCGCCGCCGCCGGCGACAAATATGCTGCCTTCTCCGCTGCCTTGTACACTTCCCAGCTGCGACATGGCTGAATATTCCTTTTCGGCCTCGGAAAATCCGGAGAATTTCCCTGTAGAAATCGGACGCTCTTCCTAAGGGTTTTTGGTTTAGGAAGCTCTTCCTAAACGAGAGAGAGAGAGAGGGAATGGCCTCTGGTTGCCCTGTGAGAGTCTCTGAGACAGTGCTGGCTGGTGACGTACTGGAAAAATTGCCCAATTGACTGACTACCATGTTTTATTTCCATTTTCCCACCTAATTTTTATTCTCCCTATTTTACTCATAATTATATATTAATAATTTGATTACATGCTTCAATCAAGTTATTGTATAAATTTTACTTTATACTACCATTTTTTCACAATTAAATGCTCTTGTTATTTCGAATTCGAGCTTTGATTAGCTATTATTTGATTTATCTATTATTTAATGTAAGGTTTATCAACATAATATTGTATGCAAATGGAAAAAAATTGTAAATCACTACAAGACATAATTGGCAATTGCTACAAAAAAAAAGGACATAATTGGCAATGGGTAATTAATTATATTGTAGATGATTGGCTTAACGAATATATAAGAAGGTGTGAGTTGTTTCTTTGCTTGATTATTGACTTGTTTAATGACTTGAAAGTTTGTTTTATTAGAGTGGGGTTAGTAGGAAAAGAGAGGGAATATTATATGTTTGGTGGGGACTGCGTACGAAATTTTGAAATTTTTGGAGGACTTTTCCCTCCAGATGGTTGCGGGTGGACCGAGACGCAATTATGGGCCTCTAAAGCTAGTGGATCATGCATTGTTGGCCTTTAAATCTGTTTACCGCCATATAATTTGGGCCCTAGTCCATTGGCCCAATTATTCTCCTTCGCGCTCCTGCATTTCCGTTCGTTCCCGAAGAGTATCCAATCGCTGTCCAAAACTCCATCGGCGTTCCTTCGTTTCCCCGGGATCGCTCATTGCCATAGTCGGCTTAGCATCTTGCTTCGCTCATTACTACTAGCCGGCTGCGTTCCTGGACCGAATTTCCGCCGTCGGGAGACATAGAGAGCAAGCAGAAGAAGATAGTGAGATGTCGGTGTTGATAGTGACGAGCTTAGGTGATTTGGTGGTCGACTTGTTCACCAACGAGTGCCCTCTCACCTGCAAGAACTTCTTGAAGCTCTGCAAGTAATGCTTATGATTCCGTACCTTCTTTGTTTGCTTTGTTTGCTTTTCATGCGGATGAGTAATTGCGCTGGACAGCTGTGTTTTTTCTAGGTGAATAATGGATGGCGATTCTCGTTTGAATTTGAATTAGGGTTTTTCTTCTTCTTCTTCAGCTGAGAGTATGTATTCATCTTGCTGACTGTGTGCATTGTTTTTGGTTTGTTTGGTTGAACTGATAAAGGATGAAGTATTTCAATGGGTGCCTGTTCCACACGATTCAGAAGGATTTTACTGCACAGACTGGCGATCCTACCGGCACAGGAGCTGGTGGTGACTCAGTCTACAAGTAAGACTCGATTGATAACGGGATTATATAAACTTGAATGTGTTGGAAAATGCGGTTGGGAGTGTACTAGTAGTTTGGCTCTTTTCCTAGCTAAGCACTCTCATTACTAAAGTCGCACTCTGTTCGATTTCCAGATTTCTTTACGGAGACCAAGCCCGCTTCTTCAACGATGAAATTCATCCTAATCTGAAACATACAAAGATGGGAACTTTTGCGATGGCTAGTGCTGGAGAAAATATGAATGCTTCACAGGTTTGATGTTCTCTTGCTTAGTAAATAGCCACTGTGACGTGATATTGGAGGGTTCTAATGTGTTGTACTTTTGTTGGTTTTCAGTTCTACATCACGTTACGTGACGACCTGGACTATCTGGACGGGAAGCATACTGTAAGTATCTTGCACTACTTCTCTCCCTTGGGATAATTCTGTTACTATTCAACAGTATTAGGGAGTTCATGGTATAACTTCTTGCAAACACAAGTTGATTACGTTTTATGTTCAATTGTTTGAAAACTAGTTGATAGGGTTGCCTTGGATTAGGAAGCTCATAATCCTTGTATTGTGTCGATAAGTTGTGATTCTTCCTCATAGTTTAAGTGGGTTTCTTAAAAACTTGGTTGTAATGCAACTATATTTCTATTGATTTAGGTTTTTGGAGAGGTAGCAGAAGGACTGGAAACTACTTTGACTAGAATCAATGAAGCTTATGTAGATGAAAAGAACAGGCCATATAAAGATATAAGGTTCGATATCCTTACTTTATGAGCTCCAATCTATGGACACATATCAAGATATTATTACTTCATGCAGACAATCTTCATATGATTGCTGATAAAGTTATTTTGAGTTTCAACAGGATAAAGCACACATATATACTTGAGGATCCTTTTGAAGATCCCAATGAGTTACCTGGGTTGATCCCTGATGCTTCCCCAGAGGGAAAGCCAAAGGAAGAGGTATTAATGATCTAAGTTATTTTATATGTTATGCATAAATGTATACACCGTTTTTTATCTCAGGAATTTAAAACGCTTATTTTAGACATAGTTGAGGAATGGTATCACTTAATTTAAAACCAATCAGACTTTCTTCCTACGGATTTGTTTTCTTGAAGTAACATATCTGGTATTAATTCTTTATTCTTATTATGTCTATATGTTTTTCAGGCTCTTGGCGTCGTTCGGCTTGAAGATGATTGGGTTCCCTTGGATGAGCAATTACGTCCAGAAGAACTTGAAGAGATTATTAGGGAAAAGGATGCACATTCTAGAGCTGTTGTGCTCGAGAGTGTAAGTATCTATTTTTGTATGTTGATCATATTAATGATTTAATGTTCTGCCTATAGGGATTGAGCCTTTTTTGCTTCTTTTCTATGTAGATTGGGGATATCCCTGATGCTGAAGTAAAGCCTCCTGAGAATGTATTGTTTGTGTGCAAACTGAATCCTGTCACTGAAGTAGGTTGCATAACTTTTACCTCCAGTAGTTCATATCAGGACCAAATCATTTATCTCTTTTCTTCAGGAAGTTCACTAATATATGATTTGAAATGCAGGATGAGGACTTGCATACAATATTTTCACGTTTTGGGAATGTGGTATCGTAAGTAATCCTATATAATCCTTCTACACAAATTGATCTATCTATAATGTTAACAAGTCTATTTACTGAAAACAGTTTGCATCCTGTGCGATTGATTACAGGGCTGATATAATTCGGGAGTTCAAAACTGGAAACAGCTTGTGCTATGCATTTATAGGTATGTAGCTTCCATTCTTCTCAAATTTCATAGCAGAACAGCTAATAAGTCTCCTATTATCTCCAATGTGTTACTCTCTTAAGTTATAAACCTTCCTTTTATACTTACAACTGCCTGTCCTTATTCCTCCTCCCATCTCAATTTTTATTCAGATTTTGAGACTAGAGAAGCATGTGAACGAGCATATTTTAAGGTATGGTGAAGGCTAATAAACTACCGTTTCGATTCATTCCACTCATTCCTAACAATGTGTGTCGAATACAATGATCGTAATTTTGTTGTATACCGTAGATGGACAACGCTTTGATAGATGACAGAAGGATAAAAGTTGATTTCAGCCAAAGTGTTGCAAGACTATGGGGTCAGTACCGGCGCAGAGGCAAAGATTCAGGTAAGATAAGTAAAGACCTTCTGATATCATATGCATAATCCATGGGATGGCTGTGGACCATGTCCAGTTTTGGACTTGAGATGGAATTGGAAAACACCCATCAACTAGAACCCTAAAAGAACCATAATCCGTAAACAACATAGAGGAAGAATGAGATGAATGTCTTATTGAGGCAATTTTATTTGTCTCGGTAGATATGCTTTTCAAGCACTTGAACCCACTTGGATTACATCTAGACAATTAGAAGGGACTTGGCATTATTTGATTCAGTTTTGATTCGCAAATCCATGAGTTTTGATAAGTGCATGTCGAGATTTACAAATTATGCCATTATCATGTCGGTGTGGACCAAATTGGAGAGGAGTTGGGATAATTTGATTCAGTTTTGATACCAGTCTTGGGCTTTGATCCCATGGGCTGACTAAATCAAAATTGGAAAAGACAACTACCTTGTTATTTGATTGCCTACCCTCACTTAAACGAAAACCGTTCCAATTGAATGTGTTTTTGCCTGATTCTGGTTCCCTTCTTTCCTTTATTCTCGATTTGATCCTGTGCCAGTTCTGGACCGGACCGGTCCTACGTTGCCTAGGAGGCATGGCTGAATTTGAACTTCTGTTTCTTGATTTTCAGTATTCTATTCTTACTTTCTGATTATTCTAATGTCTCGAGCGCAGGTGGAGGTTGCTTCAAGTGTGGTGCTGTCGATCACCTTGCAAGGGACTGTACTGATGGTCCTGGTTCTAAAAGTCAGGGTCCAAAGTACATCCTGAAGGATGATAACACACAACGTGGTAGTGATAATTCCAGGTTCGTCGTTATCTCTCTTTCTATATAGCCCCTTGTTGTCTCTACGTGGCATTTGAATCCGACTAATATTTGATGTACAATTATAGGTATGACATGGTGTTTGATGGGGAAGCTCCTGGGAGCCCAATACAAGAAAAGAATCGCAGAAGCCAGGGGGAACAAGATGAACAACTTGACAAGGAAAGGAGGAGGCATAGAAGAATCTCAGATGACCGAGATGAAGAGATCAAGGATTCGTCAAAGGGTAAGATACGTCAAAATGACAGAAGGCGTGTCGATGAAGATGATGATAGTGATAGACGGCGTGACAGCAAAGCAACTCGGTATCAACATGAAAGCAGAATCAAAGACCACGGTGGTGATAGGGGAGATGGTAAAAAGACTAGCACTGATCATCACAGCCGAAGAGAAAGAATAGAGAGCGACAGAGACAAAGATCATTACAAGAGGAGGAGTGGGGAAGGCGATTACTGGAGAAGAAGCGACGACGGCAAGGATAGAATTCACCTGAAAGAGTTGGATGATGACAGTAAAGAGCGTAAACGAAGACACGGAGAGAGTGACAGGCAAGAAACGAGGGACAGAGAAGAGCGAGATGAGGGTAGAGAACACAAGAGAAGAGACCCAGCTGGTGACCACAGGCGAGAATCTAGGGACAGAGAACGGGAGTATAGGCACAAGAGTGACATAAGGAGATGAATCATCAGGATCAGATGTTTAGCTTTCGCTTTCTTCGTGGTTTCAAGCCTGCACTATATTGGGATATGTAGTATATAGCCTGAACAAAAAAATGGTGTTTCGAAGGATGCCATCTTTTGATGGTTCCCCGGTTCCATAATACTAGACAGGAAGGAGTATGAGAGTGTTTTGTTTGTATTGTTTCATCTGCTTTAATTATATCAGGAGACTACTACTGTGTCCAAACTATCAGCCTATTTCTCTCTTCGTTGGGTAACATGCCGGGGCAGATTCAATCGCCAAAATGTACACATTCAAAGGGACCATTTGGATGGGAAACTTGGTAGTGAGAAACATGGTCTACCTTAAAAATGTGGACACACCATCCTTTTCACTTTTGCAAACGACACCGAGTATGAACAAGAGAATGAACACAGCCTATAAGAAACAGTTATTTACAGCCTTGTAATCTTGCAACGTATAAAGCGATTCTACTCTGGAATCCTTTGCGATGTTGTTGGAACTGAAACATTAAGCTGCGGTAATGCATATGCATTGATCATGATATGGAACTCCTTCTCATCAATGTCCCAGCAATGGTTCATTCAGCATCTAACTTTCTGCATTCCTGCCACCTCGAAAGAAGCCCTTCGTCTTCTCTCAGCTGTCAAAGTTCATGATTCGCCATAAGTTGTGCCTCTGATGTTTACCCAACGCAAGCATTCAGCGGTTGCACCTCTCATATCCGTGTTTCTTTGCCTATGGATGTGCATTTTCTTGTTGTTTGTTTCACTTTACAGGTTGTACGCCAACAGTTCTGACACGGAATCTGTACTGTGGCCGAGGCTCCTCTTCATCATTATCTTCGTCATCGTCATCTTCATCGCTTGAGTCGTCTTCGACGACTCTATCCCAACGTGCATAATCCAACGCCGAGTGTCCCTTTGGTTTCGGAATCGCCTGCCAACCATTGGACTGTTGCTCGGGTGATGCTTTATCAGTCCTCCGTGCCTGTGCAATAACTTCAGCTGCAATGGTTCTCCTCGGCTCAGTCTTCCTCTGTGCTTGTGCCATAACTTCAGCCGTGATGCTTTTCCTTGGCTCGGATTTCTGATCATCTCTGCCTCCATTGGAAGACTTCTGAATGCCTTCTTCCATATATACAGCAGTCCGATCTTGTTCAAGCATACTGTTTTGCACTATGCTGACATCTTGGTCTTCAACTTCTTCTCCCTCTTCTGAGTCATCATCTTTCTCATCCTCTTCTTCTTCCTCTAACTCAGCTTCGGACTCTGGTATTGGAGCTAGGGACTTCCTTAACCAAAAGAACAACAATTTCAGCAATCACCATAAATAAATAAAAAACGTTTAGGAGCTCTCAATTTGAATTGAGCAACTAACAAACGAGACAAGACAGTCATCCACAAACTACAAAGTTGCTGATCAGTATCAGAATCCCAACTGAAGCACTGCAGCAGGATCAAATAACCTAGACAAACTCGGGTTTCGACAGCTACTAAAGTTCATCGAAACAGACCCATACATGATCAAAGAAAGCATAGATCCTTGTCAACAATATCAAAGAAAGCAGATTACTTTACCAGCATTTCGCATACAATGCAAGCCTAAATTAAATACAGGCAATTGAGTACTTTCTGGAGGTATTGAAACCATTTTAAAAGACAGTGCTAGATTGGATCAACCGAAGAAGGGAAATGACAAGCAACGCAAAGCACACATCCAAAGGGGGCTAAAAGGTGTCAATTACCAATTGAGTCCTCAATCGAGTTTCGAGGTTCTGGTAAACTTCCGAAGATGGATTCAACTCCATCAGCCGATTGACATCGAACAAGGCCGAGTGATAGTCTTTCAGCGTCACCAACGTCTGCGCCCGCAGCATCAAAGCTCCGGTGTGGTCGTAATCCAGCTCCAGCACGAAAGTACACTCTTCGGCTGCCTGTAACACAACCAAGTCGCAAAGTTCGCAATATCAGTAATCGAATTCCCCCAAACCAAACAGACCTTCTCGATAACAACAAACAATCAGAATAAGAAAAAAGCAAGGATTTTTTACTTCGTACCTTCTTGAAATCGTGCAACTTGAGGTAGCAAGCAGCTCGGTTGCTATGGAGGGCAATCCTCTGCGGCTTAGTCTTGGCGGCGGCGAGCGCTTCCGTGTAGAATCCCAGCGCGGGGGCGTGCTTCCCCTCTCTGTAGAGCTGGTGCGCCGCCTCGATCTTGCTCGCCGGCGACTGAGGAGACGACGTCATGACTCGGAATGTCCGACGGGGAACAACAATGGATTCGTCTCTCTCTCTCTCTCTCTCTCTGGGCTTCCAATCTGAAACTCTCTGTAAATAATAATAGAGCAGTAATGGCTGATAGAGAAATTATAGGCGCCTGACGATGGATCAAAACAATACAACCCTGGTAATTCGCCTCAGTGCGTTTCCGTCTTTCCTATTTGGATTGTCCAATTTGTAGGCAATATGGGATTTTCCATTGGAACTGTGTCTGAAATGAAACGACTTGCTTTGTGCGCGTCATTTCCCAATTTTTAAAGGTTTGAACTTTCAAATGTTTAAGGGATACACACAAAGTTAAGCTGATAAATCAATTTTTTAAGAGTTGATTAGTGATAAACACAGGCGTTTATTATACAAATCTTTTGGGTTAAAGTCGCAATCTTTCTGAAGCTCGCGTGTGAAACATTTTGAAAACAAGCAGAAAAGAAAAGATGGTTCGTGGATACTAATTGGGTCTATCAGGGCCCAACAGAAGGCACATGAAGACAGATTATTTGTACTTTGAGAAGCTAACTTGTTTGATTTTGCCTCAATTATTACCACTATAACCGGCCGACAAGAGATTATGCACCTCTATTAGCTGTCCAAGCAAGTCTAATGTCGGATCTGATATAAGATCAGATGGAAGAAGAGCCTACACATCACTACATCAGTGTGTCGGTCTAGTATAGTGTCGTAGTCTTGTTTTGCCCTGTTTCTGATGAAGAAAAAACAAAAATCACGAACAAGTTCTAGCCAAGTTGTCCTGTCGAAGCTAACAAACCAAGCACGAGGGAAACGAAGTACCGCTCGAGGCTTCTCATCTTATAGCCAACCGAAGAAACGAGGATTCGAATAGACTATAGAGTATAGACCGATTCATCTCTATTCTAAACAAAGCTTATCATAACTCCAAATTTAGATTTAACACAAATTACAATAATACTTCCCAAAGACCTTAAACCAGATCCCACCACCAAAGTAAATATAAAATTAGAACAACATTAGTCAATTTGCATCCATGCTACTTAGTAATCATGTCCATCAAGACTCAAGAGCCAGCAAAGCATTTGCCAATATCTCAGCAGCCTGGCTTAGTTCCTCCTGAGTGATAACCAATGGAGGCACGAGCCTCACCACGTTGCCCTTTCCAGCAGTCAGCACCAGGAGGCCCGAGTTTCGACATGCATCAACCACCGGCGAAGCTGATACATCGAGTTCTATTCCGATGATGAGCCCCAGCCCTCGAATTTCCTTGACGTGGGAGTTTGAGCCAAGCTTCTGGGTTAAGAGGTTCTTGAAGAACTGTCCTTTCTCGGAGACGCTGGATAAGAAGCCGGGTTTCGAGATTTTGTCCAGGACGGAAATGGCAGCGCTGCAGACGAGAGGTCCCCCGGCGAATGTGCTCCCGTGGTCACCGTAGTTGATGGCTGAGGCGACTCGTTCGGTTAGCAGGACAGCTCCGATGGGCAGTCCACCTGCCAGTGGTTTGGCTAGGGTCATTATGTCTGGGAAGATACCGTATGGTTCGTGCGCCCAGAGCTGACCAGTCCTACCTAAACCACATTGCACCTGCAGAAAGCATGAACAAAGGAGTGTAAGAAATCATCATGAAGCCACTCACATAAAGTCATAGTTCTAATCGTCAACCACGATTCCTTCATTCATCATCATTCATATTTGCCTATTTCATCATTGGGATGCTTGAGAAAAGTTTGGCAGTAGTTGCAAGCAGATTAGCCAATTAAATTAGCCAGAAAAACAGGATCAAAAGCTCAATAGTGATGTAATCTAACTCTTTTACAATTGAGAAGTTAGTAGATGTATTTATATATGTGTGGTCTAGTAGCGAAGAACATCATGGGATATCCTGCTGGAATCAAACCCAAGTTCTTAATGAAATCCAGCTTTTACGCGTTTATCTAATTGGTCATGTATTAAATGATACCAGTGCCTTATTACCTCATCAAAGACCAGAAGAGCTCCAGCTTCATCACAAGCGTCACGTAGAAACTGCAGGAACTCCTTCCTCGCGCTGTATATCCCTCCTTCACCTTGGACCGGCTCAACAAAAACCGCAGCAGTCTTGCCTCGTTGTATCAACTTCTTCGAGGCTTCTATATCTCCAAACTCCACAAAGTTAACACCAGGCATGACAGGTTCAAAGGGGGTTCTATACTGTTCCTTGCTCGTCAGAGCAAGTGCACCCATCGTCCTGCCATGGAAACTATGACTGAAAGAGACGAATTCAGTCGCTGGCTCTTTGGCATCAGGGTTTGAGTGCCTCTGGAACTTCCTTGCAAACTTAATCGCAGCCTCATTGGCTTCAGTCCCAGAGTTCGAGAAGAACACCCGATCAGCAAATGAACTAGCCACCAGACGCTTGGCTAGCTCAACCTGCCATAATGACATGCAACTATAAGCTGTCTTAAGTAGATTGAAATCATAAATTCCGAAACTTTCCCAGCAAACAAACACCCCACGAGGATACTAAGCTGTTCAGCCAAGACAGAAATCACAAATTTTGAAACCTCCTCAACAAACAAACACTCCTCCATAAACTGTTTCAACTAGACAAGGATAAACATTGAGGTGGAAAAATGAAGAATTGAATTGAAGCAAAAACCTGAGGGACAGAGTAGTAGACATTGCTGACATGAGTCAACAGATTAGCCTGCTCAATCACAGCCTTAAGCCAGTCGGAATCGCAGTGTCCCAAAGCATTCACTGCGATCCCCGATGTCAAATCCAAGTACTCCCGCCCTTCCACATCGTACAATTTACACCCTTTGCCACTGGCGAGCACCAGGGGAGCTCTGGCGTAAGTTCCCACAATCAATTTCGCTTCCGCCTCCATTATCTCCTTGCTTCCATTACCCTCCATTTTTTTAGCGGCAATCTCCGGCGAAGGCTTGACGTCCACGTTGACACACGAGACGATTGCTGCTTTTTTCCCTTGGAATCTGATTCCTCGAGATGGTAACCGCTCTGGATTGAATGCCAATTGGCGGGGATTGAAGGCCTGAGACACCGCGACGCCGGAAGCCATCTGGAGGGAACTCATCTTGCTCCAATGAGAACTCAAAAATCTGGGCAAGAAGCCAAGAATGGAGAAGCTTGAGACTCCTCCTTCGAACGAATCTTTCAGAGCTGAGCTAGCGATGGAAGGGATTCTGGCGGCCGGTGATGGACGATGAGTTGCCGCTGCTTCTGATTTCTCCCGCCGCCGCCGCCAACTGAATGTGAAGTAGTTGGCGACTTGGCGTGTAATATATTGGGATTTACTGTTAAGGAAAGTTAGTGGCCAACCAAACGGGCTTTCTTTGGGCCTTTTGAGATATGGCCTTTGGGGAATTGGACCCTATGTAAACCCACGTGAATTACGAATGGTTTCTAGCGGCCCGCGAGCTGGTTTTTGGTGTTGCCGAAGGGTTACATGCAAAATTCACGTGAGAGGTCAGAACTCAGAAGGCCAAACCATGCATTCAATTTCCATAACGGTAAATACGTAACTGTACTCTTCACAGAATTACCGTGCCACAATCAATTAGAGCACATCACCGAAAGTTAATCTTATTTTTTACCGTTCCATGAAATTTATACTATTGTGAGACAACCACATTGAAGCTAATTCGTCTTTTTTCACCTATCTCACCAGTAAAATCATGCATAGACCACAGTAATTAACTATGATGACGCTAATCATAACGGTTAAAAAGATACCAAGAACGATGATTAATTATTTGTAATTTGTTTGTATTTGAATCCAATCTTTCACAAAATGAATATGGATATTGAGATTTCTTCCTGACCTACCTCATTGTTATTCCTAATCGTGACCACATCTTAATAAGGTTTCACTTTATTTAATCTCCCCTGAAATTACATATCGTAGTAAGCAGAGAATTACAACCATGCCTAGGCCAAGTTATCATCACATAATCTGCTTCTTGTCACATAAACATAGTTATTATTTACTCGCATTAATTATAGCAATTACCATATCTATTGTACGTTAATTGTACTAATTCGGTCATCACTAGCTACCAGCTCTCAGGCTGGCATGCCAACGATCTGCGAGAATGCCTCAGAGAGTGCGACGTTAGCCGCGACTTCATCGAGCAGAGACGGAGCAAAAAGTTGAGACACGCGGCCGCGAGACTTCGCCAGGAACAAGCAAGCGTCCTGATACTTCAGAGCTCCCTGAACGACGCCGTTGGCTCCCTGGTAATCCCCTTTTGCCAAGAACCCGACGGCATCAGGCAGCTCCAGAGCCATCCCATCGATTGCCACGTTGCACACCAGAAAAACCGTTACCCCCACTTTGTCGCGCTTTGCCAAGAATCCCTGCCCCAGAGGCGACATAGCAGCCAGCAGAGACTTGGACCGGGCCACGACGCACTTGACCAGGACGGTAGCGAGCCCGGCCCGGTCGGCGGCCCGGGAATCAGGGTCGGGCTCGAGGCACTGGAGGCAGGCCGTCGGGGCCGTCGTGCGGTTGCACTCTTGCTGGATCAGCGGGTTTGGGTTTGGGTTCGGGTTCTTAGGCTGGGCGTAAGCCAGGGAGAAGAGCAGGAAGCAGAGGATTGTGAAATGGCGAGAAGCCATTTTCCGTGTTGGGTTTGGATTTGGAGGGTCTTGTTGTTTGACGAGGTTTTGGGGTGGCGTTGGACTTGGATATATATAAATGGGCCTAGGGAATAAGTAAGGTGAATTAAATTAGATTTGCCTACCCAATTTATAATATGATTTGCCTAACCAATTAATTATGAGTGTTCTAATTAGGGAATAATTAAGGCCGTGGATTAGTGTTTACTGTTTAGACTAATCTAAGGTGCAAACCACCATAGTGTCCTACCTTATTAACTCATAGGGCAATTGAGTCTGACATTAATGTTTGCCCATAACTAGGATAGCCTGCTTATATAATTCTGCGTCCCATGGTTTGGTTGATGCTACATTGCTCGTTTGTTGGAGATGGTCGGTTCGGTGAATGAAAAATAGTATAAGTTGTTTGTATGTATTTCAGCTTAGAAAATGTAGGAAGTGCAACCCATTTTGTCAGTGAATTAGGAAAGTTATAGTGAGGAAGTCTTTCCATTCTATTCGGAGTCATTTTTAAGAAAATTCGTTATCTCTTCTTCTTTGTGTCGGTTTCATGTCATTTGTTTTATAGAATTTTAACAAAGCTATCTATCTTGTGAAAGAAGAGTTTCTTTCATCAAATGTTGGTTTCGTATCATTTTATTTTTTCGAATTTTAACAGAGTACGTTATCAATCTTGTGAAAAGAACAATTCCTTTACCGCTCTTGTTTATGGAAAGTGAGGGAGGGCACCAACAAAGGATTTTATAAAAGGACAGGGAAATCCGAGAGGTCCCACAAGGATAAGGACATGGAAATGGACATCTCTGTACTGTACCTTCAGCTCTTAATTAACTCACATCACATGTGCTGAATTTTGTTGGCCAGACAAATTTCAGAGGCTTTTAATGAAAACCTCATTACTTGGTTGCGTCTTGCCTGCTGGTAGATGAAAGAAATTGTACACACGTAAATGGAATTTCTTCCTATACCGCTAGTGTAGTACTGTTGATTTGGAGTGATGTAGGGAAGAATAGTACATGTGTAATATGTTATGTGGCACATTCCAATCCTATCAAATAAGCATTATCACTGGAGAAGGGAAAGCACACTGGAGGAAAAAAACGGTTAGCTAGTGAGAGTTGGAGAGGGCAATGAATGCAGTCCTCCTGCCTGCGCCTGGTGAGGTCCTACTGTCATAATGCCACTGCTATAGCTCTTTCTTCCAACAAATGGAACTGTTTTGTGTCTCACCCTACTTGGTTATTTAGTTAATTAGATGCATGGTAGAAATGGTAGCTAGGAGTTGGTGGCCGGTGATAGAGAAATTAGCATAATCCCACATGAAATTGATCAAAACTTAAATTCAGCCAATAATGAGGAGATGATAAGCCTAACATATAGAAGCAGAAAGTCAGGGGAAGGAAGAAGAAAGACGATAGTGATGAAATGCATGCAAGTAGAAGAAGAGAATAAATAAATAATCTTTCTTGGGTACTGTCTGTGGCCAATACCTCATTGCATTTGTCACCCACCCACCCAATCGAACACCAATACAATACCCCACGTATACTATAGCCGTATAGGTATAACAAACACATCCATCCTTAACCTTAAAACTTGTACACATTCACACCATACTAATATACTATAATACTCGATCTACACCTTTAGTACGTATTTGTACATGGTTATAAGCTGCCCCTTAGCCATTAATGACCCGATTTCGACTCATCTCCCTTTCCCCAAGTAATTAATTAAGTTTTTGTCAAATCTCTATTATTGAGATTATGATTTGATACCTAACAACGTGTCAGATGATGATATACACCTTATATTTCCTCTCAAAACAGATGGACTTCTTTTTCGAGATTTGTAGATCGATAATCATAAGTGCAAAAGGTAGTGAATAAGATTAACCTTACTCTCACTTTGTCCGAGCTACTTCGGGTAGATGGGGCGCTTTCAAAACCCCCTTGATTAAGAGATTGAGGGGCCCCCGATCCTCTTTCGTGTGCAACGGCTAAGAACCTTGCTCACTAATATACAAATTTTGACCTTCCAATCTCAGTTGTCAAGAAAAAATACTTGCACGCAATAAAGACATATATATTGATGTTCAGTGTGTTCCACTCTCATTAAAAGTTATATAACACAGTCAAATTTAAATTTCAGGTCGACTTAAACCAATGGAAATCTATAAACAAATTGGTCTAAAAAACTTGAATTAACACGACGCACACAATAGACCGATCATGTTCAATGCCTCCTTTTCTAGTACTACATACTCTAATTAACAAACCGAAATCTGTTATAATTAATGTATCATTAACTTTCATTCGCGATCCTTGAATTAAACAATTACGAGGTACAACTCTAACCAACCGTACGTGCACAATGAACCAATCCGGTTCAATACCACCCTAGCTAACCCCCCCCCCCCCCCCCCCCCCCCCCCCCCCCCCTCTAACATATCCATATCGTGTTCCTCCTATTGTTGCTATATAAAGCATGCCCCATCTCCTTTTATTTCATATAATATAATTAGTACCTCCCAATTCCCATTACTCAAAGTCATAGTATCCTTCTTCCTCTTTTCCTTCCTTAAATCCTTGTAATTAGTTTATACCCAAATTCGACATGACATACTATCTAAGCTTGGTCGCTTACTATATCTACTTCAACTCCGCCAAAGTTGCCTACCTTGCCTCCTTGCTCGCCCTCTCCCTCTTTTACGTCGTCTTGGGAAGCGCCGGCGATCGCCATGCACCAGAGCCGCCGCCAATCCCCGCCGCCGGTTGGCCTTTTATCGACCAGCAACAGCTCAGAAATCTGGTCGCCCTTTACTTGCAACTCGACGACGGCTTCGGCCCATCGTCTCAACTCCACCACCACAACTCCAACCACACGTATTACGGCCGGCTGCCGTCCGCCGCCGGAGGAGTCGCCGGCTATTGATACTTAGTCTTTTTTTGTTGTTGTTTTTGTTGCTGTTGGGTGTTGCTCTCTTCTGCCTCTTCTTCTCCTGTGGTGAGCTTGTGGCTACAAACTTTCATGTAAAGAGTTGTGGTAGTTGTAGTTCTCTTCCCTTTAGTTGGAACGTTTTTATGACATAAATGTTCTTCCATCTATGTGTTCTCTATAGTTTTACTGAAAACAATGGAGACTCTATTAATCAAAATGAGGTTTCTAAAAAAACAAACAAAGGCAAAAATTGTGGTTTCTATTTAAGAGCTTCCTAAGCCTCCCCGCACATTTGATTCTTTATTATTGTCGAAATAATAATATTCATATAGCTAAATTATCTTCAAATCATCATATAGTACAGATATCTATGATTCACGTGTAAGAAACAAATTGAAAGTAATTTTATATGTAGATTTTCACAATTCGTAACAAAATCGTGTAACAAACTTTGAATCCGAACTCAACAACCAATAGCCGTAAATGCAAATTAAATAGGTTGAAAGAGAAATAAACCAAACAACAATAAATAAAAAACAAACAAACCAAGGATTGTATAACTGTATTAGATAAGTCAGTGATGAGATATTATTATATATTTATATCGTGATTCAACTGTTCTTGTCATGATATATCAACTTGAATTTAAGTAGAAATTGTTTCCAGTTGGACCGCCGACGCTACGGTTTAGCCAACAAGATAATAAACTAAATTTTTTTCTCTAAAAGAAATGAGAAAAAAATTAACTGAAGCCTGATCAAAATTTCAACGGGACAGTTGTTAGGTGAGTGGGCTTTGAACTAAAATGAGCAGTGACGTCCATCTGGCCTACCAATGCAAGAAAACATATGGACTCCAATCCAATGGGCCTTCCCCCATTAAATTCTCCTTTACCGAAAGAAGACCGTTGCGGGTTGAGCCAACCAAATGACGTGGCTCCACCGAGACGCTCCCGGTTTCTCTCTACCTTTTCTTAATCTCCCAACCAATCAAAATAGAATAAACAATTTAAATTTCCCCCCAATTTGACCGTTGGGAAACAGATCTCAAAACCCGCCCAAAACGTTCAAAACCACCCACACAGAAAGCGGAACCTTTCACTCCTCTCTACCTCTCTCTGTTTCTATCTCTCTTTCTGCCCTTCCAATCCCCACATAAAATCTTTCCATGGCAGAAAACAGTGAAAACCCACCATCGTCGTCATCATCATCGATCATGGTTCCGAAGCCGCAGCACCCGCTCCACCAAATTGCGGAAACCCCGACCCACAAGCTCTTGCTGAAGCAGTGGCTGAAGGAGGAAGAACTGATCCTGAACAGAGTGTCTTTCAAGGAGTCCCAGATTGACTCTGTTCGCCGGGAAATCACGCAGCTATACGTCTTCTTCTTCCTTTTCCACTCCATTTCCTTGCTTCTCCTCTTCAACCACGCTTCTTCTGTTTCCTCTTCTTCTGCCTCGTGCAAACGATCCTGGATCCCCTCGCTCTCTTCGCTGCTCTGCTCGATGGGGATCGTGTGGGCGGTTCGGTACAAGACAGATGTGGAATCCCACATGGAGAAGCTTCTGGAGAGGGAGAAGGAAGACGGGAAGCTGCTGGCGAAGTGCGTCGAGGAGTTGAAGAAGAAAGGTCTGGAATTTGATCTGTTGAAGGAAGTGGATGCTTTGAGGAGGGCGAAGAGCTTGAGGGTGGAATCCAAGGCCGTGAAGAAGTGGTCTGCGAGGGATTTTGCGACTCTGTTTTTCTTTACCGTTTCGTGCCTAGTTCTCGGTTTAACTAGAGTAATATTGTGCAGCTAGATTATAATTGGCTAAGGGATTTCTCCCCGATTTCTCTCCTGTTTTGGAGAATGCTCTGTTTTTCCTTTTGTTTTATTGGGATGATTTGTTTCATTTTTTGGGAAGGATGGTTCGAGGAATTTATGGGTAAAGGGGAGATGATTGGTTGCAGCGGAATGCTCTGTTCTGCGTATTATTTTGTGTAATGGCTTGGAAGGATCCTGTAATAAGATAATAATGAGCTAATCTTACATTAACAGCTTTCAAGTTGACAACAGTCATTCATTCCATCATCAAATTGCTGCTTGTTTATGCCGCATATCAATTACTAACAAATGAGAAAAACAAATCGTGGTAATATTCAAGCATACAATCTTCTAATTACAGCAAGGGATAAAATCCTCCCTTTAGCTTCAAATCGGACAATGAGATTACACATGTACAAGAATTCAACAAAGAGTTTCTGAATTGTGCAACTGAAGATCCTCAAACATTATGCCTCGTATGTGCTTGTGATCTGTGTATCAGTCTATCTATCGACCTTCTCCAATGAGCCCATGTAGCATGGGCTTCGAGGCATTGTGCGGAGAAACCTCTGAATCGGCCACCATGGATGTGCTCGTGGATGAAGTGTAATGGCTGGTATCTGTAGTACCTTTGGTAGCGATGTCGCTCATGAAGCTGCCAGTCGTATCGTCGTACCTCCAATCGGTCAAATATCCGGGCCTAGATGTAACTGTGCTCACTTCAATGTCGCCTGATAGCATTGCCACAACCCGGGACATCGATGGCCTCAGCGAAGGGGAAGCTTGCGTGCAGAGTAGAGCGATTCCTACCAATCGTTTCAATTCTTCTTCGTCGAATTCGGAGAGCCTGGAATCAGCCAGCTCCACTTCCCGGTTGTTTTCGTGTAGGTACCAGGCCTGAAAATAGGGATAAGTCAGAGGAATAGCTCCAACAAAAACACTAGTAAAATCTATGGCTCTACAGATGAAAGAAAAAAGACAAATAACACAGCAAATCTTAAGGTAATAAGCCATACCCATTCAAGAAGATACATCTTTTCTTCATCCAAGGTTGGGTCTGAATTAGGCCTCCCGCTTACAACCTCCAGAGCTACCACTCCAAAGGCAAAGACATCAGCTTTCTCAGTAAGGTGTCCACGCATGGCGTATTCAGGAGCTAGATATCCTCTGCAATCAAACAATCATGGAACTTCAGTGACAGATAAACAAACATCGGATTATGAAGCAACGAACCGAAATTCTTTCAGGGTAATTTCGTACATTGTTCCGGCGACACGGGTGCTGATGTGAGTCTTCTTATCATCATAGAGCTTAGCCAACCCAAAATCAGAGATCTTGGGGACCAGCTCGGAATCAAGCAAGATATTGCTGGCTTTCACGTCTCTATGCACGATTCTCAGCCTTGACTCTTCATGAAGATATGCTAGACCCCTCGCGACTCCCAAGCAGACCTCGTAACGTGTCGGCCAGTTGAGGTTCAGGCCGTTTTCACCTGCACCATACAAACCACTTACTTAAGTATGCAAGAGGGTTTGAGCACTAGATAGAGTAAAGTAGAAAGGGCTATGAGTTATGTGTTCGATACCAAAGAGTGCTTTGTCAAGACTTTTGTTCTCGAGATATTCATAGACGAGAAGCCTGTTTTCTCCCTCAATGCAGCATCCGTACAGCTTCACAAGGTTGCGATGCTGTACAGCAGATATGGTGGCAATCTCTGTGATGAACTGGCTCTTTCCTTGGTGAGATTGAACTGACAACTGCTTCACTGCAATTACTCTACCATCATCAAGCTTTCCCTGTTGATTTATAAGAAATTAATCAATGGCAACATGTATGAATAGCTGATTTGCTTGTGATATACAATCGTGTACCATGTAAACGGGTCCAAATCCTCCTTCTCCAAGCTTGTTAGAAGGACTGAAGTCTTGAGTGGCCCCCCGCAGCTCGGCGTAACTGAAAGTGTAAGGTCTGGTATCAATCCCTTGGAGCTCTGCAATTACAAACAGAAAAAAACAAACACAATTCAAACACCTCCGCTACACCCTTTGAAGTAAAAAAAAGTACCTAACTTGATGTGCATGGCTACTGGGTAGGTGGATATGTTCGGGGTTTGATTACCTTCATCTTCGAAGGCTCTTTGTCTTCTCTTTCTCCGAATAATAATGATCATTACAATAGCTAATATCGAGCATGGAACCAAGACACCTATGATAATCCCAACGACCATCCCTGTCTTGTTGTCATTTCCACCACTGTCTGTGCGTGGAGGATTGTCGCTAACAGTTGGTACGAAATCTGCATTTAGAATTTTTAACTCATAATTTAGCAACCTGCTATATCCCTTGTTGCTTAAAGAACCAAGCTTTCGGCATATATTTACCTGGGAGAGCACTGATTGCTGAAATAGAAGGGCCATATACACCTTGTGCAGGAATGCAACAAGTACCCTTTCCAGCCCAGTACAAATGGATGTCCATGTAATTCTCCGAAACCCGGACAGTAAACCGTCTCTGAACAGCCCGGGTCGAGACCCCTCCTGCCTCACTTCTTATGTCGAAATCCCTCAAAACACGAGTCCCCTGGAAATGAAAAACAATACATTTGTTAGTATCAGAAAAACTCATAGCCAGCCATTTCCTTTAGTATATACAGAAGAAAAAGAGTCACCTGGATATAGACATCAAACATCCTTCTTCCGAGACTCCTCCAAGTGTTACCATTCTCAATGGCAGTCTCAGCAAACTGAAGTGTGACGCTGTAGTTGCCATTCTCAAGCCCCATGCCATAGTACCTCAGAGATGAAGCAGAGAGACGTGCCGTCTGAAACAGCTCCGAGTCTAGAGTGTTGGTGAACTGAGAGGACGAAAATGATGTGTACTGAGGATTGTTGTTTCCTGCAAACAAGCCAACGTTGCTGACTCCCCATCTGTTTGTTGGGGTCACGAAATATGTTGCTGGACCAAGAGTCTCATTGTCCCTTTCGAAGGTTAGCCGAGGACTGGCGGTTGTAATGGCTGGACCACCACACTTCACTGAAAATTGGGAATCTGTATGTCGCAAACTTGAAAGTATTAGAATATACCTAATTTTGAAACAAGACGTTTCATTTTAATGGCACTTACATATTGGACTATTTCTGTTGCAGGGGAATCCTTGTTGAAGACAGTTAATCCCGGTAGGCAGGCCATTAGTGTTGGAAGGATCTATTGTGAAGTTGTTGAATACTATGTTCCTGCAAAGATATCATAAAGATGCCAACTTGAGAAGTAGATTCTCATATGCATTGTACTGTGTATTGAGTTGGTAATAAGGATCTGACGCCAGTCGAATCTAAACAACTTACAGCTGAAGATTTCTTCCATTTGTCCAAGAAGGCAAGGGCCCTCCTATGTTATTGTATGAAACATCGCTGCCACCATAAAATTACCAAAGCTCAATCAATACCGTGGGCAAAGGAAAAAATCAAGCTTAACATAAAATGTTGGATTGGAGGGCTCAAAAGTATCAGCTAACAAGGGACAGGTCAAAAGTTGGAAGCTTTCAAGTTAATGATGGCGCTAAGATGTTAGTGTAATCCTTGCCATTGGGCTTTGTTCAGGCTACTTACATATTGACAAGTGAAGCACTTTTCTGAGCAGGAAGAGTACCATTCAGGCTGTTATTCCCAAGAAACCTACGCATGAAAGTAGCAAACAAATTTCAATCTGAAAGTTCATGAAGAAGTAACAAGGTTCACGTACAGAGTTTAAAGTAATAGTTATTACAAGAAAGTGAGAGAGCTCATATTGAAAACTGCGGCTGGGATTGTTCCAGTGAGACGATTGAAGCTCAAGTCCCTACAAAATCGATCAATGGAAGCACATGGTAAGTAACTTTGTTTGTTCTTTCAGTAAGACTCTGGCTTTGCCAATGGGAGTAACTTACAGAAATCCCAAATTCGGATAGTCCCCCCATATGTCGGATGGAATTGTACCAGCTATACTACTGTCCCTCAGGACCCTGCAGGAGACATTATAACAGATCACTTCATTTGTTAAATAAGAGAACTGAAGAAAGACAAGAGTTGAGACGAGCAAAAGCTTACAAGGTGGATAGGGAAGTCAAGCCCCTAATGAATCCCAGAGAAGAGGTTCCGTTCGTAATACCACCTATCCGTCTGCGTTCGTGCAAAGATTAGATTGCTAGTGCCATTGGTGAACACAGAAACTAAGCTAGGTCGAGATAGGGAGGTATAGACAAACTTACAACTCTGTCAAATTGGTTAAGTTGGAGAAGGATGATGGTATTGGACCGCTAAACGAGTTTCCTTCAAACCGTCTACAATCATGGCAAAATGAGTTCAAGACAAATTGAGCATTGGAGAAATAATGATGATGGTGATAGTAATGAGGGTAACTCACAAAGTTGTAAGCCTTCTCCAAGTCCCTATGAAACTAGGAATAGGGCCTGTGAGAGCATTATCTGATCCCCATCTGAAAAGAACAAACAAATGATATGATACCATCAGCAAAACTGAGATGAAATGGAGGATTTGAAGAATTGTAGGGAAAGGAATCACCACCCACAACAATGCACTTACACAGTCTCCATGTTGGTTAAATTAGCAAACGTCGAAGGAATTTGGCCGCTAACTCCAGCACTATCAAAATATCTTTGAATGTAGTAACAAGTAGTTTTAGTTCCATGGCCATCTCATAATCATTCATTCCCAATAACATTTCTATCAAAGAAGTAGCATGACTCACATTTGTTGAAGCCTTGACAAAGTCCCCAGCTCAGACGGCAAGGAACCTGTGAAGTTGTTTGACCCGAAACCACTATACCAGATAACAAAATCAGTAAGCAAATGATCAGCATTGCTTGCAACTTAATCCATCACCAAAAGTGGGTTGAGTAACAAGAAGCAGAAGAGCAGAACTTACAATGATCTTAAATCAGTAAGCAACCCAATCTCCCTAGGCACAGGCCCGGTGAATTGATTAGTGGCCAAATTCCTAGAAACATAAACATTTCAGAGTTAGGAAAAGGAAAACTCTCTCTTCAAGTTAACTGACAACAAAGTGCATATCAACAAACTTACAGCCACTGCATACGCGTCAAATTGCCAATGGATGGAGACAAGGTTCCAGACAGGAAATTCAGACCCAAGTTCCTGATTTTATATAATCAAAACAAAACCAAACACCTCATTCAGAAGAAGAAAAATTGAGCCACCAACTGAACTGGGAAACAAAAAGATGAAGAATTTGATCATTTAAGGTGATGAGTGGTTGGAGAGCTCTACAGATTGGTTAGCAAGGTGAGACTCCAAAGCTCATCAGGGATTGGACCAGCAATATCCATAGACGATACTTTCCTGCAAATTGCGAACACAAACCCAACAACAAAGATGATTATTTTATAGAGCAACCAACCAAAAAAAAGAAGAAAAAAAAAAAGAGGGAACAAAGAGGTGGGTACAAACAGGGCGGTGATGCGGCAGACGGTGGAGGAATTGAAAGTGCAGTCGCATTTGATGAAAGGGTTGAAAGCTTGCTCGTCGATGGTGGGGCTTGCACCCAGCGCCGATCCACTGCAGAGCTCGCCGCTTATGTTCCATTGCCCCGGTTGCGCTTCGATTCCCCATCTCTCGAAAATGGCGTTCAATGCTCTTGCTGCATTACAATTACAAAGCCCCAAATGAATGAGAAGGAAATTCCGTTCCCTAGCAAAGATGTCAATAGACTCCATTATAGTTCCCGCGGAAAACCTTGGTGTGAACAACACGAATGGCCACTCAAACTAACAATCGTTAGGGCCCATTACGAATAGCCCACAAAGACAATGGCCCAATCGCTCAGGAGACCGAGGCTTCAACGGCAACGAGAAAGCGACGAGCCGCCACGTGTCCATGACTCAGCTATTGTATTTAATTTAAATATCGACCACCGTCTCTCCGACCAAGAGCAGCCGCCAGGCTGCCACAAACAATAATTGACCACTTGCTGCCATCTCCACTTTTTCATAATTACGAACAAAACCAATCCCTCTTCGAGTTTCGGTTCGATTTTACAGATCTCAGATGACCGATGAAAGCTTGATCGGAAGATTGAGAACCAATTTCTAAATATATATATATATATAGCGGCAGAGCAGAAAACAGGGGAATTATTTATAATTGCAGAGAAGAGAAGGGGAAGAAGGGCGCCTACCTTCGTCGGGATGAGTGGCAGCACGAGTCCGATTCTGGGCAAGTGCTACTTGGACGACACCGGCGATGGAAACAGCATAAAGAACGGCGGCGATTAGTGCAGCAGCTGAATACGGAGACGCAATCGACATAGAGTATTTTGTCCCGGCGACGGGTCAGAGATAATTAGATGGCAGAGTGAGAGGAGAGGAGGGAACAGACAGGGGGATTCAATGTTAGCCAAAACTGAAGGATGGCTGTTTTGACTTGTTATATTCAACTGTGACAGAGAAACAGAGATATTGTTATATAAGGTAATAAAAAACTAATGCTAGTGCTTTGAAAAGTCGTGACTACTCTACAGTGTCAACTTGGGGAAGGTTCAGAAATAAAAGAGCTCGAGATGGCTGAAAGCATTGGTCCAATGGCGCTTAATTATATTATTATTATCATCATCATCATCATCATCATCTTGTAATGTAATGTAATAAGGTGGGTTAATTATAAAAACACGCTCCCGGAGCCCAATTGATTCCCGGCCTCCAACTTCTCTTCAATCAATCTCGTCGGCTGACCAGGAGCCATCAGAATGGGTTGATTAGGTTAGAAAATTCAACGTCCTCGTAAGCGGATCGGGGCCCATTAATTTAATTGCATGCGTACACCTGCCTGCCATTATGCCTTGCCTGCCTGCGTCATTGTCTCACAATGCGACGCTCTGCTCTGTCTGTTCTTCTCTGTGGAAATTGGTTTGTGGTTGAAAATTGATTAAAAACCCACGAAACTATCAACTGGTCTGGGAGGAGAGTTGCATCAATTGAAAAATTGCCTGCTACTAATAAGAAGACTTGACTTTGCTTGAGGAGGAGGAGGAGGGTGTACGGAGAACAAAACTTTGGTCCCTCCAGTCCCTCGTTATCTTGATTCAGGCAAGGTGGGAGAAGGGCCCCAGAAAAGGACACGTGGGGCTTGACTTTTCAATTCTTTTGGTAAATTGGGAAGGTTGAATGAATGTATCCCCTTGCTATAAAGTAAGTAATTAATGTCCGCCGAGTTCATTGATCCATCGTCATTCGTGTCTAGCTAGCTAGTAGCAACCTCCGGCCTTGAACTTGAAGGGTCGATTCTGTTCTGCGGCAAGCATTTGTAGTATTGAATTGAATTGACTAAGTTAATCACCAAAGTACTGTACAGATTTGGTGGGAGAGAGGGAGAGAGAGAGAGCCAACGCAGAAGGAGAAAGCAATGGCCTAAACTCTTCTTCTCCGTCTTCTTCCATGGGGTCCGAACTCCGAATTGATTCCCTGTGTCTGCCATTGCTGGGTTTTCTTGTCTAGAAACAGAGGCTCTGTAAATCATAACTGTTTCCTTCTCTGATCCATCAATTGACAATTGACAAGCAAGCTAGGATCTAGCTACTGTAAGCAACGGAGAAGATGTACATCCAGGAGCATCAACTACCAGGCACGTACCATCTTTTTTTCTTTCTTTACCTGGAGGATTGTTTTGTAGGGATCAAAACAGAAGGGTGAGGTGATCCTCTGTTTTTGCCACTGTTCTTGCAAAATATAACTGTTTGCAACGATCTATCAATTCAGGTCAATTATGGTATGATGAAGCCCTTAATAACTCGATCGATCCAGGCCCATTTCCAACGTTTCTCTATTGCCCAATTGTAGGAATTGGGCCTCCTTTTCTTGTCAAACACCAATGAACACTGTGGATAACATCTAACACGCATATATCTTTTATTCTTATCTATGCTTGGGCCATCCAGTTTAATGAACCTCTGGGCTTACAAACAGATCCAATAACAAAAATGTTGGAGATTGGGCTCCAAAGTCCCGGATCTGCAAAATTGTTTACCTTTGCGGTTGTGGACTTTTTGTTTTCCTTGAAAAGACTCCATTTGTTTTGTGCCCATATTTGCTCTAGTTTACTCACTGGTCACTGTTGGACAATAATTTTCCATAACAAGATGAAGAAGAGATAAAAAGGTTTGCTGTGTTCCGTATGCACTGGAAAGCAAAGATAATAAAAGTGGGGGAGATTGATTGGTCTTGGTCATATCTACTAAACAAAACGGAAAGGCAAGCACGGCCGACGAGGAGATTAGATATAAAGTGTTGGAACAAAAGGAAGACGATGGTGGTGGCGATGATGATAACGATAATTAGAATATTGAAAGAAGAATACTCCTTTAAGTAATTGGCTTTACCTTTCCACTTCATTCCACCATATAACAAACACACAACTCAAGATAATCAAAAGTCGCCAATTTTTGCTCAAGGGTTGCCCCATTGTTGACTCTCTCTCTCTCTCTCTCTCTGGGTAAAGTGGAGAAGTCGACTGAGAATCCGAATACCACACACAGACGACAACGGTATGCAAGTGGGCCGCCTTTCCATTTCATGCACATATATAATATAATTTTACTCGCTCTGATATTTATCCGCCTGCCTTTGCTTTCGACATCCCAAAACATGTTCAAATGTCGTTTCGTGACCACGGGGGGCTGGTAGGTTCCAAGCCAGTGGGGTCGCCGGAAGCAGAGAAGCCAAATTTGGCCGGCTGGATTGTAAAAATGATCGATATCTATATAAAAAAAGGGAAAATCGTGGGCCTTGGCATGCTTTGTAGTTTGTACTTAGTACGGAGAGTTCATTGTTTCCACCAAAAATTCCACTCTGACTCATCCATCTCATCGGAGTATAAAATATATATATACCGGTCACATCGTGACGTTTACAAAGAGACCAAACACAATAATTCAACTATATATTATCGATCAGTTTATAATAAATAAATAAATATTGTCAAGTTGCTTGCCCTGCCTATTATATAGTGAGACCATTCAGCGATACTCATATGGCTTTGGAGTGAGGAAGCCGACATGGACATCACCTACACAAAAATATAAGGAATGTTCCGATTTGAATCTAATATATATTCTCCTCAATGGTGTCTTGAGGTGGTAACAACTTCCAGGTTTGAGGTGGCGAAAATTTGTAATGAATGGATTTTCATATTTTGTATCCAACCTGTTGTTATACTATCCCATCCCCTTCCCCACACGTTGTGATTGTACTTATAAATTAAGAAGCACGAAGTTCGATGTAGCGGTTTGTCTCTAATTTTCAGCTTCTTCAATTCTTGCTCGTGCTTTATAACCAACCGCCCGCGTATATCGCTTTCTACAGCCACCAAATAAAACCTATCACAATCAAAGGACTAGTCATTATACTAACAACGAAAGAAGCAATTAATGGCAATAAAATAAACTCACTTGCGTTACGAGGCAAGAACGTCCGAATATCACCCTCTACAAAAACTCCAACTTCCCAAAATGCTACGTACACGTTTACAGCAAATGAATACATCAAGCAATATAATAGCACTCTCCCATCCCATGTGGTAATTTAGTACCGGCGGAGACCACCGTACCCAAAAAAAAACGGGTCGAAATCTTAAAATCACATAATTAAGCCTGACCGACCGACCGACGGTGGCAGCTTAGCAAAGCGGAAGGAAAGAGACAGCAAATCGTGGAAATCACCGTCGTCGTCATAAATGTCCCTAGCTAGCTAGTTAAAAATTAAAACCACAACCGCCCCCTCTCCTCTCTTACATCTTTTTCTTCCGCATGGCGCCAGCCATTGTTATTAGAGATCGAGCACGGTACCGTAGCCTACGGTTGACCCGTACGTACGGCATCCAGTACCCATAGCTGATCTCCTCTCTCTCTCAGTATGACAAAACAATAATGTAATGATCCCCGCTGCAGTCCATCTAGAGCACCAGCCAGCTATTAACAATTCCCTTACAGAAAAGAAAAGAAAAGCCCGGTTGGATCTAGCTAGCTAGCCACTGGTCCAGTTCGTCTCTCACATTAACTACGTACGGTCCGACCCCACTGGCTGCTTGATGATGGGGTTGGGGCTGACATGGACTTGACCGGCCCGACCCAGGCCAGACGGCCCATTCTGTTTCTGGAAGAAGAGCACTGACTGCAGGATGAACGGCAGTCGGGCGTTAGTACGTATCAAGTGGGCCACGGCGGCGGGTCAGAACGCGCGACTCAGGAGGGTTTGAGATCGACGAGAGGAATTAATTAAGCAAGTTGCTAGCTGTGCACTGCCACGGCCCACGCGCAACCTACCTGTGCTGTGTGTCTTTGGTTGGGTAGCCAACTACTATTCAATCGGTCTCATTCTTAGCTCCAATTTTGTGAGCATATAGTTTTTTGTTTTTGTTTTTTTGTTTAACAAAGGGTACTATCATGTCATTACCAAAGGCAAAGGCCAAATGTTACCGGAAAGGAAACTAACATCAATAATTTGAAGTCATTTCAAAGGGAGCTGGTTACGGGCTCGTGATCTTGTACAACAACACAAGTACTGGAGTTCTTTCTTGTCTTTAGTTGTGACAGTTGTGAGTTGTTATATATTCATCTTTGTTCATTGTACAAAATCCTGTTGTTATGTCGTGTTTTGTTCATTATTTCTCCATTATATATTTCCTAACAGTAAAATTACAAATGAAAAGAAAAGTAACGCATACTCTTATTATTCACTTTTTTTTATAAGGAGAAATTATCCATTGCCTAGAGCAAACCTCGACGGCTCGACCCTTATGAACATCTAACAAGTTTAAAAGGGTCGGACGGATATCACACCTTATTGGTGGCCAACACAATAACATCACACAAGCGACAGCTACTAAGACCCAATTTCAAGAGCTACCTGAATCCAAACCTATGTATTTATTTCACATACACGCATTACATGAATAGCCTAAAGACTAAGGAAACAAAAAAAAAATATTTCACAAAACTTATCGATCTAAGTTAAACATGTTGAACTTAGAACTCACATCAAATTACCTAACATGCATGCATTCATTTCATGCACCTAGAACAACTCTTTCATGAATTTCATCCAATTGATTCTTCCTATCAGTGTGACATTTTCCTCATCATCGATCGCTAGTAAATATCTCACCAAACCCATTTCATTCCAACTTCAAATTGGATAAAACCACAACCAAACAAGCACCTAATTTTTTTTATATATAGAAACAACCACCTAATTAACTTGCAATTCAGTGCCCAATTTCCCTCTCTAGCTATTTGCCCTCTGTTTCTAGCCCCTTGTGTAATTTCCTTATTGATGTGCGTTCGTACCCGTCCATCACATAGCATGTCGAGCCCATTTACGTGCAAAATTTTCAAAGCTACGTTCGTACTAGTCACCCACTCTTTTGTCAAAGTAATGCACCTAGCTACTCTCTAGTCTCTCCTCTCCCCTTTTAATTTATTACAGAGAGAGAGAGACGCCCGCCCTATTCCGCCCGCAAACCCCTTTTTCTATGTATCTTCGTCTCTGATAAGATCGAGTCGCTACCATTTACTGTTTTGAGTCCAACTACTCTACGTACCATGCACGTACGTACAAAACAAAACAGAGGTTTCAAGGACGTTCTTCTATCCATACGTACTTTAGAAAGTTCTACTGTCTGTCTGCCCACGTTGTTAATTTGTTTTTCCTACCCACCTACCTTACTGACTAGTTACTAGTCTATTACTACTACTTAATAAATGTTCAACAAGCTAGAGATATTTGAACCCTCTTTACGTACGTAGTAGTAGGGAATGGTAGATATATATATGGAGCAAAGTTTTATAAGTATTCATTTCCCATATTTTTTTTATATGTATTTTTAACTAGAACTATTTGCAAATTGAGTAAGAGGTCACAAGTCACAACCCCATCTCACTTGTGTGTAGCTCCACCATGACTACATACCGACCGAATATAAGCTCACTCGACTCATGTTCTCGATCGACTCATGTTCTGACACTGCTTCACAGTTAGGCCACACAATAACTACACGTTTGCAAGCATCGGTGTTAGTGTTGTGGTATATGATCCACGATTGAACCTCTCCCAACAACTCGAGTTATTGGGATCAATTGGTTCTTGACAATCGGTTCTTCAAATTTACGAACCAAGTCAAGTCAAGTGCTGCTTGTACAATGATCATCCGTAATATATACAGTTGAACTTGAAATACTCCAAAGGGCAGACATATTACATATAGTACAAGTGCGCATATATCCGTAGCTAAGCTCAATCAACCTTTTGATATCATGGTATGGGACACTTGGCTAGCTGGTGCATCGTTGGTCCTAAAGCTTTACAGCAAAACCAAAAGGTACGTACGTACGTAGTGAACTAGTTGTTGTTGCAGTCGCTTGCTGACTTGCTTGCTATAGCCTTAGCCTATATATATGTGTGCGGTGTGACGTTAGATTGTTGGCCTGACATGGCGCCCAGCCCATCTTGTATTGTTGTAGCACCGTACAGTGGCTAGCTTTTGTAATACCCGGCCGTATGGGTCATGACATGGCGCCCAGCCCATCTTGCCGTTTAAAGCCAACAGCTTTTATTCCCCATTGCGAAAAACAGCTGTGGGACGACCCAACCTTTTTTTTTTTTTCTTCTTCTTCTAATATACACTAATTATTATTATTATTATTATTATACCAAAAATGACGTGTTAGCTTTTTCCCCCTTGGTTTCGGGGTACGGAGAGCTTGGCCTGTCGTTTGATTCTCTTTTGAGGTCACTCACCCGTCAGCACGCTCTGTCCATTCCATTCCATAACAACAACCTCTGCGTGGAGTGGAGTGGAGTGGATGGCCATTGATTAAGAAATCAAAGCGCTTAGGGGTTGATATGTCAATACCATCAAAGTTGAGTGACCATTTCTGTCATTGACCCAATATTAATGTAGATAGATAGTTACTTTTTCTTGCTATTATATATATGGTTCATGGTTGGTCTTAGTTGGCTAGCTAGGGTTCTCGATCTTTTTCTCCTTTGAAATTAAGAGTAAAAGGGAAGGATAAACACATGCACACTAGCTTATATATATATAGTTGAAAAGAAGTAGTACATATAAGTTTAGGGTGAGTGCTTAATTAGGGGAATCTGATCGATCTAGAGGTAACGGATACACAAACCAAAGGCAACCTACACACAAGGATTTGAGTCATACCAAATTATACTTTTCGCTTTATGATGTTTTCCCCATGGGTTCAAAAATGCCAACAAATTTTGTCTCAAATATAATTAAACAACTCCTGCTCTTTTTTTATATATAGATGCTTCCACAAGGAAATTTGGGGAGAGGAACGGGCCGGCCGGGTTGAGCCTTATGAGTTCAATTTGCAGAGTATTGATTACTTCAATAATTAATTGGGGCATGGACGAAGTAGATTACATAATATTGTATGTGCGCATTAGGTAAAGGGTCCAAAGACTGGATTAACATGATGACAATAAATACATAAAAACAATATATAGAGTCCAAGAAAATTGTCACTTCAATTTGGTTTGCTGATAATTCTTTATTTCCGAGTTCACACCGCCCACTACTCCATTGATTGATTGTATTGTTTGCTTATAAACACAAACAATCTTTGTCCAGTTAAATTTTTATTTTGTTGGTTCTTTATTTTGAAAATTTTGAACATCATCATCATATGAAAGACTACAACTCACTCACTCTCTTTTATCACCATAATCGATCCTTCCAAAAACAAACATAGCCTGCCCGTACGGGAATCATATATTTTTTTCCAAATATAAATTACTACTTATATATATCAAATTCACAATTATCTAACCCATAGAAACAAAGAAGAATAATAATAGAGGAGACATGTGACGTCGTGTAAAACCACAATACAAGTTTCCAATTTCTTACTTGTAAGGTATGTTCTAGAACAAAATACTCCAATAATAAATAGCCCTTGGTCAATAATTTCCTCTTTGTGCGTTCACATGTATAAATAAATAAATAAATAAATAAATAACCCGGAGGGTTAAAGCTCAGAGGGTGCGTAAGAGTCAAATTCATATCAGAATTAGTTGATATAATATCCAATGTCTGTAAGACGTCTTAGATCGATCATCAAAAATAGTTTACAGTTCTTTAACAAACTCGTAGTAGTCAATAATTTTTTTTGTGTGGGTACCAATGCAGAATATGATATACTCAACCATGCAATCAGTTCAAAAGATATTATTCGACTTCAAATTGTTAGCAGTTTGCCATAAATAAAAATCAACTATACTGAGATTCTCACAACTCTCTACACGTACGTTTATGAAAAATTGACATACCCACATGTTTACAATGCCATGAGAACCACATAGTGATTTCCCAAAGACATATATGTTGCAACCGATTCTTTGGCTTATGGACTTATTTTAGATTACTTTGAACCGAACCGTAACTAAAGGCCAATTGATAATCAAAACCAACATAACCAATACCACCGGATGGAGGGGTCGGTTAGTCATTCGCTTTCTAATTACGGTTGTTTAGTTTATGTTATCGCCGATCGAGTCGTACGTCATCGTCGCTGTCGGTTTCCCAGCAATTTCTTCCTTCTTTCTTTCTTTCTTTCTTTCTTTTCCCCCACCCTGTTTTGTCGTGTTTAACGTTTTATTTGCTTGCGTTTTTGGCTTGGATTTCTAGTTTATAACGCCTTTATGCTTCTTGTTCATGGAATAAAAGCTTTTAGGAGCCAAGGAAAAAGAAAGAAAGAAGGAAAGAAAGAAAGAAAGAAAACAATGGCAGCTGGGAGTAGAAGTTAGTAACCATTAAAGTATTGGTAGGTGGGGACTACTACTCAATTCATCTGTCGTTCTGTACGATTGACTGTACGGCACCGTCGTCGTCATTATATATGTGTTTGGAAGAAGAAGATCGAGGAGGATCGATTTGACGTTTGCCAGCTCTCTCCCTTCTCCCAAAGCTTAATTAGCTGACTCATTAAAATTCCCTACGTACGTTACGTCCTCCATCAAAAACAACTTTTCTTTCCACTTGGTATAGAAGAATAATCGATGAGTCAGAATAGTTGTGGCGATGTTGGAATGCGGAGATAAAAGATTGATCCTAGAATTCTTAGGAGAGATTGATATTTTTATTTGTTGGTGAATCCTGATTTTGTTGTAAAGATTGCATATGTATGCACACACTTTTACTAGAGCAAAGAAGTAAGAATTTTATTTTTCATGAACTTGCATATTTTCTTGCCTTTTTTTTTTTGTAACGTAACATTATTATTTGATTTATTTGTTTCTATTTTCAACTTCTGTTATGTCACACGGCTATTCTACAGTTTGGACTAGATACTGCATCATTCATACCCATTACAATATCCGGACATAAGTCTTGAATAAGTTCATTTCTACACAAACTTCCCACAAACTCTTTTGGAATCGTAACCATCACCACTCTGTCTGGTTGTCCGCTCTGATAACCTCCACCGGTGGAAGCCATTGGCGCAGGGAGAATCAAAACCTGCCATTTCTCACCAACTGGTTCGACATAGGTTGAAACCCTAATCGGCGCCAACCCATCCTCGAACCTAGCAGAGTATGGGTCTACTCCATCCAACCCAATACAAACCATCTCACAATTGCCATGATTGATTGGGGAAGGGGACTCCTTTTGATATGCACCATCATTATCAAGGTCGTCTTTGCATCTTAGCCACTCGATTAAGCCCATTACTGAGTTTGAGTTCGTTATCTCCCCTGCAGCTTCTCTTATGGCCATGACCGCACTAGGCAATGATGATATCGAGGGAGGTTCATGACTTGAACATTGAACTCGATTGTGTATCATGCAATTACCAAAAAATCCACTATCCAATCCCAATGCCTTTCTAGCATCCAAGCATATGGACATGTCCACTAACCCATCGCCCTCCTTCTTCACTTCACTCAGACACAACCAAAAGAGACCTGATAACACCTCGAATGGTGATGCTTGCATCTGGTTCGACCCTGTCTGAGCCATGGCCATGCAGGATTGCACCATGGAGCCCGTGAATGAGAAGGAAAGAGTGGCCACGTGGCTTGTGATCAGCTCGACATTTTGATCAACGGTCACAACAGAGTTATTAATGGTAGCCTTGTATTGTTCAATCAAGTCATTGGTTTTACTAATGTGGGAGATACTAGGGTTGTGAATGAGCTTTGGGATAGGCAAAGGGTGAAAAAATGGTGGATGTTGCATTTTGACTAGGAAAGCTATGTCAGCCCATGCCTTGATGAACATAGTTGCACAAACCGGATCGGCCAAAAGGTGATAGCAACTCAACCCTATTGCCACACCCCCACCTTCAAACTCTGTTAGCTGAAAGCCAAAAACAAGAACAAGTTATGTAGTAGCTAGGGTTCAATTTCAAAGTTTTAACCCAAAATTCGAACGAAAATCTATATGGATTTGTTTAGAGCAAGAACAAACTCTCTCTTTTTTACCTGAACATAGAAAGTGGACCAAAAGTAAGGTTTATGGAACATCTCCTCCCAATGGACAAGCTTCATCTCCCTTTCTCTATCAACATTACTGAGCCATTCATCCACACTCCCTTGTGCTCGAGCCTCCACCATTCTCACCCCTGCATCGTTGCACTTTATCATCCAAGTCCTCCCGTCTTCCTCCTTCACCAGCCTCCCCGTTATGATAGGGAAAAACGTGAGTGTCTCGGATATCGACTCCCTCAACATTTTGGTGATCTCGCCTGGCTCGTAGTACTTGTTAGGAGTAGTAGTATCCTTCAGATAGTACACCATCTTCAGGTGATTGTCTCCCATGACCCGGTCCAGGACGGAAAGTGAGTGGCGCTTCCCTGGTTGGACCGGTTTCGTGCTCACCACGGTTCGCTTGCATATGTAAGTGACCATTGGGTTGGTAGCCATTGGCTTTGTTTAATTTGTGACACAATTTATGTGGTTAATGCTTGTTGTTTTTGTGTGTGTATTTTGGGGTTTGGACCATCATTATATACATGAGGAAAACATTGAGTTGGGTGAATATTTTTCCATTAGTAGGTTGAAGAATCAGGGAAATGTGGTTTTCGTGATGGGATGAGTTCATGATATTTGTGAGGGTGCCTTGCTTTAAGGTACTGGTAATGCCATTCCAGAGAAATTGGAGGACTCTCCAACTAACCTTAATCATGTGATGATTAATTTATTTTTTCCTCTAGTATTTGTTGTTTGATTGAAAGAAAAAAACTGTTTTTATAGTCAAATTAACAAACAAACCTATATATTTGCTACATCGTTCACAGATCCTGAATCTTGGTATAAGAAATTTTGTTCAAATATGTTGCTAGTTAGGTCGACTCGTGGTTAGTGATTAAGCACATCTATAGATAAGTCAAATGACATGAAGCATTATGACCAGCTATTACACTCTACGTATGATGATCGAATACTGAATTGTAAACATATCAAAAGATGCCGATGTTAAAAGTTCAAGAATGGCATATTTCATAAATTTGTTGAGTATCATTTTCTATATACATTCACTTGATGATTTCTCTTAAAAATTGGAACTCGCTAGATGAGAGTTGGCTCCAAAATGGCTATTATTAATGCTTGTTTCTCTTATTCTGTTTCATGACCACCGTCAAGCATGGAATTGTGGCAGAAAACAAAAAGAAGAACAGCCTGTCGAATGGTATTAATTATGGAAACAAGATAATTTTTTTAGGGAGCGAAAATAGTAATCATCTTTTTTTCATGTACCACCTAACCAACTGCCTCTCCTTTTATGTGTTTATTAATACCAGAATACAAAGGGGGAAACAGAAACTAAAGATTATTGGGGAGATCAGTTATTGATTTATTATCTCTTCGTCATCATCATATCTTTTCTTTCCAAGTAAAGCACAACCGGATAACCGGCCTGCCATAAGAAAGAAAAACTTGCCTCTACATTATTGTCATGGCAGTTTAGGAAGGTTGGTCTTCGATAGGGATAGATAGATGCATAAAATTTATAAATATATAATGTTGAGTTATCGGATCTAATATGTTGATTTTGATTAGTTTGAATTTATACGGTTGATACATTATCTAACTGTGATCAAGTTAAACAAACACAGTATGAGAGTCGGCTCTTAGATTTTACTATTTGTCGTGTCAATTAGATCCAACTTCGAATAAAGTGCATTTCCGCTGACTCCCTGAACTGTTGACAAATGTTGCTAGCTCTAATCAAACAAACATATATATATATTCTGTTAATGTGGATGTACATAATTGTTTACCCTTACTAAGTACTATGCAGTACCGACATATGAGTTAATCCTATTGATTAAATCGTGTTCTTGATATCCAATCAGTTTGATTTTATCGTGATTACCATTAATTTGGTTTTGAGTATGGCTAGTCATGATTATCAAATTCTATTGACTTCCAAACTTATCTTATAATTTCGAGTAGAACCAGCTAAGCTAGCTAGTGTGGAAACTGGGATTCTGAGAATGTGTACATACATCCCTGCTTTCAGTCATGTGCTGACTTAATTTCCAGCATTGAAATATTATTATTTTTTCCTCAGTTCAATGTTTAAATAATAAACCAGTTTGCTAGTCATACATATATATGACGAATCAATGTTCGACACATAAGGTAAGAATGTCACTGTAATTATAAATGTATAAACTTAAGAAAAAACGATTAGTTTAATAGAAATCGGCAGTGGGAATATTCATTACAGGTTGTACAGTTAACTCAACTCTCTGTGCTGTCTGATATTGTTTTTTGCAAGGACGCTTTTATTTTACAATATATTCTTCTACCGGCGGGGTACCGGCTTTGTGATTTGTTAAAGAAATTAGAAATTAGAAAATTATATATTCTCTTCTACCAACTGATCATCTTACTCATGTCGGTTGTGATTTCTGAAGGCCAAGTTGTTTGAGCTCATCATTAAGTCCATTAGTCCAACCTTCAATTTGAACTCGCATTCATATTCCAGTGGCTCGCTCAAAAAGAGACGCTCTACATTTTGCAGTTGGTTATTTGTATTGTCTGTCTCCTTCCGAAATTTTATGACATGCGACATTACCAATTCAAATTCTTGTACCATTTAATTTTATCAAATCTTTTGTTTTAAGCACAGGCTCGAGATTAAATGATCTATCTGTAAATTTTGCCAATTCAACCTATTGATTTTATGGATATAACCTTAAAAACAAACGAAGACTTTGTAGAGGATCATTCATAACATATCTAATCTAATATGTAAAATTAATATTGATCAACATTATCTACCTGATAACATTACCTACTATGTGTTTGTAAAGCAACTTGCAACATTGCATAATGCTATAATTGATCCTATAGGGTTGTACCTAAAACTGCAAATGAGCCGGTTCGAACCGAGTTTTAGCTCAACTTGAGCTCCATTTGTTAATATACGAGCTGAGTTTGAGTTTGACTTATTTATTAATGACGTCTAGTCGAGATCGAGTTAGGCATGTTTACTAAAATCTAGGATCGTATTTGATACATTCATTTTACTAGTTCAAATCATTTTATTTCATAGTATCGCAACAATTTATGGTACATATATAGTTTTTATTAATAAAAAATAAGACATTTTTTTCTTACATGTCCAACATGTTAGGTTCATATAGAGTGATATATATAATTTAACGATCCTATGAATGATCAAAATCAAACTCCATATATATAAATCGATTCACTTAATTATAAGTTGGTGATCAAGTTGGCTCTCTAGCCATAATGTTAAGACATCTCATGAGCTCTAAACGAGCCAGCTCACGAGTTGATGAGCTCCACAAGCAACCAAGTCGAACTAGCTCGCTAGCTAAACAAAGTTTAGCTCAACCTCTATTCATTAGTATACGAGCAATGCTATTGTGGATAGGGCGGGTCGACCCACTCTTACATGTTATTTGAAAAAAATACACTCAAATTTTACTTTTTACGATAAAAAGAAGGGGAAAACACTATATAATTGAATAATAGTGATAATAGAATGGGTAATTCAGTCTAACAAGTTGAAAGATTGACTCTAGCTAGTTGAAGAAATGTCAAAATAGGAGAAATATGTATAGATATAGTAAGAAATTGAGATATAATGGGCCAAGAATGGAATGAGGCGAGTTGGAAGTAGATACTCATGCCCCTCCCCACCCACGCTACTGCGGGTCGGGTAATATCGGATCCATCGCGGATCGTGTCGGATAATACCCGCGGGACAGGTTCAAATTGCCATCACTAGTAGCGATATACTCCATCGATAGATAAAATATACAATACATGATCCAAGTTACCGTTATCTGTAAATATCTCACTGTCTTATTCAATGCTTGTCCAACCCTAGAAGAAGGTTTCATCAAGGTGTTGGCGTCCTGTCGTTATTGCTTCTATGCAAAGGAAACAAAGCATAACTCGACCAAGTGCCATATGCATGCCTTAGAAAAGGCTTATGACGAAGTCAGTTTGCAACTCTCTTATGTACGTACATATGATCCGAGAATAATATGGACTTTTACGTTAATTCATTAGTTGTAAGTCCAAAATATCTCAAAGTATATGTGTTTGTACTTTGTAGTACTTACTACGTACGTACTTTCAGTATACAATTACATATAATATCCATCCATCATTACGTCCTCCTGACCACATTGCGAAGAAGATTTTGATTATATAGCTATTTTATTACATGATTATGACATAATTAAATGGACTATATATATGTAACTATGCATTTTTCAGACACTTCTGTATGTATACATCGAACCCCATATTCCACATGAAACACGAACGAACCAAACTTTGGATGAAAGAAACATGCTTGTTGTGTATATACATATGGATAATATTTCTGGTTGTTCTTTTTATTTCCATCGTGGAAAGCTAGCTAGATGGCTGTTAGATTGGATTATACCGATTTTCTTATCAATCAAAACATGTTTTCATGATTTCTTTCTTTGTTTAACATAGATTAATAGAATTAGTCAATAACTCGAGTTGTTGGGAGAACCTCAATTATGGATCATATATTATTTATTAACACATTCTTTCAAACTAAAGTCGCTCATATAGGCTTGAAATTTGCACAGGTTTGATACTATGTGCTTAACATATTAGATGGGTCACCAAAATTTGAACAGAAAACCTCTTGATCGCAGAAACATCTGATATCATGTCAAAAATCAATTGATATCAATATTTCGAGTCTCTACAAGTCTATCTATTCTTTGATTTCGTTCCCCCTGTAAGATCAATATCACAACCAATGGGGTCTGCAAGTATAGCATCATGACATTCTAGATACGTAGGTTATTGTTATATAATCGAACGGATAATAATAAAAAAAATCAAGAAAGTGAATAAGTAGATAGACTTACGAGGAACTCTAAATGAAAAGACAAAAAGGGTTCGAATGTAAAAATCAGAAGGGCAAAACCCATTCACTATTGGAGTTCGATTACAACTTTTTACTAATCATCTAAATTTACAATTGAATAGAATACGATGACTGTATTGGTAATAATCCAAAAGTTCAGGGACAAATTCTGCAATTAATCAACGGAAAAGTGGAGATGGCGGAGTTAGGGCGGAGGAGATCAATGCCCGCCGGCCGCCACAATGCCGGAGTGGCGCGTTAATAACAGCGCGCCAAAAAGGTGACACGTGGAGTGATGGAGTGGGGTCATGAGGGGAAAATGAGAAGACAAAAAAAAAAAAAAACCCAAAAGAAGAGGGACCAAGTAACGGAAATTGAGAATCATCATCAGACAGTCACGGAATAGTACTGGCCGGACATACGGAACAAAAGGAGAAGAAAATTACCCCTCCCCGCTAATTTCGCTCTTCTCTTTCTCCTCCTCACATCACTTCACTTTCCCCTTCCCTTACTCATTCTCACTCCTTGGGAGTTGTGATGTCTCAAAGATATCGTATAATTATAAACCAACGATATTACAGTCACACAATAAGATTGGATCGATCGATATATAGTATGCATCATTGTTTCATAGATCAGTATTTTAGAATTTTGTTGACCATAAGTAATCAGCAACATGACCACATTTTTTATAAATACTAGAGATCTTTCTCGTCAACTATTACGAATCAACCAAAATTAGTGAATAAATGAGTAGTGTTTCTTGATCACCACAAATCAGTTCGAGTATAAGGCAATAATCATTAACGAAACCACAACTGCACAATTAAATGATAAATTGATTGCAGTGTCATCTAAAAGCCAAAACTTACTCCATGATTAGGTTTCCATTGAAGCAAAATTGCACCATTCAATTTAAAAGCTTTCTTTCACAAGATTAGATTGAAATAACTTTCACATGGAGAACACACGCAAATTCATTCACTCTTACATTTCAAAAAACACAAAGGCAAAATTTTAATGCTGCACCTAATCCCAAAAATAACTCCTTCGCCTGAAGGAAGGGAATTAGGGAAATGTAGTGTAGGGGATAATAACGAAAAAACGTTTTTGGACGCTGCCTACATTTTCCACCCCCTCCGTCCGTCCGTCCATTTGCCTCTCCCAAACCAATTATCTCCTTCCACAAAATAAATAAATACATACAAAATCATAAATAATAAAAAATATTGTACCTGCCAAGTACTCCTACCCGTACCGTCCCTTCTCCTCCTTCCGTCTTTTTTTTTTATATATATTCCCTTCCTTCCCCTTCCCTTCACGCCTCTCCCTCTTCTCTCCACTCTCTCTCTTTCTCCGAAACGGTTACACAAAAGTAAAGCATCTCTCTCTCTCCTCCGTCCTCCATCTCCGCCGCCGCTCTCCGGTCAGATTCAGTTCCCAAAATCAATTATGAAGCAATTAATCCGCCGCCTCTCACGCGTCGCCGACTCCTCCACCTACAGCCTCCTCCGCTCCGACTCCCACCACAACCGCCGCCGCGCCGCCGGCAGAGCCGAATCATTTCGGTCCCTAGTGAAGGCGGCGAGGAGATCCAGCTGCGGGAAGGCCGTCCCGCACGGGTACGTCCCCGTCTACGTCGGCGACGAGATGGAGCGGTTCGTGGTGAGCGCCGAGCTCCTCAACCACCCGGTCTTCGTCGGCCTCCTCAACAAGTCGGCGCAGGAGTACGGATACGAGCAGCAAGGCGGGCTCCGGATCCCCTGCCACGTCCTCGTCTTCGAGCGGGTCATGGAGGCGATTCGCCTCGGCCTCGAGTCTCACGACCTCGACGACCTCCTCAGCTCCTCCTCCGCCGCCGTCTCCGTCGGCTACTTATGAGAATTGCCGTCTCTCCGATTTAGGTTTTTTTTAAGATTTGGGGGAGAATTAATTTCACAGGAAAAGGAAAGTGAAAAAAAAAGGGAGGGAGAGAGATGTTTTGGAAGTAGGTGGTTTTTACCGCTGTAAATACAGGAGGTTATTTTTAGTTACCTTTCTAGATGATGATGATGATGATAATTTTTACCATGGTGATGTGGCATGGGTTTGGGAGCTGTAATTTTTTTTTTTTAATGGAGTTGTCCGTCCGTTGTAAAACACAGCTACTGAGACAGGCAAGCAATGGAAGAAAAGATAATTCTAGAGTTAATTAATTAAAAATTCTACCGTTTCCCTGTGAATTCGATTTCCCTCCTTTTTTTAACCCGTCAATTTCGGCTCGATTAAATCTGATGGCCGGCCGGCCGAGGGAATCGGGTCGGGGGATTGGTGGCGGGACAGAGATGTAATTTCACACCTAATGGAGGGGGACAAGAATGCGGATGGATGGAAGGACAAGGTAGAAGGTAGAATCTATGCCCTGTTTGTTAAGGTTAGGTTGGATTATGATCCTTTCTTTCTTCCTTGAAAATCACTACATTTTGGGGCTTCGGTGAAAAAGTTTAGGTAGTTGGAAATACGACTGTACGGTTGAGATTAGCAAAACCATTTTGGCTTCTACACTCGCGTCCTAGCTCAATTATACTCGAAATCGTCCATTATAATTATTCGATGTTTACGCGCGTGTCTTACTTTGTATGATACAAACGAGAATCCTGAAACAAATGATAACGCATTTTTCACTCTCGAATTTTGTTTACATTACAAAAAACCAATACTTATGCATGCAATGCTCAATCGGATACGGTAATCATCATATGGCAAAACATGACAATTCTATTATCGCATTGAGGTGGGATATATGGGGATAGGTTACGGTGATTACTACAAAAGTAGTAATCACCATGGTTATTAAGGGTAAATTGGGTATGAAAAATAAATTGTATTAATTAATTTTTTTAATAAATTACATTTTAGTTAGTTACAAGAATCTATTAATTACAATTCTCTCTCTTTCTCTCATTTTCATAATCTCCAGTCAGATCCCCTTTCCTTATTTTTCTCAATCTTTCTGCAAAAGAAAAAAAACACGAAATCACTACCAATCCATTAGACAACCACTACCACTTTGAAAAATATCAATACCATTGCAAAAATAAATCTATACCGTTACACGAAAACTACCAATATAAACAATCTACCAATATAAATCTATACCATTTCACAAAAAATCAATACCATTGCAGATTTAATCAATACCAATACATGCAAATTAATAAAATTACATGATAATCAATACCAATGCAAAAAAACAATACAAATGCAATAAAATTACATGATTTAATCAATACCACAGATGCCGGTTTTCCCTGCTACAAAATGTTTAACCGTCTAACAATGACCCTAAATATATTCTCTTGGGGTAACTGATTAATAAAATATGGTTATGTATGTTCATTTTAAAATAATAATTCAAAACTCACCTCCTCGTAGAAAACCGGCATCTGTGGTTCCTATGTTCCTTAAGTCAAGGTAATAAAAAAAAAATGCACAATCGAGGTGGTAATGTTAAGGAAGAGTATTATTTTTACGTTCTTTTACAAATAAAACAATACAAGAGAAGCCGTCTTATTAGCACTACACTGACCCCGAATGCCTCCAAACGACAAAGAAGAAGACAGTTTAATTAATATTTTTATTTTTATATATGTAAATACGAATTTTCCTTAGAAGAAGTAAAAGGCCAAAATTAAGAAAATTACAACGACCCCCTCACATGTAAAACAGTGACCTCCGGAAGCTAATGGAAGCTTTGGGGTTAATTAATTATTGAGTATATTATTATTAAATCGAACCACAAGTCATTTGTAAGAGAATAGTACTGAAATTAACTTCTAGCTATACCTGTGGATGTAGTGTAAGTAAGCCTAATTTCTTTGCATTTTTCTCCTCCTCACTTGATTAAATAGGAGCAAGGATGGATTTCGTCCTAGCTAGGACGAGTTTAATGAATTAGAATGAAAAAAAAAATTGTGACATATATGAATTTAATGTGTAATTTTAACGACCAAGGACGGCTTAAACACTATTCTCAAAGTTCAATTCATACATGACGTGCTGTTGGTAGACTGGTTCTAGTTCATAAACATGGTCATTGCTCATTGATTGGTGACCACATATGTGAATGTTACATTTTATTTATTTATTTATGTAGAAGTAGTAGTAATCAATTAATGGATCAATTCTTCACACACTTCACCTAGAAACAATACTGTTGACATGACAATCGAATCATATTATTATTAGTAGTAGTAATCATCATCAAGACTAATTATAAAGAGTCATGAATCTGACCAGTTCATCATGCTTAAGTACTCTCACCTAATCTCACATGTTAGGTAAGATTCAGGTTCATCGAGCCCCTCTCTAGCTCTGTACTGTATGTACTCCCTTCTATTTGGCTTAGTTTAATCTTATGGTTTAAGTTTGAGTTTTACCCTCTTGTCTGTTTCGGTAATTAGTAATTAATTTGTTTGATTGAAATTTGTGTCGGTAGATTTAACGTGGCAACATTTCAATACATATGATTCGTGGCTTAGAAGGTCAGTCACTAGCTTTGAAGTTTGTAAAGTTTCCACTACATATGATTCCTGGTGACTAAGTGTTGATGTATTCGAGTTTATATATGATGAGTATTCGAAGTTACAATTTTTCTTCGGTAAAAGAGTGTATATCATATATATGTGAAACAACCAACCGATTCGTCTTAATATAAAGATTGAAAAATTGATCAATACGTGCATTTGGGACATTTTTTCATATCCTATGAAGATTAAGGTAGTTAATACAGTGATTGTATCCTATTGTTTTTGTATATTAAGCTCGTATATATGTACATACTACCAGGCATGATTGCTTTGAGTTGAAGTGACGTTAATGACTCATCATCAAGCTGCATAATTAGCTAAGTGGCAACCACAACTTGATGTGCCTGAACTGACGTTTCTGGCTAATACACGGGCTAGCTTGATAGATAGGATAATCAACCCGATAATCCCAACTAATTAAGATTATATATAAATGGACCTACCCACAATAATAATGTATGTGTATGGACGGTCTCATTAATCAAATCCATCTGACACGTACACTTCCACAATCATCATCCATTGTTTTTTTTTTTTAGTTTCCCATATCAGTGATTTGAGATTATGTATTATAAGGAATCAAAGGATGTGTTATTTATACTAAACATGGTTGTATATATTGATGGATATTTATCCACAATTGTATAGCCTGTAGTTGTGTGTGCTAGTAGCCCAACTGTGCTAAGAGTAAGGGCTCATTTACTACCCTAGTCCGCCAATTTTGTGTTAGTTGGGTTTGGGTATGTGATTCTCGATCGATTTAAGGGAACTATATGTATATGCGTGTAATGGAGTAGTACTGTAGCCACTAACTGTAGGAAACTATCGCTTTTGTGGATGCAAAATCATTAGTGGTTGAACCTAGTAACTCGTATATCGATCGTTCCTCCTTTGTCCTTTTTCTGATGGGTTACATGTTTATGATTAAACAATAGTTAGGTTTATATATATATATATATATATCTTTTTTTTTAACTGCGCACATTTTGAATATTGAATGATTCGATTTCTCTTCTTTCCTTTCCTTCTTAATTGCAATCTAATTATTCAAGTGATTGATGTATCGTTATGATCATGGTAGGTTCTGTTTATTTGAAAATGAAGATTGAATTTCAATTAGTTTTTCAGTTACTCTCGTAATTGTATTAGAAAACGAACACTAGACAATAAAGAAAAAGGCTCCATCAAGTGTGCCTAGAATCAGCACAGAAATTTCCACAGAAAAATACATATAGAATATACATATAAATAAATGTGGTGTCACATGACACCCTAAATGATTAGATCTGCGAAACTAGCTAGCTAAGCTTAGCCTATGTGAACACATGATAACGAGCTAGCTAACCCACAGATTTATTCAATTAATTGAAGGCAATTAAGTATATTAGAGTATCAATCATTAGTTATGTTAATTATTCCAAGGTTATTACAATAATAAGGCAAATTGTAGGTATAGTCAAGAAATTGGGTTGGAAATTCAATACGATCAATATAATTCCTAACACAATGTGTTGACGCAAGACTTGATAATATGAATATGTGATCATATACATGGCCAGTCATAGTTTCACACTGTGACAGAGATATACACACTGTCTTATTATTATTGCTTATGATTTTCTAGTTATAAGATTCAATTATTGGTAACTATATGATTTGGCATTCAAGTGTAAAATATGATACGATAATGTTTTTCTTTCCTTCTAAAATCAATAATTTCAATGGGTTCTTTAGTTAACACGTCTCCTACATTTGAAGATCGAATTTTGAAATAATTGGTATTAGGGAATTTTCATGGGTTGGATTTCTATATCTTGATCCTTAAGAAACGGAAAAGAGGAAGACGGAGAATGTTGATTGGTATTTGGGTATTTAATAATTTTATGTAATGTTCATTTTTCAATATCATGATAATTAATAGGAACGATAATTTTTTGATAAAGGGTAGTACGTAGTTGTATTATTCAATGTGTAACACAGACTATTGCAATATGCTTCTGACTTCTAATGTAAGTGTTTTACTAAGAATTCTTATATATAGTTGAAATCTCTTTGGTTAATTCATAATGTCACGGATGTATCATATAAATGATTGATAATAGAGTTAGTTCAGTTCTTATAAGACCGAATTAAACCTCTAGCTACCGTCTTTGTTATTGGAGGACTCTAACCTTGTGATTAGAGGACGATGAAAATCAACTAACATACTAATTAGTATACTATGAGATTGTCCAATATCGCAACAAATATAAAGCATAAACTAAAAGGATATGCGGTTTCAGGGGATTAATATGGATGCAAAATAAGGGAAGTCCAACATTATTTGGGACACTGGTCAATATGTACAATATAATTTGTATATGAATTACTTAGATTATATTAGTTAATTAATCAAACTGTACGTTAATGTATTTACCAAGTAAAGTGGGGGTTCTGGAATCTCGATCGTACGTTTCTTCCAATATACTAATTAATACTAGGGTTTGACTTGCACATATCGGATGTAGGTGGACGCGTGGAAAATAGTGAAGTGAAGATGAAATGTTTGCCTATCACTACACCTCCCGTAAAACAATGCTACCACATTAAGAAAATAAAAGGCAACTATCTATCTATATAGCGTAATCATAAAAAAAAAATAAAAAATTAAGGATGAGAATCTACTCGCCATGGGAATATGATAAATAATTGATAAATTCATATTAGAGGTTGATCAATAGGTAATTCAGTAATTGTTCAGCTATGTGTAATTTAAGGCGGGTTGTAGTCTTTTTAATATTTGATTCACTTTATAATATATGAATCGTATTTTAATACAAACATTGACAAAATGGTAAGATGGTAGGCTATCAACCACTTGGCCAAACTAGCTCTGATGTCATGTCATAAACTGATTGGTACCAATAATTCGAGTTGATGAGAGAAGGTTATACTACATCTTATATTATTCTCTAACGGACCGGGTCACAATACAATTTCCAAATGAAATAAGGTGGTGGTGTGAAATTTTCACGTCCTACAAATATGATTAAGTATGAAAAATTTTCACATAACGCATTGTTTTTACCAATAAAAATATGAGCTTTTGAAATAAATAAATGTGATAGTGAACAAAGGGTTTGTTCCAATAAAATAAGACCTAACTAAAAACAAACACATCACTTCAATTTAAAAAAAAAAACATAATATAATTGAATCGAAACCCACACCACACATCCTAAGTCCAACTGAAATATTGAGTGGGAAGTCGACCATGGCGTGTGCACTAGTCCTTTTTCCTCACTCGGTAGAAACAAAGATGGGCGTACGTGTAGGTTAGTACGTAGATATACACAAGTACGCAAGCCCATAAATAAATAAACTGGATTCATTTCTCTCTTGTCGATGGCCTTAAAAGGGTAAAAAGTGAAAAATGGGGAGACAAGACAAGGAAAAGAGCAAGCATGAGAATGGGTGAGTTTGTGTGTTTCCACTGATTTCCCCACGATTTGCGGCACAAGTAGTACGAGGCCACATCACATGGTATAACTAAGCATTTGGGATACGATCGAGTTAAAGCCGAGGTTGTGCTCATCACGTTGAGTTGATTCCCACGTTAACAAACCCCAACGATCAAATCTCACCATCCCCAACTAACCCTCTCTCTCTCGTGGAGGCAGTAGCAGCAGAATCGTCGACGGTGGAGGTTGACCTTGAAAGTCAGTCGGTCAGCCAATCTGTCAGGTAGAGGCTGGATCAAGTTCACCAGGAAGCTAATTAAGGAACCATCCTTAAAACTATATATGCTGCCAAGTTCTGTAGAGTATTAGTTGTTTGATGGTCATTATTGGGCCCAATCCAATCCACTAAGATTAACATGCATGTGAAGTAAAAGCTTGGAAGAAGATATATCCTCTCGCATCACATGCATGGCTAAGCCAGCACCCACCAGCATTCAAAGAGGAGAGGAGAGGAGAGAACCCTCATTAATTAAGGATCATATGATGAAGGAAGCTAGTTAATCAATCAACATTCCCTTCTCTCTCTCTGCTTAATCTTAGTTAGGAAGGATATTCTACAGCCAACACCTCACTGGCTTTTTTCTCTTTTGATTTGTTTTTATCTTCTGGGGTTTTTTAATTAGTTTTTTATGGGAGGAAGAAAAGAAAATTCTCCAATCTGCTGGTTAGGGGCTTCGAGCATTCCCATGTTTCAGCTCAAAGGCCACATGCATATGCATTCCTCTTATATATTCCCTTCCCACTCATTCATTCCTGTCTTTCCCTCCCTCCTCACATGATTCATATGCAGCACAGCAGGTCTACTACTGCTATATACCATCCTCCATCTCTATCACATCATAAATCATAACTATTTAGTCTATACCATCTTTTGTTCGGCCGATAACATTACTAATGATAATGTCAATCTCGGATTTGCCCGCCGGCTTTGTGATCTTTGTCGCAAACATGCTTTACCATGTTTACAGTTTACTTGTACAACAAAACCATAATTCATGGGAAACAAAACTTGTCCACAATCCACAAGGGATCATTCATCGACGATGACATCGCCCACGCCCACCGAGTTTACTGTGCCACTACTGTTTTTAGCTGTTTCTTACTTTTGTTCTTGCGCCGCTGCTTATACTCTTCATACACTTGTAGGGCCACCTTAGTCCGAGCCAACTCCTCCCTCGCTCTCTCATTCTCCTTCATCTCTTCAAGAACCCGGAAATGCTCACAGAATTTCCTACTCAACTCTTCTTCGTCAACTGAATCCGACATAGCTATGTCAGTCTCGAGACTAGTACTGGCAGAAGCTCCGTTGGGAAGGGACTTCTTCCTCTTGTTGCTGGATTTCACCACATCCTGTTGCAGGTCGAACGCCTCCTTCTCCAGCGATAGGTCTCGATATGCTTGTTGAGGAGAATTGATCCGGAGAATTGCTTGGCCTGGAGCGGCGCTCATATTTGCAATCCCCGAAGCAATTGAGGAGATTGTTGGGTGGTAGTGTCTCGAGAGGAGATTGAGTTCCCATAGCACTGAAGCAAGTGCACCACTTAAGTTGGGATCCGTTGCATCAGGCTGATACCTCTGCGCTCAAATATAAATCAATAAGAAGCTTGACGGGGGGAAAAAAAAAAAGTATACATTCTTGGGGGGAAAATAATACACTGAGATATATAAATGAAGCTTACCGCTACTATTCCAGAGACTGATCCTCCTCCAGCATCGTTTTCCAACAGGTTACGACACTTTACGTTCTTCAGAAGTAGATGCCTCACAGTCACCAAAGCTACGAAAGGAGAAAAATCAAGAATGGTGGAAACAGAATATGGGTGGGATTGGTTTCAGTTAAAAAAAAACTATTCGGGGAAGCGTACCAGCCATCGACTCAGCTGATCCAAAACATAGGGAGAACGTGGCCAAACGTTTGACGAATGCAGCAGCCTTCTGCATGTCATGATGTCTATCGTCGCACAGCATGATCTTGAATGCTTCAGCTAATACCTCTCCATGATCCCTGCATAGAAGTTTCGCACGAATGACCATCAAATTAAACTTGAAAACGTACCCAACATATCAGCCAACAGGAGAAAGTTGGGATTATTACCTTCCAGGCCTATACTCGAGTAAGAGATTATAAAGCTGCACAAAGAAGCCTTGCAAATCAACGTTCAAAGCATCGAGGTTGCTCCTCATCACCCGGAATGCGATTATGCAACATCGAAGGCGTTCAGAGATAATCAGCCCATTGGTGGCCCCAGCAAGCCTTTTCAGATAATTCATGAGGTCTCCGATGTAGTCTAGATCGATAAGATGTGAATACTTTCCGAGTCCATTGAGGCAAGGAGAAAGTAGCGGGTGGGGATCATGTGCACTGATAGAATTTCCATTCACTTCAGAACTGCGAAGGTAAAAACAAAACCAGAAGAACTCATGTGAGAAAGTTTAAACAATGCTGAACATAAACTTCTAAATATCAAGAAATTTGGAAGGAAGAATTAGACAAGCTGGGCGCGAAACAGACCTGGTTGTAGTTGAGTGCATTGTATGTTTTAAGACCCGGAAGTATGTCTCAAAGACAGCAGAGAGGGTCTCTGATTGCATTTTCTTCTTCTCAGCAAAATCTGGTGTGAAGGCTGCAGCCTTAAAATCTGCAGCAACCTGGTTAAAGTCAACCATTCACAGTATCCACAATGTTGTCAGTAGAGCACACTGAATCTGCACCTCTCGTTGATCATACAAAATCTATGTATGTTAAATATGATTGAGTTGCTATTTTACACAGTACCTCTTCTCTCATCTTTGACACCATTTCTTTTCTGCTTCTTTTCTTGTCATTTTGTAGCACCTGGGTTGGGTCCTCGGCGTTTTTTCTTTTGTTATTCTTATTGTACTTGGGTTTCTTCTTGTCCTCGTCAACTTTATCAGGCTTCACAAGATCTTCGTCGAATGACAATGACATGAATACCTAGTATGTTCCGGAAAATAGAATAGTGGTATGTCAGAAGATTCAGATGAAACAAAATTGAAAGAAAAACTTCATCCGAGAAGACTTCCAGCAGCCCTATATATCTAAATTAGGCTTGGAACAACAGACAAATAGTTCTTTGTTGTAAACCTAGTTTACAATATACAGTTTAAAAAATGCTGCCAAATTGTGTTTCACACTTAAGAAATTACATGTGCGACCAAGGAATGATAACTTATCACGTACCTCAATAGAATCAGGATGCATTTGGCAGTTCAGTGCTTTAACGCGATCAGCAATCATCCGAACAGCTTCTATAGTGGCTTCACCCCCATGCTTTCCCTCATTCATAAAAAGTGACTTGATGGTATCACAACTAACTTTTCTGTTCAAGCAAAGAAAGAATGCTTCCAGCTTGGGATCTTACAAGTAACAATTAATATACACATAACAAAACCAGGAAGAGAGGCAAGGTAGTGTGCAGGACGAAGAGAAAAAGAAAAGGACCTTATAACGTCATCCATAGAACTTATACTAGATACCACAGCACTCAACAAGCTCTGCCAGAAGTTGAAGTGAGGAGCTGCATCTAGCAAAGCACAGATACAACGAACAGCAACATGCTGAAATTTGGGGTCCTGCTCAAGTGTCACCAGCCGCTGCAGATATCCCTGTTAATATGTACACCAAAACAAGCAACCTAGATGAATTTCACAGTAATATTCCCCGTAAATCAACACATTGGGCTTGAAGCAATTTGGGCCTAGACAATTTCTCAACATAGTTCTACTAATTCAAGAACTCCCAAGCAATGTCAACAAAGCACAGTGTCCAAAATCAATCAACTACTAATAGAACTAGTCAGTTAGCAGATGAAAAAGCCAAACCTTATATGTGGACAACAGTGTTGACTCATAGAATCGCATCTTCTTCACGTCCTTGGAAACTTTCATTTCAAGCTCCTTCTCAGTGGGAAGCCTTATCCGGTACCCAGGTATTATACTTTTGTAAACAGCCAGCAACGACAACAAACTAAGTTTCACAATGATCGGATTAGGGTCTTTGCAGAGTTGAATCATTTCTTTCAAAGACTTTATATTAGCCTCAGGATCAGCCTGCAATGCAAGCCCCAGCTCTGCGAGTTTCTGTTTTTTACTTTCGAAGATTTCTTCAGCTGACAGATCCTTCTGAATCAATGCCTATGAAGCGCGAGAAAGACAGCAACCACATTAATACGAATGCCAAAATAGCAGAACAATGAAGCATTCTGACATTCCTAACTTTGGCATTGAAGCTACAAATCAGGAATTGAACTATACCAGCACAGCAGCCTGTGGAGCTTCATCTCCTTTCTCCCCTCCAGCTTCATTATCGAGCCTCTTGGCCTCTTTCTTACTCTTCTTCAGCTTGGCCCTCTTTTCAGCCTTCGTCAACCTCACCAATCCAATATCCTTCTGATCATCGCCAGCTCCATCCACGAGCTCTCCACCATCAGCCTTCTTCTCAGACACTGCATTCAACGCATTGATGATGAAAACCGATTATAACAAAACTGGAACACAACTCCAGCAAAGCAATTTGTGGATTGTGAGCACGCACAAGTTCTATAATAGAGCTTTCCGTCCAAGGACTTGACCGGAAGCGCATCAACGCGTTCGACCTCGACTCTCTTCTCTTCCTCCTCAGTATCCTTCTTCTTCTTGTTCTTCTGCAGACGCTTCTCGTAGGCAGCCTCCAGTGCGTCTTCTCCGACTTTCTTCGCGTCGGCCACGCGGTTCACATGCCTTTCAGAACAAACGGCATAGAAGGAAAATTAAGCGATAGTTGCTGCAATTGACAGAACCGCAAAGAGATAGATGGCCAAATAGAGAGAGCGTACTTGTCGATGGTATGGGTGTCCAAGGTTGAGAGGAACCCGGCGAAATCAACATTCTCGTTGACGAATTCCAAGTCCTCGTCGGAGACTTCGATATCCTCGTCCGGTACCTCCGGTGGGAGCGCCGGTGGCAGAGCTATCTTCAGCGGCTTCTTCCTCCCCATTCGTACGGCTGGTAACTACTTTGCAGGAAGAGAAAATGGCGGGTGGAGCTGTTTTGTGTTTTAGGTCAAGAGGGTTTAAACCTCGGAGAGCTCCGGCGGGCGACGAGTAGTTGTAGACGACGGCAAGTGCACCAAGCCCCTGTATTACATTGTGGGCTCGCGCATTTTAGTAATTCGCGGGAGCCCAGTGGACTCACTTAGTTTAGCGTTAATGGGCAGAATGAAGTTAGCGCTTCGGCCCACAAAGAATTTTATTGATTGATATTTTTTAAAAATAGCTTAAGCTAATTTAAACAGGAAACAAAATTTTCCAATAAAGCTGAGAGGGTGTTCCATCATCCTGCAAGTTGGAAATTTACATGAATCAAGTTTACCCGAGATAAGGAAGATTACGACTTTGCTATGGTGATTTGTACAAAATGGTCGACCTCTTTTTTAAAATGGTAGACCATGTCCATATGTACTATTTTTCATTTTGTTATGTTCAACAAACGGTCGATCGCTGGAACACCTTATCTATGTTTGAAAATGACTTTGTTATGGTGATTTGCAAGTCCAACACTAGTAAGATATTCGTAGTAAAATGAACTTTCCTACCATTAAATCCGATCTAATTTGAGCACAAGCGTCTATAAATAAGAATACAGCTAGGTTCTAGATTTATCATTCAAACACTCTAATAATCATATTCTTATAGGTTTAGAGTTTGGTGAAGAAGAAAATAGGTGATTGTGTAGTACATGTATGTTGACATGTCAACCACAGTGTTAGGCCGATCGACCTCTTTAGAGCACACGGTCAACAACGTTGGTTCAAGGTGTGTATCCTCAATTGGTTGATCTCTACTTTGAGTGGCCGATCAACCTCTTGGTTCATATAATTATTTCCACTGTTTAATTTGATGTTTTGATTTGCTTCTCAGAATATCGATAGACCTCTTCACTAATATGGCCGACCTCTTTGGACAGAATGGTCTACCTCTTTGCTGATATGGTTTACCTCTTTGCTAGAATGATCTTTCTGTTAGTGAGTCCCGGTCGGCCAATGTAGGTAAATGGTGACCGTAATTTTCCATTAGAATGGACATATTGATGACCGTGATTCCTTTCAGGTCGATTGTTTTCTCCAAGTCACGATGATTTGCAAGTCACCATAGGCACACCCGAAAGATTATTATGTACATTGATTTATTTATAATAAAGCAACTTATTGAAAACTTTCAAATGCTATGCGACTCTTATTATAGTTTAGTCGGAGAAATCTAATGACAAAACTTTTGTTATAAACTGTGAGATGGTTCCACATATACATAACTAGTTAAAATTGTGCGAAAACTAAACTCAAGATTACTCAAAAAAAATGTGAGGGTTATTATGTTGAATAATTCAGTTATAGCCAAACACTTCATTCAAACTCCCATGTCATCATGTGACGACCTTGGATATGGTTTGATGGTAGAAATCCAGCTCCTCTGCACACTTTTGTTAGTAGGGTCAAAATTAAGGGGTCGTTTGTTTCATGGATTTAAAAATGAGGGTTTTGTAATTTAAAAACCCAAGGATTCATCAAGGATTTGAAGCATCATGGATTTGTAACAATCCTTTGTTTGTTGGGATGTTTTTATCATGAATTTAAAGGTGTGGGATTTACTACTTGAATTCAAAAATTACATTACTGCCCTTTTCTATACGTTTGACATGTTTATGATATGTACACAAAACAAGGACAAAACTTCAAAATTACCTTACTATCATTTTCTATATGTTTGACATGTTTATGATATGTACACAAAACAAGGACAATACATACTAATAAGCATAATGTTGCCACATGGACAATAATAATAAACGAGAAAATTTCGTTTTAACTTTTAACGTAACATAATCAATTACCAATTCTTTGTCCTCCTTTTCAAAAGTGACATATAACAACATATATAAGAATCGGGAGAACAAAGAATTACACGTTCCATGAAAAGGTCAAAGAAAACTAGAACACAAGAAATTATATAAAAAATCTAACTCATGTTTGCACATTAATTGAACGTTTATATTATTCATTTATTTTTAATTATAATGTATAATATTAAAATTTGAGGGCAACCTTGGAATATTAAAAGTGCATGAGGGTATATGGGTAAAATCTCATCAAGGATTTATGCCATATTCCAAATCCCACATCAACATGTGGGATTTATAAGTCCGTGGGGTCCACGGATTTGGACCATTAAAATCCGTGGGCCCCACGGATTTGGTCTCCAAAAAATGTGCAAGCAAACAACGGATTGTACCTAATCCTTGATAGTTGGTTTTTTAGTACCAAATCCATGTACCAAATCCTTGAAGCAAACGACCCCTAAATACTTCAACTATTACCTTGAGTTAGTTAACTCAGATAGTAGTTACGTTGTATGTACTTTAACTATTTAAGGTTACAAAGCCATCTAAGTTGATATAAGTATGTGGTTGGGCACAATACTTGTCATTTTTTCAAACAAAAAAAGAAGACAGAAAAAGGATAGGCCCCATTACAATAAATGGTTGAGAAAGACAGAAACAAGGCAGGAAATGGAGGTGGATTATAGAGAAGTTTGTGGTTGTGGTGGTGGCATCTGTACTGTAATAATTAAGAAAATTCCAAAGACCGTCACCGATCCCCAATTTAATGTTGAGCTACTCCATTAATGAAATTTTGAACCAATAATGATGATGATAGAGAGAGAGAGAGAGGGCCAAACGCCCCCAACCCCACAGACACAACAAACCAATTTACCTAAACGAAGATCTCATTACCAAACGAAACGAGCCTCATTATATCCTATGTAACTATGCAAAAATCCGGCCACTCGAGTTTAATTCTTGCTGCTGGTCCCTCTGCCGGCCGGTGTGTTTCACATGGCGACAGACTTGGAGCGGTGCATGGATGGAGACGATCGACGGCACCAAAACCCTTTACAAAAGAATACAATAATTAAATATAGATGAAGAGTAATTAGTTAGTACTGGCCGGATTCATCTCCACAGCATTATTCTAGCTATCTGCGTGGTGATCGGACAAAGTTAGACCCATCAATCGGACGTATTTCAGAAGGACTAGAGAGTTAATTAACCCTGCTAGTTACAGCCTACAATACAAAGCAGCAGTCATGATCGATCGATCGATTAATGTTCATAACTAGCAAGCGCAGTTCCTTCAATATTTTGGCAGCCAAATTAAGACACGCGGCCGGGTAGCCTCTTCTGCCAAACAACTGATCAATTCAATTCACTGCTCTCAATCTTCTCCCCCCACGTTGACCGACTGATGCGTGTGCAATACTACAAAGGCACGCTTGTGGATGTGGTCATCACAATTTGTTGTGTTTTGGTGTATGCTTTTTTGTAACCGTATAAAATAGTTGCCAAAACCGACATAGTTATCGTCATTCGCCAAAGCTCCTAACAACCGTCTGTTTATTTAGTAAACCGCCTCTTTGGTTGCAAAAAAACTTAATATATGAAATATTTTTACAAATTCATATAGTAAAGGGTTCATTTCACCATTTTATAACATAAATTTATACGTACTAATGTATCAGAGTAATGTAGCACTTGCTAACTAGGTAGTTCCTTGGTAGTAGTTATCAGCTAAATATTTTACAACATAATAATATTCGTGCATTGGTACAAATATATCGCATACCAAAATGGAGTTTGGAGACAGACGGGTGGAGGTTGGGTGTGGCAATGACTTAGCAGCCATTGCCATTTGTGTGTAGACCAAAAACCAAACGGACAAGACATCTCACCGCCCCCAACCTCCCATTTCTTTCCAAAATTTCACATCTACAGTACTAGCTAGCTACTCGCAACTCCAAATTAACCAACCCCACAATTTCCATTATAATTTATAGAGAGTGTCGAATTATTGATCCATCTCAAAATTTCATCGTATTCATCGGTCTACACGACATACTAGTGGATTTGTAGGCGAGCGCTATGTTGATAGTATGTAAAAGACTCAATGATCAAGTGAGATATACGTTGATGGAAAATTTAGAAATACGTTCCTCTCAGAATTGAGGATAAATGTACATGAATTTTTTGATGTTGTTGCAGACAATTTCTCATTCGAAATATTGAATATGGCAGGTGGGGGACTTTAAGGGATGACATAAGGAAGGGCAGAATTGAATACACATTTAATGGATGTTAGGTGGTACAAATGTATTCCTATCTTTAAATGCCAACACCCATGGCAATGTGTAAATCTATTTTAATATTAGGTTTTCAATACAGAAAAAGAACAAAATGTATTACTAATTAACATTATATTTTCAAAATTCAATATATGGCATGCATGTAGAATAATGCTCGTCAAATGCTTAGGTAAATGCCTTTTTCGTTCATTTAACATCCCAACTAAATTTTGTGTCAGTCTTCAATTGCTTGATCCATAATGAACCAACATTGTGTAAAGTCTAAGTTTACAAGTTGTTAAACATATATAGAAATTATCTTGTATACTTACACGATAAATTAATTTTTAGACGTTTGGAACACTGTTATCATAACATTACATCATGTTAAATTGTTAATAATGCCATTTCAAATGCAAGAATTTGCCATTTCAAGAAATACATATATACTATTATTTTTCACAAACTTGTATATAAAATTTCCCACTATTTTGTGAGCCTATCAAAACGCTACTTATACTTCACAAGCACATCACAGATCATGACTTCCTATTTTATGTTGGATGTTATAGCTAGCTAGGTTGTTCCTTAATTAGTTATACTATCGGATATCCTACATCATCCGATCATTCTTTCTTACTACCAAAATAATATATAGATACAGTATAAGTTGTTGTCTTCTAAATATCATATACAGTTTTTTTTTTTTTTTTTACATCCTATATATAAGTATAGGAAGGACCTGAACCTATATATTCCAAGTTCATCCGATCCCTTTGACATGGGAATTGAAGATCATTAATAAAGATGACTGATTCTGATGAATGAATGGAGGAGCAATGAATGTAGGTAGAAGGTGCAATTAATAATTAAGCACCAGCAGGCCAGGAAGTATAATATAATTAACAAGGTAGGCAAATGAGATGAATAGATGCAGTGAGTCAATGGGACAGGTTATGGTGGATACTTCGTGTTAGTAACCACGGTGGTTACTAGGGATAAGAAGGGTATTTTGCTTTCATCCTAATTCAAACTACCATTTTAATTACGCAATTAATTAGGAAGAGATAATTACGGTAATTAATTATTAGGTAGTTTAATCAGCGTAGGGCTTTTCGAATGCCACGTTTTTTGGCCGGCCCTAATTCTGCCGCCGTGTACACTTCGAAGTCCACCTTTTTTTGCCGGCGTTGCATCATCGCCGACGTTGCATCAATGGCGACCGCCGAGTTCCATGCACAACTCCACCGCCACCGCCACCGCCTCCTCCACCATCGAAGCCCGGATGTGAGCTCCCGCCGCCAGCACCAACAATGTCGCCGCCGCCAACACCCAGCTACCACTCGCCGCAATCCCCTCCGCCGCCGCCTCCACATCACCAAAGTCCTCCTCCGCCCCATTCCATGCAGTGGTAGTCCTTTGATGCAGTGGTAGTCCTTTCATGCAGTGGTAGTTTTCTGCATACATGTTTCGGATTGGTATTGTTACGTACTTGTTTAGGAATAATGGTAGTCCTTACATTGGTATAGGTTGGATTGTTATTGGTAGTTCGTAACGCATTGGTATTCGTTTGATTGGATTGGTATTGGTTCTGACTTTTGTATTAGCTACTATAATGGTAGTTATTTTTTGGCATATTTGTAACAAATGGTAGTGCTTTGTTAGTTGTAGTATGAGTTATTGGAATGGTAGTGATTAATTGTTGTTTTACAAATTGCAGATCAGGTGTATAAAGTTGTCCCGGCCGACAAATCGACATGGCAGCATTTGAGATTTGAAAATAGGGAAGCATTTGTCAAGTTCTACAAAGACTTCGCACACTGGAGGGGTTTTGGAGTAAGACGTATTGGAGAACAGACTCGAAAACCCAAATATCTTAAGGAACGGAAGGTGTTTTACTTTGGAGCACGGTGCAACAAAGAAGGGTTCAAAACAAGGAGCACGCTGGATCCAAAGAATGTCGGTGTTGTGGTAGACACAGAACCTAATAAGAAGAGGAAGAGGGGCGAGACTCGTTTGGATGTAAACAAAATCCAATCCGAGCTTCTTTATTAGTTCTATCCTTGCATTTGTTATACCATTCTCGACAATTGATATAATCGATGCGGGGCTGCACTTCTTCCCAAGTGGTTTAGATTTACCCATATCCTTCTGCGGCACAGCTTCATCAAGGGCAGAGGTTTGCCCACTTCCAACTTGAACCTGTTACCTAACCTGACGACTGCTGTAGGTAACAGGTTCCTTGTGTTTTGAGCCCCTACGACTGGGTTCTTGGTTCTTGCCATTCCTAAAATTGGGAAAATGAGAGGTAAGTCGTTTAACATTAATCAAGCATCACAACCGTTGCATGGGAAAAAACTACCAATCCAAATGAAGACTACCAATCCACATCAAACACCAGATTCACATGTATGGAGAAAACTACCAATGCATGAAAGGAAACCACCATTCAAAAAAACTAAAAAACTACCATTCGAACGGAATAGTACCAATCCACATCAAAAAGCACGGTTTCACATGTATGCAGAAAACTACCAATGCATGAATGAAAACAGTAAAAATCTACTAATCCAAATGAAGACTACCAATCCAACATGACACAACAATTCAAAACAGTAATAAAACTACCAATCCAAATGAAGACTACCAATCCACATCAAACTACCAGATTCACATGTATGGAGAAAACTACCAATGCATGAAAGGAAACTACCATTCAAAAAAACTAAAAAACTACCATTCGAACAGAACAGTACCAATCACATCAAAAAGCACGGTTTCACATGTATGCAGAAAACTACAAATGCATGAAAGCAAACAGCAAAAAAGAATACCATTCCAACATAACACTACAATTCAAAACAGCAAAAAAACTACCATTCCAAACATAACACTACCATTCCAGAACTGGCGGCAGCCGGAGCTATGAATGCCGTCTGCGGAGAAGATGGAGTTTCAAGCTTGAAGCTGGGTTTTGGCCTTTGGGTGGAAGTCTGCGGAGAAGAGAAAGGAAGCAGATTTGATGGCGTGGCGGATTAGGGTGGAAGCTGGGTTTTGGCCTTTGGGTGGAAGTCTGCGGAGTAGGGTTTCTCGATTCTCGAATGAAGGATGCGGTGGCGGATTTGATGGCGTCGCAGAGTCAATACCAAGTTGATCGGAGAGGGGAAGGGGTGGAGGCGATGGCGGATTTGATGGCGTCGGAGAGGCGGAGGTTGATCGATAGCGGGAGCGACAGGGAGAGGAGGGAGGAGACGACGGCTAGGTATTAGGGTTTGAGTAAAATATATACAGTAATCAGGTGTGGTATGTTTTTCATTTCCTAAATTACCCTTAGCTAATCTTAATCATTAATTTAAAATTATAATAAAATAAAGATAATGAATGGTATAGATGTTGGTAGCCACCGTGATTACTCAAAATTGAGTAACCACCCTAACCTATTCCGTGAGTCAATACACCATAAAATATTTGGTGTGTGCATGTGTTTGCTTTAATTTGATCCTTTAATTCTTCCTTTAATTATTTCGATCTTCCTCCTCTCCTGGTCGTGGAGCCACGCACGAGATAGGTAGTGAGTTCAATTCAACCGGTTTGCCTCTCTTATAAATTAAATGATCTACTCGGCCAGAAACAGTCTTAATTAATGTTACATACTTTAAAATTTGTTCTTTAATTCATCCCTTTTGGAGTTAATTAAATTAGGGTCGATCGAATGGTCATCATCTGGTGGCAGCTCTTGAATACCCACAGGCCACATGTGTAAAACGACGTTCTAGGTTTGTGTTTTGCTTGTATGTATACGTAGACAATACTGCCAAGCTTTAATGGCGTGATGAGTTGTTTATTCACAATTACAACACATCCACGTTCCTTCCTGTATAAATTCTATCTAGTTTTTATTTTTATTTTTATTTTTGGGGTAGTCTAGCTAGGTGCAGAAAACGGCACTGTACATATATGGACGACCTGGATATATAGTAATGCACGTACACACACGTTGGTGTGTTAGTAGGCTTCTTAGTCGTCGAAAATTCGAAATCTGTTGGGTTGGGTGTACGCGTGTGTTAGAGTTACTGCTCGCGTTATTTTAACCTACTAGCTTTCTACAAAGTCCGCCTTGTCCTACAAGCTAAGTCAACACCCAACTCCCCAACTATATATATATGACTTGTCTTCCTACCATCTTCTATTGTGCCAAATCATAAATATATACCATAGATTCGTACGTACATAGGAGGTGCATGCACAAAGAGATGGAAAATAATCTTCCAACTGATGACGCAAACTCACAAGTTACACAAGCACTTCATGATGGTCCCGGACTCAAGTGACTGAGACAATCATGTTTCTTCCTTTTACAAATCCTGTTATATATTAATCTTGTCTGGATTAATCGTCTACTATAAAATAATACTGATTTAAAACTCGTGAATAGAGTTTGGAAGTATTATTCAAGACCAATTACGCCAAATATTTATTGTAAGTTAAACGTACGAAAACCACAAGGAGAACTCAATGACTAAGAAGACCCAAATCTCATTTATTTGTTCAGAAAAGTATCGTGGTTCGACTAAATACAAGATACTCCTTCAAAGTGATCTTATCTCTAATTTCTACTCTTTGCTCGGTGACTTTGACTTCGACATGTCATGAAGTGAATAATTAATTATATTGTTAACTATGTGTTGGAGGAATCATTAGAACATTGATGATCATAATCCAAAGTATGTATGCCCAGAAATTGCTTATGGTATGAAAAACAAAGAAACCCTGATGATTTGGGGAAGATGCTATCTTGATCTGTTGGAGCTACTACTTGTATCATGCAGTGAATTGAAAGTAAAACCAGCTGAGAATATGGGAAGTGAAACGAGTAATGAGAAGAGAAAAAAAAAAGGTAGTTGGGGAGTAACTTTACAGAGAATGATGATGAAAGAAGAAGAAGAAGAGCAAAGACATTAATTTCTCATTTATTGTGAAGTTAGGTAATATTAAATGAATTTGGGTGCCTAGTAAATGGCCATAATTAGCCTTCATGATCAGTCATGCACCACTACTACCACTACCCTCCTTCAAAGCCCAACTACATTTAACAGCAACACCAAATATTATTATACGTCTCTCTCTCTCTCTCTCTCTCTCTCTCTCTCTCTCTCTCTCTCTCTCTCTCTCTCTCTCTCTCTCTCTCTCTCTCTCTCTCTCTCTCGTCATTTGAATTGAATTGAAACCCAAGTGCAAAATAGTACTCAGGTGTGTGCAAGTGCTTTTCATACATTTATTTATATGCATGCTCCTCATCAGATCCTGTAATAATTAAAATGATGGGTTTAATTATGTGTTGGTTATAGTCTTAAGTTAGGGAGAAGAGGGAAAGAAGAGTTTCATAGGATATATAGGAGAGTCATTAGGTCTCTGATATCCGACTAAGAGATCCTTTGATTGATGCCACTGATCGAACTACAAGTATATATATGTTGGTGCGTGCGGATAAGAAGAACCCGGCCGTTTGCTAAAACAAAATAAATAGTATAGGGAGTGAAGATTTTCATTTTTCAAAGAAAGATATTTATTTTATTGGTCCAGATGAGATAATAGATATGAATTTGGTGAGCAAATCAGTCTTTTTTAAATTGTCAAAGTCGTCATAAATCATAATGGTTCGTTCATGGATATACGTCCCCATCCCTTGCATTAATTCCTCTATACCCTTTACTTGCTTCAGTTCCTTCCCATGCTTCTTTCTTCTATATGGGCGGGCATTTTACTTCCCCATCCCCACCCCAAGAAACGGAAATTTTTGGCTAAAAGAGCTTCTCTGATTACCATTATCTACATAAAGACTGTCAAGAAGCTTACGTTAGCTAGCTATGGTAGAGAGAGAGCTACATATATAATTGCCAGTCGTCAATTAGTTTACACAAACAAGATGGCTGTAGCTACCTACCTACCTTCTTTTCATGCATAAATAAAAGAATGCAAAGGTATCATAAATATTATAAGCAAAGGCTCAAACAAATATATCCGAATCAATCTCTCGTACAATTTGGTTTCGAATTCATCAAGTTGCTAATTAAGCAAATGATACACCCCACCCTAATTTTGATTTGATCCAAATATAGCACAGAAATGTAAGTAATACATGCATGTATATATATGAATTAATGAATATAACATAACATCTCACTTTAAATCCAACTTATTTATTTATTGCTCCCCTGCCCCTGCCACTGCCACTTTTTGTATTGTTATTCAGCTTATTTTTCACCTTCCAGTCCCTGTAAACTGAAACTGAAACTGCCACTTCAGTCTTACTAGGATTTTGGCCACGCATCTACCTGCAACGCAATCTAGGACCAAATAATCTATATGCAATGCAACCGCACCTTCTCAACAAACAAACTGCCAGACCCAAAAAGAAACCGATCGAGAAAATCCCACAAAGAACAATAATTAAACCCAAAAAAAAAAAACACCAGCGCGCATTATAGACTCCATAACCAACCATAGTTTATATGCATTAATAATCAACTGAATCGCTAAATGTCGCCCTTAAAATTGTTAACAGTCACCCTAACTCTAATGATAAATGACTTATATACCCCCAATAAAATTTCAAAATTTAAACAAATCAAACAATCCCTAACCCCTCAAACTGAACCCCTCATCTGCCTTCTTCGCGAATCCCTCTCGACGCACCAGTTCGTCGGCGTCGCCCGTTCTCTAACGAAATTTTCAAAAAAACGCTCAACCTAAAGCAAGTTACGGTTGGTCCATGGTGCAACCGCAACAAGAAGCGGAACTACGGGTAGGAAATGGAAAAGTTTTTGCTAAAAAAAAAGGATATGCCCAACAGCCACGAAGGTTTTCTCCCTTTCTCGTCATATTTCTTTCCTCCAAAAAATGAATGGCGGGCGAATAAAGCATAGGTAGCCCGCGCACACACAGACGAAAGGGCTTCGAAAGGCGCCGGCTCTCATATGGAAATAGATCTTCCGTTACTTCTGGACAACCACAGCTAACTCGTTATGTGAGTGAGCACTCTGTCCTCGGTAATAGAGGGTAAGTGAGTTGCGGTTGCACCATGGACCAACCACAGCTCATTTGCTGTTGCACCATGGACCAACCGCAAGTGAACTGCGGTTGGCCCATGGTGCAACCGCAAGAGAGCTGCGGTTGGCCCATGGTGCAACCGCAAATGAGCTACGGTTCCCTTTTTTTCCAATTTTTTGAGTGAACTTTACTGATTCAGAGTCGCTAGTCATGATCCAGATATCATATCGACAATTCCAACTCCAGAATGACGATGACGGATTCTCTCTTTTGAATAATGTTTTATTTTCTTTACTAAGTGGTGTTTGTTTGCTAAAGGAAGAGTAAAGAAGCTAAAAGATTAAATTTGTAACTTTGATGTTTTTTAGGGCGACATTTAAAAATTTTAAGGGCGACCTTTAGCAACTCCCATAATCAACCATCATAATAATTAAAATCCTTGTTTTTTCTTATACCCCTTCCCTCCTAATATAATATATCCTTTTTTTTTTTCTGTCCCTCAATAACCCACCCCCTGCCTGCCTTAATCCCTAAATCTTAATTCCTATCTATCCATTTACAAAAAAAAAAAAAAAAAAAAAAACCACTCTTTCCTCCTACTACCACCGCCTTCAAATGGAGATGTTGAGGTCGATCCTCTGCTTCTTCATCGCCGGCATCGGAACCACCGAGTTACACCTCGGACACTTGGGATTGTTCTTCATGATCAACACGTACGACAAGCACCCAGGGCACCCTGCCGCCACAGGGGAAGAAGCAGCTGCCCCTGCCCTCTCCTCTGTTTCTTCCTCCCCTGAAGCCAGCTCCCTGACGGAAGACGACGACGACGAGTAAGAAGGGGACATCGACGACTTCCCCGCCGGAAACCGCTTCTTTATCGACGCCGCCGCGTGAACAGGGTCCCTCTCCGCCCTCTCCAAGGCTGATTTGACCTTATCCAGAGTGCAGACGCTCTGGTAGTTGAGGGAGGAGGAGGTGGAAGCGGCAGCTGACAGTTTCAGCTCCAGGCTGCTCTCCTCGAAGAGGTTGAGCGTGATTCTCGATGGCGACGGCGGGAAGTTCAAATCCTGGAGCTTGGGGAACGCTTGGCTGAGGTTGTGATGGTGTCGGTGATCGGAGGAGGAGGAGGACGACGGCGAAGCTGATGATGCGTTGCTTCTGTGCAAGTACACCTTCCCTGACTGCAACCAAATGAACAAAAACAGAGTGTCTCCACAAATTAATTCTTCAATAAAATGAACTACTCCGTATTGAATGAAATGAATTGAAGTTTGGTTGGGTCTTCTTTTTTCGCTTGACCATTAAATAATTCGAGTTCGGGAGAGACAAATGATGATAAATGAGTTTGGGGATGAGTAAAAAGGAATCATAATAATCACATCTAGGGTGGGATTAAAGAAGTTGCAGAGCATTCAAGAACACCATTAATTAATTTCCACATTATCAAAATATCCCCCAAACCTTCCCACCCCGCCATTAATGACTCCCACCTAACATAATTACTCAAAACTTTTTTTTCGGTGATTTAATTACTCAAAACTTCTTCTCAAAGAAACCAAAATAAAAAAGATTTAATCTCAATTCCGAATTGTCGTACAATTCAATAATAATACGATAATAATGATAATTAAATTTCACAAAAAAAAAAAATAGAAAACTTTTGTAGGGGAAGGAGAGAACTTGAGAAAACAGAGCAATGGAAAAACATTCGATCCAGCCTGAATTCCAACGTTACATTCGACCGAATTCTGCTTGGTCCCGACGAAAGACTGAAGCTGAAAATGGAAAAGGAAGGAAATTTCATTGGGGAGTGTTTGGGGCTTTAGTTTACCTTTAAATCGAGGCGCTTTTCCCAGCCAGTGGGGACTTGGACGTCGAGGTCCAATTCCTGAAACTCATTGCACTCCGACCCACCGACGGCGGAGCTAGAACTTCCTCCGCCGAGCAAATCCCTTGTAATCAGGGAAGGTTCGCCGGCGCCGACAGCCCGATCGTCCTTGTAGGCGCTCATACCCCTGATCAGATAGCTCACATCGGCCGCCATACGGAGCTCTGCTTTGGGAAAAGCTTCTTCCTTTTGGTTTTGGCGAGAGAGAGAGAGAGAGAAGGGACAGAGGGAGAGAGTTGGAGGAAAGAAGAGAAGGAAATGAACGAAACGAACGGAAGGATTTTGAGTAATAAATAGACAAGTAGATACGTACGTACTTTTTTTGGTATATATCTTATCGCAATTATTAACGAGTATTATGGAAATGCTGTACGTTATTATCATATTATGACAAGACCAAAAAATAATTATTCTGAAAAAGAAAAGTCTGAAAAATAAATAGAAATGTTTTAAAAGACAATGTAAAGTGTAAACACGATAATTGTTTTTAATGCAAGTAAACACAATACATTATCCCAACAAGCTAACTCATTGCTTTTCTTAAGTGTTAAAAAATTTTAAACGCGCAAAATACATCCTTATTAACCTACATTATTCATTGTATCGAATGCTAAGATATGAAAGAACATTATAATAAATTCAATATTGAAGTTTAAAGACGTTCATCATTTAGAATATCTTTTAGAAACGGGAAAAAAATTCAAGAGGAATACGAAGTCGTATTATGTTAATTACAGATCAAAATCAAACCTGTTAGCCCTTATAGAGCGACCCATGACCTAAAATGGCCGGCCTTCTCATCTTCACCTGCAACTCATAACTGCCAACTGACTTACTATACCTATTCATTTATTATCGTACATGACACGTACTCGTAACCGCTGCCATGCATCCAGCTTGTTTATGACCACAAACCCAATACGGTTTTGCATGACCTGTCCCCGTGGCGGTCACCATACAACGTGTTCATGACCCGCAACCCGTTAAACCACGTGTATTTAGTAACTTTTTCATTGTATTTTCTGATTTGCAACAAAACGAAACTAGAAATGGAAAATATAAGAGAGAGGGAGATCATGGTAAGGCTCAATAACGAGGCTAGTAAATATGGTTAGCGGCAATGAATTCGAAGGAAACTTTATGAAATCAAAATTTAATAGCGTTTGATTTGTGATTAATGGTTTCATTAAATGGCTTTTGAGGAAGAGCGGGTGTGTTTAGTGGAATATTAATGGTTTAGAGTTTAGACTTTAGAGGTTGGGCGGGCGGATGGAGGAGAAGAATTCAAGGAAAAGAAAGGAAAGGGAGGCACGTAAATAAATGGCCCCTACATTTATTGCTCTTGAAATTCCACTCCACAATTTTTATTTTTGTTTCTATTTTTCTTCTTTTGTTTTCTTCCTTTCATTCAATCAATGCTTAGCGTGTCTGAGGAGGGGTCACTCTTTGATTTTTTTGGCCTCTTCTTGTTTTCCTTTTAAATAGATGTAATTATTATATTTTTAAACAAAATGTCAAAGTGGCGATGAAGTAAGGAATCGGGAGGGGTTAGCACGGTGATTTTGCTAGTTATCACGGTGTTAACCCCTATAAGGGTTAGCACCTAATCCCATCCCTAAGGAATCATATGAGAGGGTGAATATGAATCATAAATCATTGGTGTATGGAAAGATGGGTAAAATTTTATCGAGTATTCTATTTTTAAAATATATTATGAAATTTACATGTAAATTTATTATTTAGTAGTGCTCTTTACAATTTTATGATATATGTAAAGATTCTGGAAAAAGGAAATGCTACAAACTTGAAGTGATTTCATATGTAATATATATTAAGTTGTTTAGATTGTTTTCATTTTATTGATAGTTCTAATGCTACAATTTTTTATTTGCTCTTGTATAATTTGCTAAGTCTTCATTCCCAATGTTTTTTTTTTTTTTTTTTTGCTTAACTGGAGGCCAAAGGCCTCATTCCCAATGTATTCTACAACGGAATTAGAGTCACTTGTTTGAACTATTAACTACTTACCTAGGAATAGAAATTGAACATGCTACTTGTTATTAATATTATCAAAGAACATGGTTAAAGATTATTTCAATGATATATTGACCGTTTGATTGTTAGAGACAATGATGATAGTGATGAAGAGGAGGGAGAAAATTGTGATGATAGTAATTAGATGGAGACCAAGGTAATATTCTAACTTGACAACATAAGGATCAAGTGGAATGATGATAAGAAACAAAGATTAAATTTTTCATTTTTTTGGATTTGTTACCCAAATTTGGAGTAACTATGATAATTCCCGGGTGAATTGCAAGTTCAGTCACCCATATTATCTATTTATAACAGGTTAGCCATCCGAATCACTTTTGCTTCAATTTAGCCATCAATACTAAACGTTTATGTCATCCTTGGTCACTCGCCGTCCAGTTCTGTTAAATCTGTTCTACGTGGCCGTCAATAGTTAAGTTTGACTACTGAAATGGTGATGTGGCAATAAAAAAATTATTTATTTTGTAATACATAAGAAAAATGACAAGAAAAAAGAGAAGAAAAATCTACGCTCTAACTCCGCCCCTCACTTTTTCTTGTGCTATCGGCTGCTGCCATTACTAGAAGACCCGCCCCTAACTCCCCTGCCTTTCTTCCCTGTTCCCAGAAGACCCACTGTCGCCGACTACCATTACTAGTTGCGAGTAGTTGTCGTAGCAGACTTGTTTCTCCCAAGCGAGGTCGTTGATTGCGAGGAGGTGGGGAAGCGGGAAGAGGAGAAGAAGCATAAACATAACTCCGACCATCTCCCTTTCATCCATCTCGTGCCAGATCTGAACGCCGACGATCTCTGTTTCAATTGCCACCATCAAAGCTGTCTGGTCCAAACTCAGTCGCCTCCTCTGTTTTCTTCTCCTTTGTCGTATGATTCTTGCTACCATCGAATCACCCAAAGTTTTGATTTCAGATTTTAGTAACCAATTGTAAATTTTATGCCCAATTGATTTGTGAAATAGTGTCCGGTTGGCGCAACCAAGTATGGTAAAAAAATTCTTCGAATTAGGTAAAGAGCATACTTCGGATGTTGGGACGATAATAAAGCCTTTTCCGGTTGAGACCGTCGTCGTCTGCCTCTTGTCGTCGCTGTCAAGTTCGTTGCGTCGTTATCATCGTCTGTCTCTTCTCCAGCTCTGAATTCGCGGCGGCGACCACGATTTTGACAGCCTCTCATACGTCTTAGCCTCTCCTGCGTCTTAGCCTCCCCATTCGTCCTCCTCGATTTGTTCAATCTCTGGTTGGTTAGCGTCGATGTTGAACCCGAAACTGCTTGGGTCGAGTCCGGCGCAGCGCTCGGCGAAGGATCTGTTTTGGGGTTAATGGCGTCGTGTTTCCGAGAGGAGGATTTGATTTTAGTTTTTCCAATTTTTCTTTTTTAATTTTTGAATTTTTCTATAATATATTAAATAATTTTGAATTAAATTATGACATGGCTGCAAAGGTGGTGTCTATGTGTCAGTCAAGTTGTTGCCACATCATCATTTTAACAGTCAAACTTAACTGTTGACTGCCACATATGACAGATTTAACGAAACTAGACGACGTGTGACCAAAGATGATATAAGTGTGTAATATCAATGGCTAAATTGAAGTGAAAGTGATTCGAGTGGCTAACCTGTTACAAATAGATAATATGGGTGACCAAATTTGCAATTCACCCGATAATAGTGGCTCCAATTAACTTGCCAACAAACCTATGTCCAGATTTTCGAGCCATAATTTGTTAAATCGTCGTCATATCATCGATACTCAATTTGAATCCTTTCATATGTGATTTATTTGATCTCCAAAACCCAGACTGATTTCATTCATGTAAAAGATGTCAACTTTCAATTTAAAAGATATAAACTTTCTATTTATCTCGTGATTATAAGTGGCCTTCATTGAGAGAAGTCTCGTTTGGTTTCCAAAGTACCCTGGTCATCAGTTTGGTGTCCTAGCATGGGCAGGTCAAACGTTTAATTTGATTGTATCTATCTACGATTCAATTAATTAATACACATGAATAGAGAGGGGAAGTGCATGCGTTTTAGTTAGGCTGGTTGGGTGCAATTCAATGACTTTAGGATTGATTGAATTAATGTGGATGGGGAATAGGAAGGTGCAAGCATTTTTTTCTTCTTATTGCATAATAGGAGGCTGGCCGCCAAGAAAAGGGGGATTACAGGTGAGAGGCTGAAAGAGAAGAGGTGGTGGCGGGTGTCACAATCCGCCTTTGGAAAGTAACTCCCTGCACATCATCCCGCAGAAAGGGGATCAAGCCCGAAGGTGGATGCACAAACTCATGTACAACGTAGGGATAGACGAGACTGTGCTTCGAGAGCCAGTCCGCGACTCTATTCCCTTCGCGGTATACATGAGAGATGCGCACCAACCAGTCTCTACTAATTCTTCTGCGAATAGAGGAGAGCAGAGTAGCATAGGGGTGAACTCAGGGGCGAAGCCAGGAATTCAAGTTCGGGGGGGCCAAAAAAATTTTCAAACAAAATAATACTATAAGAAAATATCAAATATAATTTATTATTTTAAACGTACACGACGTCTTTGAGATTAATCACATCACTCAAAATACTACCTATACGGAAAGGGTCGATTACATCTCGTTCAATATAAATAACAAGACCACCAGTGATAAATCATCACTCATTTGTTGCGTGAGGTTGGTAGTTCGAGTACAATGGGAGCTTATGTTTTATTTTTACTCTACACATTTCAATATCTACTATCTGTTATTTCAGTTTTGGCTTTAGTTCCATTTTAGACGAAATTTATACAAATGCTTTATTTTCTTTTGTATTTAATTATTGGATTATCAACTAACCTAGTATGTATGTATTCTGCTATGCGATCTTGCAAGAAAGTGTTACACATTAGATTATTAGTTTTGTTTTGACTCTTCTAGTTTTTACTGTTAGTGGTGAACGGGCTTTTTTTGTCATGCAATTCGTGGCTCCGCCCCTGGGTGAACTGCATCCTGCCTGTCATGAATCAAATGAATAGCAAGCTGGGAATCTGACTCAATCATAACCGTCCGGCATCCCGCCTTCCAGGCTAGTTCCAGACCGTAGTAGAAGGCCCAAAGCTCCGCCAAGACCGCTGATGCCTCTCCTATCTTGGCCACAAAACCCGAGATCCATTGCCCAGCCTCGTCCCTCAACACACCACCAGCCCCTGCCAACCCGGGGTTGCCATTCGAAGCTCCATCGAGATTAAGCTTTACCCATCCTCTCGACGGAGGAGTCCAAGAGATGTCCACCATCACCCTGCTATTCGGACCACCCCTTGAAGTAGGCAGCAGCGTCGGGGCTGTCCAGGCAGAGTGCCAAAGTTTGGCCTTCGCCACAATAGCGTGAGCTAGAGATCAAAAACTTCTTTCTTCTTCCCATAACAATAGCGTCGGGGATGTGCAAGCATTTAATATCACCCGTAACAAATCAAAAACTTCTTTCTTCTTCCCATCCCAACATCATATTTAATATCTCTTCCAACCAATTTGTAACTTCCCTCTCGTTTGGATGAGATGAGGCTCTCATCAATCATCATTCCTCTAACTTTCCAAATCTCCTTTTTTTTCTTTTACTTGGTTATCCTATTATAATTGAGGATGTAGAAAAGAAAATAGAGTCACTAACCGAATCGTTCCTTGAAATACAACCCTATTCATCACTCTTATTTATATGCTTGAACTTGCTAACAAGGCCATTGTAATGAGGGGTTAGTGACGATTGTAGTCTGTAGAGCATCTCCTTGAATCCCCAATCTCCTCTTCCTCTTTGTTTCCCCCTACTCTTCCCATTTGAAGCTTTAGCCTCCTAGCTACTAATCCAAAAGAAAGAGAGTTCAGAATGTTGAACAAGAAGACAAGACATTATATAGGCCCCTGTTTACAAAGAAACTTATTATATTGAATTCGGTGTGAAACTTTACTCAAAAGAAGAGTTAGTGTGCACACTCACAACAATGATTCTTTCTGACATTTTTCAAATTCAAACTTTTGCACACAACATTATTAGTGAGGAGATGGATCAATTTACTGAGACATACTACAAGGTCAAGTTACAAAATGAAACCATTACTACATCTAAAATTAATGAAAACCCTACCTGAAAAACAGTTCTATAAATGGAGTCCATTGTAGCACCACAACTCATTTATTGGTACTATGATAATATAATCTTTTTTTTTTATTTATTATCAGGCAATAATAGAGCGCTTCCCATCATTCATTTCCGAGCTGCAATGTTTCACCTCCCATCCAAATTAGGTAAGAAACCAACATGACTGCTTTTGTTGGTGCAATAAGTTGGACTCTGCTGAGGGGAAGTACTTGTTTCCCTAATTTTTTCACAACAAAAACCCATTATTACCATTATTCACCCACCAAATTTGTGAAAAATTACTACTTCTTACTTACTTTGCGCAACTTCCCCAAGTATTAAACTGGTAATATACTTGCAAACTATTAAAAAGATAATTATAATGACCATGGAACAGGAGTGGAGAATGGGTATCTATGGCAAGATGGCGGAAGATGGTACTTGGCGATCGAGAACTTTGTGGAGGAAGATGGTACTTGGCGGACGGAGCTTTTCGAAGACCTCATCCCGAGCGAGGTGTCCCAGAAGATCCTTAGCATTGGCGTTGACAAGATGGCCACAGAGGAGGATACCATCTTTTGGTCGGCCTCGTCGGATGGAAGATTCTCGGCTAAATCAGCTTATTCTCTTCAGAACCAGAGTCCGCCAGATCCGGATGAGGGAATCTGGAAGATCATTTGGAGTCTGCCTGTTCCGGAAAGGATAAGGAGTTTTATGTGGCTGGCCTTCTTGGGGAAGTTGGCCACGAAATCTCTTCTATTCTCAAGGAAAGTTACAGACAGCCAGAGCTGTGTTAGCTGCGGACATCCGGTCGAATCCATCCTGCATTTGTTACGAGATTGCACTGCGGCCAGGTATTTTTGGCTCCGTCACAGTCCGTCCGGGCTTCAGTCGTGCTTCTTCACCATGGGCGAGCGGGATTGGCTGCGCGAGAATCTTAGGAGCAGCGAGAGCTTGGGCTCGGGAATGAGCTGGCCAGCTTGTTTCAGTGTTGCATCTTGGCTTCTTTGGAAGAATAGGTGCACGTTCTGCTTCAGAGGGTCAAGCTCTGCACTCTCTCCTCCTTCCCTGGAGTACTCGATCATGGCAAAGTGTAAGTTGTGGTATGAGGCTTGGCAAGCCCCCTCCCCCCTCCCCAGTGACAGAGGGCAGACGAGCACTCGTACTACGGTGATGATTGGGTGGACTCCCCCGATACATGGTTGGGTGACTCTTAACGTGGATGGGGCCTCTAATGGCAACCCGGGAGCTGCTGGAGCAGGAGGGGTGCTCCGCGACTGTGCAGGTAATTGGATTGCTGGTTTCACTGCGAATTTCGGGACGGCCACGGCTATTTTGGCTGAGTTATGGGCTGTGTATCATGGTTTGGATATGGCTTGGAAGAAAGGGTTTAGGGCTGTGCGCCTGGAGTCTGATTCCCAGCTCGCGATCCAGCTCATCAACAACAGAAGTGATCCTGTCCACCCTCATGCTACCCTCCTCTCAGCTATCCGTAGGAAGATTGGCCGTGAGTGGCTGGTAAGCATTAATCATGTATACCGGGAAGGGAATAGAGTCGCGGACTGGCTCTCGAAGCACAGTCTCGTCTATCCCTACGGGGTACATGAAATTGCTAACCCGCCCTCCGAGTTAGTTTCTATTGTTAGAGAGGATGCTATGGGTGTTTCTTTCGAGCGTCGGATTGTGACGCCTGACTCTTCTAGCTTGTAAAGACCCCTGGGTCTTCTTCTTTGGCTTTTGCCTCCCTTTATGCAAAAAAAAAAAAAAAATCTATGGCAAAAAAAACAAAAAACAAAAAAAAACAGAAGTGGAGAATGGAGATGTGGGCCCATCCCATTATTGGGCTTGGGTCGTAATTATCCTCAAGGGAATCCACTTGAGGGGGAGCAGAAGGGCCCGGGCCCATTCGTTTCTCCTACGCTACGCAGATGGGGAACGGGAATCACAGAATGGGGCCCACCCACCACCTGCTCAAAAAATTTATTCTCCTCCAATTTTATAAAAGCGAAAAAAAAAAAAAACAGTCCTCTATCTCCCGATTAACGCGAACTGACGAGTTTTCCCTCTTCTCCGCTCTGCTCCCGCTATTTGCCGCCGGCGTTGTTTGGCGGTGGTTTCTGCTTTCCTTAATTCCGAACTCAGTTCAGGGCTTCGAACCAAAGGAAGGCAGAAACAAAGGAGATGCAGATCTTCGTCAAGACGCTCACCGGCAAGACCATCACTCTCGAGGTCGAGAGCAGCGACACCATCGACAACGTCAAAGCAAAGATTCAGGTCTCTCTTTTCTCTCTCTCCCAGTCTCTCTATTGTTCCTCTAGTGGGTCGCTGAATGGTTTCGGTTTAGTGTTCGGGATTGAATTCCGGAGCTTCGAGTCGGTAATTTGAGCTTGTGCCGTCGGAAGATGAGACTGGATATTTGAGTCGTCTTTAGTTCATTTGTCCAATTGAGATTGTTGTTCATGATGGCCAACTCTGTCTTGGGCATGTGTTAGACTAATGGTATGATCGGTTTTAGATTATGGAGCTTAAATTGATTGGAGCAAGTAAGATTAGTATTTTAAGTTGGAACTTAGAACATAGTCTTTGGTGTTATATTTCACAAGCTTATAGTCTGGAACCGGGAAAATGTTGGCATATTATACGGTTCGTAGAAACTCGTTCTCTTTGGGTTTATTCTGATCCTCGACTTTTCGCCGAATCTATTTATTAGATTAGTAGCAATTAAGATTAGTAGCGCGAGGTAGAACATATGTTGTTTAATGCGTATTTTCAGAAACTTATAGGATAAGAGTTGAAAAGGTAATATCTTTTACATGATTAGTAGAAAATGCAAGTCAGAACACTTCTTTGTTTATATGATAGTAGAACATTCATAATTGGAGCAGGTATCTTTAGTAGTGATAGTCGGAATATATTCTGTTTGCTGCGTCCTTGAATGTAACGTGATCCTATAGATTGGACTAGAGCTAGTAAGATCAGTATAACTTGTAAGAAGAGTGTATTATCTTTGATGCTTATACTCTCGAAGCTTTTAGCTTAGGATGGAAAGTTATTGCTGCTTCTCCCATATATGCCCCATAGAGAACTCTTCCATTTTGGGGTTCGATCACTTTCAAGTTTAGTTGGAATCTGCAGTTGTGATAAATGAATTGCTTACTCTGGCTTATTTTCTGGTTTGGGCTTTGATTGTTAGGTTACTTAATGGATCATTGGTGGTTGAATCTTTTTATAGGACAAGGAAGGGATTCCGCCAGATCAGCAGAGGTTGATTTTTGCCGGTAAGCAGCTAGAAGATGGAAGGACGCTTGCTGATTACAACATTCAGAAGGAGTCCACACTTCACTTGGTTTTGAGGCTCAGGGGAGGCACCATGATCAAGGTCAAGACCCTCACTGGGAAAGAGATTGAGATTGACATTGAACCCAATGATACCATCGACCGAATCAAGGAACGAGTTGAGGAGAAGGAAGGAATCCCTCCTATCCAGCAACGGTTAGTAAAATCCTTCATTCGGGGCCTTGCACTAAAAAACTCTTGGTCGGTCTGGTTTTTGTTTCAGTTATGAACTTGGCTGCCATTGTTTGTGTTGTTACCTTGTTTACGCAACAAGAATTCGAACAATTCTAGATTTTTTATACTCTTAGGACACGAGGGAAGTAGATAAATCAAGCGAGCACAGAAGATACGCGATTCAAGTGTTATAGCCACAGCTCAAACAAGCAGACACAGAAGACGCAAGATTCACGTGTTACAGCTGCAGCTAGTTTTAAGTTATACGTTCAGAATATCGTCTTGCCTTTTATAGTACAATTATAATAACCTCATTTTGCCTTCGATTAGGAGCATAAGGCAAACAAATAGAAACATTCATATCATATGCACAAACTCTTTGCACCATTGTTCTTCACATTTCCTCACGACACTCCATTTTATATACCTTGACATGTAAACTGTTGTTCTTCGATTTGCAGGCTTATATATGCAGGGAAGCAGCTGGCAGATGACAAGACGGCTCGCGACTACAACATTGAAGGAGGCTCCGTCCTTCATCTGGTGCTTGCCCTTAGAGGCGGTAGTAGTTCTTAGGATTCAGTGTTTGTGAACTCTTTGGTTCGGCTTTTCTGAGAATTTAGCTATGGCTTTGATCGATGATGATGATTGTCATAAGCGAGTTAACTTATCAGACCGTGCCATTGTTCCTGTCATACTTAGCTTGCATACTCTTTTGCTCAAACCCTTGTGGATGATGATGTGTTATGCTGGTATTCTGCTAAAACTATTAGAGCAATATATATCATTATGAACTCCTTGGTTTGGCTGTGCCGAATATTTAGCTATGGCGTTGATGGATGGTGATATGTCGACATTAACGTATTAGACTGAGAGCGACATTGTTGCTCGAACTCTTGTGGATGTTGTGCTATGCTGCTAAGCTGCCAAAGCTTTTATATCGAACATGGAAATCAGATCCATTTCACAGCTTCATTAATCATTTCCGAGGAAAGGAGCCAAACTATTACAATAACAAAAAGGCGGGAATGAGATAATCTATTTCTCGAAGTAACACTAACACAGTGGGATGCCAGCGAAAAATCTCTCCTTTTCTACTACTTCCATGGCTTCTTCGACCACAGTGAAGTAATGGACGCCAGCTCAGGCGCACCCACGAGGAGCAAACCCGATCCTTGACCCGCCCAAATCGTACACGACGCGGAACCCTTGCTGCTGAATGTTCCCGATGATCGACAACCCGCTCATGGTACCGGCGAACGCAAAGCAGAACGTGCCGGAGGTGTCCACGGGGATCAGGTAATTCGACGCCGGCAGCGACACGTCGGCGCCTCGGAAGTGGAGGACCACAGTCGGCACCTTCACCTCCGTCTTCCCCGACAGATCGAAGCAGGTGTCGAACAGAGAGAAGTCGGCAGCCCGCTTCAGGTTCCCCGCCCCAACCCGGAACGCATCGCGAAGGGAGACGTACGCGGGTCGGGTCAGTCGGGTTACGGAGGTACCCGAATCGATGATCACCCCGCCGCTCCCCGTCGGATCGAGCTTAAAAAGAGACGCCGTGATCCCCGGGACACGTGTACCGCCCACGCTGATCCCGAGAAGCTCCACGTAGTAAAACGTGTCCAGCCTGGGATTTGAAATCAACGGCGTGAAGCGAGCGGTGCGGGACACCGCCTTGTCGCCGAACACCATCGACGATGGCTTGGCCGACGCCGACCGGTCCACCAAACAGTAGGAGAATTTCCGGTTGAATCGACGGCCGGTCTGCGACGGGAACGACAGCTTTCCCCTCCCGAGCCCCAGCAGACCCGCCGCTCCGACGAACAGGCCCTCGTTGTCGTGGCCGCACCCGACCCCCACGCGCGCGACGCGCGTCCTGCGAAACGTCAGCGTCTCGGTGGAGAAATCGCCGGTGGTGAAGGAACCGTCCCCGTACGAGACCTGGTAGAGACACGTCTTCTTCCTCGAATTGCAGCCTGGGGAATCCAGGCGGCGGCAGATCGGAGCGTCGCAAGGGATCCCGGCGTAGGAGCTGGACTTTCTCGGGTCGAAAACCGGGTCGGCTTGGGAGTAGCACTTTTTGCAGGGAGCGCACTGGAGCCAAACGATGTCGCTCCCTGTATCCAGAACCATGTACACGTACCTCGGCGGAGTGCCGACGCCGAGGCGTGTGAAGTACTCGCCGCTGCCTTGCGCGAGTCCGGAAATCACTGAGCTGCTGAATCCAGGTCCGGGACCGGCAGCAGAGATGAATTCGATGCTCTTGACACGGGAAGCATCGCGGAGGAGCCTGGAATTGAAGAGCTGCTGAGGCGTAGTTGTGTTGGACGACAGAGCATCGACATGGTGCAGCTGAACGGAGAAAATGGAGTCTGCAGATTCCGGATCTCCGCCGCCGGGCGATGAAGTTAAGGGCTGGGATTCTTCGTCAGCGTCGGACCAGGAGAGGGATTGAGGAGGGGAAGGGAGGCGATTGAGGACTAGGGTTTGAGATTGGAGGGGTGGGGCCGGCTGGGATGAAGAGAGGGAGAGGAAGAAGGTGAAGAAGAGGAAAGGGACCATGCTCGCTTTTCCATCCATGGAAGGGAAGTAAAGCAGAGAGAGGGATGATAGTGAAGTCACTTTCGCATAGAGTGAGTGAGTGAGCGGGATGTGGAGTGTGGATTGATATAGACTATAGAGTGGTTCACTTCTCGACCACCGGTCCTCCTGTTTTTGCCCTTTGCCAATGGGCCTACGGGACTAGAGAATTGTTCTCAATGATTCGGCCTGATTGGTCAGCTTCTGTATGGACCATAACTACTGGGCCGATGGTAGAATGGATTTAGTGGATAATTGTGGGCTCTCTCCTCCAGTACGTACTTTTCCACCCTTCTCACCAACTGCCTAACTGGGCCTGATGAAATCTTCTCACTAACTGGGCCTAATAGTTCAGCTTCGTTTCTGCCATGGCAACCGGCCGGATGCATTTTTTTTACATCCCGACCCGTAAAATAACGTTTTATTCCGAGCTGTGCGCCATTTGCTTATGTTGTCTTGTCTTGACTCTTGAGCATACTACTTTCTAGTTTTTAGCGACTGGCATGAGAGTTTAGCGACCAACGCACCACTTTCGTTTGTCTGTTGGCACTTGGTAAGTAAGTTGGTATCAAAACTTAAGTCGAGTTTGCTTGATTGTATTTGTATACGTGGCCATGGTGCTATTTGTTATATAATTATTCGTGAAAGCCACGTGAGCACTGATTATATATGAATTTGATAATATTCGTCTTTCATTATATATATCGTAATGACTCGTATACTCTACATTGAATAAAGTCTAGATACAAATAGTAATAAATGGTTTTTTTGGATATCTATGATAGTTTGTCTAATAAAGTGCAATAAACCATTTTAATGTGAAAGAATATACAAACAAAGTACAAATTATGAACTAGTCTTCGTTTAAATAAGTAATAAACATATTTGTACATCTAGAAAAGTAGAAATCATAACTATTTCAAGAGCTTAACCGGTTGAAATAATGAGAGTTGTGAAATAAATTTTACAATATCCATCATTTTGTTCAAGATATTTTAAATGTTTCCAATACCACAACGCTTACTATTACAGGGAGTTTTTCGCTTTTTAGGTGGAGCATTTTCTAAAATATGAAAAATATTCGCCATATACAACAATTTTACGACCATAATTATTGTCTTTTTTAAGATTGAAATAGTATCTTCAAGAAAACCTCAGTTAAACGGCAAACTTTTCTTCATCTACATCTAGCATACAACCTAAGAAAAAATACATTGACAAAATTAACAAGACTTCTAATGAATGTTTTCATGACCAATACATGGAAAAGGATTGATATCTAGTCAAATTAAAATGTAGGCGACATTGAGAAACCGAGTATATGATGATATTCTAGTTTTTCAACCGTAGAAATTCCATCATTTCTTTTTCTGTGAGGAATTATTCAAAGTTCTTAGAAAGTTCTTACTATGGTACAAGACAGGCACACGTGTGGGGAGTAGTGGTGATGAGATGAGAGAAAGCCTAATCAAGCCACAAATTCAAAGTCTTTCATTTATTTTATGTTTATAAAAATAAAAAATGTCAAACAAGTTGGAGAGAATATTATGTCGTCACGTCGCACATAAGCCTGGCATCATGCATGCATATGCCTCTCGTCAGTTTGTTTTATTTTATTTTTACCCCTGAGCAAATTAATCAGCTAATTATATCTTGTCATCATCGGTTGGGTCACTGAGAGACTTGTCTATAGCTTGGTTGGAAGTCTTCAAAAAGTCATCCATGGTTAGTGAGGTTTTTACTAACCAGCCAAAGCAAAGGGAAAAAAATTAAGAGTAATTCATTAGCATGCATGTCAAAATATTAGGTAACGAAGTGGTAAAAAAAAAAAAAGAAGAATAATGACTTTAAGATCATAATAATGTTAGTTTCCCTAACAAAGGACTTATTAAGAGAAAGGGGACGTGTCAATTTCAAACCGGTGGACTTATTACACTTTAAAAAGGTTGCATGGGAGTGTGTTTGGAATATTTTTTTTTTTTATATGCACCAAAGTTTGAAATTAAGTGCTCTAATTGATTAATTAATTAGTGATGTAGTTTTCTTCTTTGTTGTTGTGGGTGGTGATCATAAAGTTGGTGATTTGCAATGAGTTATAGTAGGAGAACTTAATGGGGGCTGGTGACCTAAATCCTAAGACTACTAACTTGCCATGATTTGTCACCAATTGGTATAGCTTCAACACAAGAGTTCTAGTGTTGTGTCCATATAAATGTTTCAACTTATTGTTGATCAATTGCACCATTCACACAATCAAATTAAAGCATAATGATTGATGAGGAGAATGAAATCTTTTCTAATGAATGGTGGGAGAATACAGTATTAAGTAGTTTTTCCTCCTGTATGATTGAAGTCTATTCTTTGAAACACATTGAAATATTGTACGGAGTGTATAATCAACCTCTCTTTTAATAATTCGAATTTTTTAGATGAAATGGTGTCTTGTGATAGTAACATAACTTACTAGAGATTTGAGAGAATTTAATTGAATCTTTAGTATAACCATTAGAAATTGATTTCGACATAAGATATGGCGATGCAACACAAACTTCAAACTCTCAATCTGCGAATTATTATTGTACACTGTTAAACTAGAATAGACAGTTCTCTTACAAAGCAGCTTATGTAATTTTGAGTTTCCAAACATAATATTGGGCATATTATCCGTATACAAAAATCATAAAGATCAATAGGATGGCTTTGCTTCGCAGCTAGTGAAAAACCTAATGAGGGTTTGCTTAGAATTATGTATCCCCGATCGAAAATGCAGGAATCAATGTTGACCAAATATCTAGGTAAAATGGCATTTTCAGTCAAGCCTTTCGTATTTGGTTGCCAATCCACAAACCCAACCAATGAGAATATTGTAGTTATATGAGGGCTTTTTTCCCCCCTAATGTTAGGAATCCAATAACCTTACAAAGTTGACGTTCAAGTCCCCTCTTTGAAATATTATCTATTTTAACGGCTTATATACATAATTCATATAAACTTATACAAATAACCATCTACATATTCAGTTATTCGTAAAAAAAATCTTCTAAATGTATACGATAGACGTCATACCGAATAGTATTCATACCCCCATAACATTAAAAATTATACAACAATATCTGATACACCCTTAAAAAAAATCAAACGAAATAGCTAGCTAGCTAGAAGCGTACATAAGTAGTTGGAGTTAGGTCCAAAACATATATATCTTGGTTCTTGGCAGAAGTCACCTAGTTATGGAGACATGTAATGTAAGCCCTCCAACCTCACCAAATTAATTAGGGCACTCATTTTTAATTTGTGTGCGAGTTCCACTGTTCTTGGACCCTTATCATGTAATACAATATATGTGTGATGGTTTTGCTTAATTGGGTATATATATATATAATATATTCCCCTATTACTCTTTGAACAGCCTTGATAAACAAATCAACAAATTAAAACAAGTGACTTGACAACTAACTATATGTATATATCTATAACCGGTCATTGACATGTTGCTTATTAACTAATTTTTACAAACAAACAAAATTTTCGGTTCACATATAGTTGTTAGGCTTGTGTGTGAGAGTAAGCAATATACATGTATCATGTGGCTTATATTTATTGTGTGTGATGGTATATATAATTGGTAGGGTCATTTGTTCTTCCTCGATTGAGACTCGATTGAGACTAAGGCTTATAATCTCTTGGAACCATGTAATTAAGTCGATCAACAGCTAGTGATCATGTTCCTACTATACTACGATCATCTTGGTTGCAAGTTTTTGGTGGAGGCACTGAAGATCAGTTTGAATATGTAATTGTGAAAATGCTTTGTCACTCTAAATTTAATTGAATCGGGGTAAACGAATCTTATACACATAATTCATCCTCTCGATTATAATAAAACTATATATAAAAACTAGCTATATATTCATGGGATCCCAACAGGTATAAAATGACACATCTTATAAATACACTAGACAATCAACAAGAAAATTCACCTTGGGTCTTGACACACATGTTGATGTGAATTGAATTGGACTATCAGCCGCTACGACTGCTCAATGTTATTTGGGTTCGGGTTCTGGGCCTGGTTGTAACCGCTTTTCCTTTACCATATTGGATTAGGGTTAGACCTAGGAGAAGTATTATAAATACTTCTCATCTCCTCTGTAATCTGTGATCTTCTCGATATAGTGAAACTGACTCTCTCCTGCCCGTGGACTAGCTAACACACATTGTGTTAGTGAACCATGTAAATCTGTGTGTCGTGTGCTTCTATTTTTCGTTTTCTTGCTTTGTCGATTCCGACGATTTCCCGATCCGTAACAGCGCAATTTTAACAACACATGTGGCAATACAACTTGTACTATGATCATGAGGTCGACATGCTGATGATCCACCTCCACTTGAAGCCTGCATCGCAACCAAACTCCACAATTGCATTGCATGCCATGGAATGTCGACCCGACAAGGGGAGGGTTCCTAATTAGCTTTGTGGGCTATTTCTGAACTACTTTCTACTATATTTCTATAGTACAATAATGACTTTTTACAGTTTGTAACGTACGGTATGTGAGTCCTGGAGGCTGGAAATACAAGTTCAAATTGTACTCTCCCACCACCCAAAGTGTACAAAATCCTAGACAGAAATGTTGCCTTTTGTACATAATCCAAAAGCGTACAACTTCAGACTGATTCACGTCAAAATTCATGAACCCATATCCACTTTGTGAAAAATAACTAAAAAGCACCAACTAGACATATAAAACTAGCTCCCCATTGAGTCAAAATATAGATAGAAATGAATCAAATGGGCTTTTGTTAATATGGGAAGAAGACCCTGTAATTGACACTGTGCTAGTAGTCAATTACCAAAGTGAAAATTCTCGTGGCAGTCTTTGTTTTTTGGTTGGGAGAGAGAGAGAGGAGCAATATAGGAACAAGGAATAACAAAACGTAAATGACAATTAAGGATTACAATGGTGCACCTCAATTATATGGCGAAACAGTAGACTAATTAGTTACATGTTTTTTGGTCGCAAGACAACAACCATGTTCATAAAACAGATTCGAAGTTCGATTACAATGATTCAGCTCCATTAAATCGATCTAAGAAAAGAAAAAGGGACATTGGACAAGTTTGAAGAGAGCCTCTGAAGTCTAACTAGCTAGCTATCTATTAGGAGAAGAACCACTTCGATAAGGTTTTGAATTTTCTTACATTATCAGTTTCTCACAAGTCACAATAGAGAATATTTCTTTGAGTCACATTACCATTATAAGTTACTGGACTAATGTTTTAACACAAAATACAAGTTAGTTATCCAAATTTAGAATTCTCCATCTCTTAGATCAATTCACAAACTCCAACTATAACAAACTTTTCTCCTCTCTTGCTCGCTTATTATGTTCACCCTCGTCCAAACACTTGAGTGCAGTTCTGCTGCTTAGCGTAAATATATATGAGGACAAACTATGTTAAAAGACGACCTTTAAAAAAAATGAACATTGTTTGTGTAATACTTTTTTACGGTGACTAATTGTAACACTTGGTATTAACCAAACTTACTATTGATGAATATGCTAAAATGGAAGCCTCCTGTAGCTTGAACAATGAAATGTCCATAATCTACTAGTTTATACGTGGACTGTACACCTTCCATGGATTGCAACCTGTTGCAAACAAAAGGCTCCACCAAAACTTATATTTTTTCTTTCTTTCAAGAAGAGTGTATTTTGACGTTTTTATGGGAGTGCATAGACTATTTATTAAACACAGTTTAAAGAAAAATAATTGGCATTTGGCAAGAATATAAATAAAGTAAACAAGGAAATCAAATATTAATTTAGTTAGCTAAAGAGATACAGAGTGAAATCCGTTTTGGATTTTCCTTCTATTTAAGCCCCTCTCCACTTCCTCAAAGCAAAGCCCCACTTATCATGCGGCCCGTGACTAAACTTGTCTCTCTGACTCTCTGTTCCTCTCTGGCCGTTTCCTTTTCTCCCCGCGAGGAAAGCAAAGCACGATCTGCTGAGAGTGTGTAATTAAGCTGAGGTACCCAAGAAAGAAAGAAGGGGGAAATGGGGAAAGGCAGAGCGCCGTGCTGCGACAAGAACCAAGTGAAGAGAGGCCCATGGAGCCCTGCAGAGGACCTCAGGCTCATGACTTTCATTCAGAAACACGGCCATGAAAACTGGAGATCCCTACCCAAACAAGCTGGTCAGTCACCTTCTCCACCCTCGATCTGCTTTTCTATTCTCCGCAAAGGTTTCAACCCGTGGGTTGTCTGAGTACCCTCTGTCTGTCTTGCTCTGTTTTTCCCCCCTCCCCTGTTTTCTGGTCTTTTTCATTGACAAAACCAGAATTCTCTGTTTCTTCTGGATTTTGAATTTCATTTCCTTTTCTCATTTTTGGTAAGGTATTTGATAGGATCAATATTTCCTCCATTTTTTGGCTGGTAATAAATAAAATGCACTGTTTCAGAAATTAGGAATACAAGATAATATAATTTCCAAAAACAAATATGCAAAATCTAGCAAGTCATTATGGTATTTAACGCAACGCACAGAATACACAAAAGGGCAAATGAATCAAAATTATGAGTTGAGTTGCTAGTCCTAAAGACTTTATTGTATAAGATGGTCACATCTTTGAAAAAAGTTTCCCCCATCTCCATGACTAGTCTGAACCGTCGCATCATCTTGGAGATTTTGTGGATAAATGTCCATATTATTATTACTTATTAGCCTCCAAAGTCCAACCCAATACTAGTACCACACAGTTTTAGCGACAACATCAAAATCGTCACTAATAACCTTTTGTTCGTTTTTCTTTTCGCAAGTTTATCCTGTTTAACACGCATGCATTCTTTTAATTTCCATGTGGAAAACCCAAACAAGTAGACAAGATTCCTAATTCAAATTAGTGGTTCAACAATGAAATCATTAATTCATATTTCAATATATAGTAACACTATACTTGGTTGGTCATATATAAATCCTAATTATATATTTGTATTCGTAACAGGACTATCGCGATGTGGGAAGAGTTGTCGTCTGAGATGGATTAATTACCTAAGACCAGATGTAAAGCGTGGCAACTTCACCCAAGAGGAAGAAGACTCCATTATCCGTCTCCATCGTGAGCTTGGCAACAAGTAAGCTAATTAGCTAACCTTGCTTTATCTCCCTTTTCTTATACTTCATGACCTCATGTCTTACGTGATTATCAAACAAAGGATCCACTCTTAACAAGATTGTCATATGTGTTTTTCAGGTGGTCAAAAATTGCATCTCATTTGCCGGGGAGAACTGACAATGAGATAAAAAATGTGTGGAACACTCACTTGAAAAAAAGAGTATCGTCATCTAACAAGAAAAATGTTGAAGTAATGACTAAGCAGTCTTCGCCGACCTCCTCATCTTCATCCTCCTCCTTTTCCACCACCACAACCTCGTCTGGCAAAAGGAATGTTCAAGCAACAATTGATATCGGTGATCAACAAAGGAAAAGGCAGAGAACTCATTTGTTGAATGAGGATGAAGAGGAAGAAGAAGTGGTGAACGAGGAAGACATTCAAAACAACAACGAGGATGAGATGAATAATGATTATGAATTCAAATCATTGCCAAAGGACATTTTGACTTCCTCGGCTTCATCCTTTCCGATGAATTCCTCCAGCCTGATTGATAATGTCATGTCGATGGATTCGATTTTTAGCTTGGGTGAATCGGTTGGTAACGTCTATGATGTATTGGAAGAGGTGAGCCGACCCGGAGTTGAGGACTTCACCCTTGAGATTCCTTTGGAATCCGACATGGAGTTCTGGAACTTGTTGGATGGGCTAACGGAATCTAGTGGCAACGACGGTGAAAATGTAGCTTGTTTGTCTGATGACCAGCTGGGAGTTCAGGAGGTGGATGATGACAAGAAAAAGTGGTTGCGATACTTGGAAACTGAATTGGGTCTAGAGGAAATCAACAACGATACTAGAAACCCAGAAGACAACCTTACAATTCCCCAAGTGTCAGGAGAGGGAAACATACAGGTTTTATACGACGATGAATCACTCCCTCCACATGAAAATAAAGCAGAATCTGAAGAGAATCCAACAGGTCCAAACCAGCCGCATACTCAAGATATTTAACTCAAGTATGGAGTGTTCTTAATAGGAGTGTCTTGGATCGAATCAAAGAGCAAACTCAATCGATTCAAAATGAACTGTACAATACTAGGAAAAAAAATAGTGATACAGTTTGTTAATTAACTATGTTCAACAACAGAACCAAATGTAGACAGCATATATGAATTGTGACATGCTCCTAAGTCCTAACCTGTGAAATTTGTAGCCAAGCTAAAGAAAGAATTTACAGCAAGTTGTTAAAAAGAAATACAGTCGCTTTTCCCTGTATTTTGATGGTAAAGTTCGAGGATGAGCTCCAATTGCAAAGCAATATATACTTATTATATTTAGCGACCACTGATGTTCTTTATTTTCCTTTCAATTTCAGATTTGGTGGTGGTAGGTGGGTAGGTAAAAAAAGAGTCCTTTATGCTTAAACTTACAAACGACCTTTTCAACTGTCGGCCAAAAAAATTTGATGGGATCGCCTGACTTATCATCTACTACTTGCCCTCCTCTGGTCACACAAGTGATGTTAATAACAAACACAAGATAATTTTTTTTTCTAGTAATTTGAGTAGTTGTGATTAATTTGTTTTTATGTTGAATTACATTTTTTGGTGATCAACATGCTTTGTGTTCGAATTTGACGACATCAATATTAAATATATGATATTCAGTCTATCACTTATTATCTTGGTATGGAAATATATATGATTTGTCACTTTGTAGATATGCTTGAAATTGATGGAATCAATATATAACTGGTTTCAATCTGTCACGTCCTTTGAAACTCTTGTGAACCATATGAATGCGATGCAAGAACCACACAAGGACCTCAATTGGCGACTATTCATCCATAGTAAGTAGTACGAACCCATTTTACATGTGGATTTAGGGTGGTAGTAAATGGTATATGATTAATAATTGAACTTCTTTCAATAATTTTAGTTATTTGGATCAACTGGTTCTTGACAGGGTATCAAAGCCTTTTGAGATCGAGAGGTCTTCTGCTTGAACACAATGACTCTCATCTATTATGTTCAGCACAATACATGTCTGGATATGTGCAAACTTCAAGCCCTATATGAGTTGGTTTTTGTTTCAGAGTGTGTGTTAGTAAATGATATATAATCAATAATTGAACTTCGCCTAACAACTCGAGTCTCGAGTTATTGACATAAACTAACTGGTTCTTGATATATAGTAAGTTTACCTAAAATAATCAACTAGAGATCATACCGTGGGAATTCAACTTAATTATATATGATAAGAAATATAGAATGAAAGACACTAAATTCAGTGGGGTAACCGAAGCTTACTTCTAGTATAGTGTCATGACACATGACTCGAATTGTTAAAAGATGTTTATTTAAGGGCTAATAGCACTATAACACCCGAATTATGACAAAAATGCCACTTGTGTCCTATTCTTTTCAATATTCCATTTATGTCCTGAATTATTAGTCCGTTAATGTTGATCGGCGTTGACTGTTAGTATTTAACAGAAAATCCAGTCAGCGTTGACATGGCATCTGACGTGTTATTTTTAAATAATTAAATAGCAATTAAAAAAAGCAAAAAATTAAAAAATTACAAATTCCTAATCTCATCTACCCAATTCCCCTCTCGAGTTTGCTCCCCCGCTTCCTCTTACCAGTCCCAATCCGCCACCACCACAATCCTCCCACTCTGCGGCCACCGCAATCCCTTCGATTTGTCGTGGCCAGGCGCCATCACAGTTGGCGGAAGGAGTTCTTATTTGAAGATTTTGTCGACTTCAAATCCCCTCCCCGGCGGCAAGCTACTCTTTCAGCGACCAAGACTTCGCTTCCTGAACTCTCTCCATCCTTCTCCACGACCTCAATTCGCTGCTCAGATTCGGCGTCCTCCACCATCTGAACGCCATCGTTTTGTTGCAGTCTCGGCCGGATTCGGAGAAGGAAAAGTTCGCTTTGAGATCTCTTCACCAGATTTCAAATATGTGGGTTGGAGTTCAAATCTCAGCCTGACATTCTCCAGGAAGGCAACGAAGAAGGTTTTCTGTTTGTGCCCGTCGACGTGAGGACGGAAATGGGTTTTTGTCAATGTGGTGGGATTTCGATTGGAGGTAGAGGAAAGGTGATGTATCGCCGGCGTTGCGAATGAAGAAGAGGGCAGCAATGGTGCAACGAGGAATGGTTTTCAGTCTATTTGTGCCAATCGATGTGAGGTCGGCAAAGGGTTCAGTCGATGGGGTGGGATTTCAATTGGAGATAGAGGAAATGTGATGGTGTCGCCGACGTTGCGGAGGAAGAAGGCAGCGACGGTGCGACGAAGAAGGCAATGGGGTCGAACTTAGGCGATTGGGTGAAAGATGGCAGTGGCAGTTGGGATTTCGAGTTGGATTTGGGCGAAAGACGCCGGTGGCCAGTTAGGAACTCAATTTGAATTGACCTAGTTTCCATCGCGATGAGAAACTAGGTCGGAGAAACACGACGTCGCTGCGCTGGATCTGACATCCCCAAGTGCTCCTTCAAAGATCCGCCACATCAATCTTCTTTGAGTGGCTTGAAGAAAATGCAATGGTGCAAGAGAGCCGTCTATGGGTGGCCGTATAGGAGAAATTGATGATTGGCCATAAAGCTGGGTCACGAACGACGATGGAAGTTTGAGACGTTGGAAAGAGCAGCGACGAAGGGCGGTAGGAGTTGACGGGAAAGCACTAAGCAAAGAGGAGAGAGACAATCGACGTTTGGGGTTTTAGAATATTATTTAGTAATATTCTTGAATTTAAAGTTTTTTCAATTATTTATTTTCAAAGTTTTATTTAATTTAAATTAAAAATGTGAGGTGTCAATGACTTGGCATTGCCATGTTAGCAAAAGTCAATGTTAAGTTGACCGCCATTTGTTCAACTGTTATCTTTAATTGTCAACGAAATTGGCAGGATACAAATGACACAAAATATAATAGTTCATGACATGAATGAAATATTTGATACAATAGGACACAAGTGTCATTTTTTCGATAGTTCGGGTGTTGTAGTGGTATTATCCCTTTATTTAATTATGGATCTTATACCATATACGGACACACCCCCTTAAACGAAATCCAACTCATATGAGCTTTAAGTTTACATAGGTCCAAATACAATGTGCTTAACAAAAGGAATTGCCGAGATTCAAACACACAACCTCTATGTCATCTCTGACTCTAATATCATGTTAAGAATCCATTGATCACTTTAATAACTCAAATTCTTGGAAGGATTCACGAATGGATCTTAAATCATTTACTAACATCGATCATGATTTTAGATTGGATTCCATCAACCAGATGCTCTCACTTTTCCTCTGGTGGTTGGTTTTGTTTTTGTGATAGAAACAAGGGTAATGACTATTTATTAGCTAAACCTTTTTAGATTCTTTTTTATTAGTCAAACTTATTAAAATGCTATTAATTAGCCAAATCTTTTGAAATACAACAAAATATTAGCCATTTTTATGTTATCGTTAATAATTTAGTAACTCTTTTCTTAGTTAAAAACTTAACATACAAATTTTTTGGAATGTTCACCTTCATGTGTCTCTTCCAAGTCGGTATTATGTTGTCAAGTCAATATTATTAAAAGAAAGTTAACATTTGACTAATTCTTAATATTTCGATAGGTTTGACTAATAAAAAGAATCCGAAAAAGATTTGACTAATAAATAGTCATTACCCTAGAACAAAGGAACAATGTTGCGGAGAGTTCTTTGGTGAAGCTGTAGGGGAGCCCTAACAAGTTACTAGAGGGTTAATTAGCTATTGGATTATGATATAGGAACATGAGATGACATAAACACGAGGGGCAAATATCTAAGTGGGGGAAGTAGCCTAGCTATTTGAGCTGTATAGTGTATATATTTGGTAGACCAACCATTACCAAACCAAACATATATATGGTGATCATTAAGGTCTTTTTATTTGGTTCAAAGTTGTGATTGAGAGCTTCATATGTGGGTCAAAGAATCAATACATAAAAAACAATAATTGATTACTGCCTTCACCAAATCCCTCATATATATATATATATATATATATATATATATATATGTGTGTGTCACTGCTGCAGCCGTTCCCGTGTCCACATTGAGGCAAGTAGACTAACTGCCTGCTCTCTATGCATTTCTAATCAACAAATTAGGAAAACTTAAAAATCTCTTTTGCGACGACAAAATGACATCGTCGTATATAGTAGCACCACCATTAGCTAAGCAAGTTTGGTCCTATCTATCAGGCTATCATAATAATATATAGTTCCATATTTTCCACTCCTTGGTTGAGACTTGGTATTAAACTATAATCTATGATCTCGAATATATTTTTTTGGCTACGTGATCACGTCACCATTTGACGGGAAAATATGTGGCAAATTGTCAATCTATATAGAGAGAGATGTATATATAGTACGTAGTAGTTTATCGGTTTTCAAATTCATTGGTTTCAAATGTTGAAATGTAGGAAGTCAATGGTTTTATGCTAAAGAATTATTATTTGGTGGTTCATGTGAATCCTGAAGTAGTTAGCTAGTACTACTCTTGTAGTCAAGCATAGAAATGGTATATATATATATATATATAATTAGGCCATGCTCCCTATTTTGTGTGTACAAGAATGAAAGTATAGACACCAAATGACGAGTATTTATCCGTTAGTTTATATATAAATATGGGCCGACCAAGAATATGATTTCGGATCTAATTAATATGGATAATCTATTTAGTTTCCTACACACACTTTCAATTCAAATATTTATGTTCGTATTATTGGATTGTCATCTAATTTGATTCGTGTCGATATTCATTACTCATCTCTTAATCCAATTATATTGCTCATGTTTGTTGAGTCAAGCTGGCAGGTCACATCCTCACAAGAACTATTCCATCAATCCTTTTGGCCTAATTCAATGTGTCGAATTACAAGATTAATCGCTCCTTAAATATTACGAGACCATCTACAAGTGTTGGGAGATATATAATTTCTATACAGAACATAAAAAATGAATTCACTACCTTTTATCTTTCTAGAAAAATTGTTAATTGACTTAATTATTAGAGTACCTCCTCTTACATATATTTTATTGTATATCGAATGACCGACTAATGAAACAAATCTGAGAAGTACCCATAACATTTTAATTTCTTTAATCTTTGTTGCTCCAATCCAATACGCAGGTGGAACTTAATTGAGAGCAAGAATCAAATAATAATACCGATTCTGATAGTGATGCACATACACTATATATAGTTATTATGGGTGGGAAAGCCAAGCACCGTCAAAAGTCTTTGTGCGGACAAAAGATTGATTCGGAAGCAAGCACAAACGGACTTGGAGGCTGGGTTTTGTTTTGTTTTGTTTTTGTTTACACAGCAACTCAACGTATATATATATATTCTTCTCCTCTATTTAATTGCATTCATATCAAACCCATCATATATTTTTCTGGATGAATTTGTCTTCTTTTTACATGGCTCTTCATAATAATATCCCAATTAAGTCGATGGATATTTTTTCCAAGTTGGCCGGCTGCTTGTAATTGTTTTTGCTTGCAAATCGGTTAATTAGGTCCTCCTAACGGGTGTAAACAACTTAACTACTCATGTTAGGCCTTGGGTCTTAATCTATGATTGCTTCATCTCAAATGACATATAGGTAACTTTCAATGCTAGCTAGCTAGTTCATTCAAATTGGGGAACGTACACGCTTGTTGGGAGATGTTCGTAACTAGATCGAGTTTTCGATCACACCTAGAGTTCTGTTTGTTGGATTGGAAGTTTGTACAAATTAACTCAGCATGCATGTACATTTTTCTATTTGGCAAATATCAGGATTAATAATTAAAAGCAATGTTCACTCTATTTATCAATAACTCTCAAACATTGTGACGAGTTAATTCCAATTCAATCTTAATTATATATAACTCGATAATTTTTTCGAAATAGATCTAATAATAATGAATTTTAGACCGTGCTTTGCAAGTACTTGATTATATCAATTATCATTAGATTGCATAGACTTGCTAGAGACGGGTAGGTAGGTTAAGGTGAGTGAGTTGTTCTCCCACTTGATGTGTATTGATGTACGTAATCTACAGTGTATGTATCATTGTCCCCTAGTTAATTCATCTTGATTAAGGATATATTAACATTTAAAGAGGACCGAAAAGAAAATGGAACAAAAAAAAGTCAAATTGGATAACATAATACAATAATAATAACGTACAAATGAAACGGAATTACATTAACGACGCACGTCATTCAGTTCTCTATTTGGTTAGCTTGCATGTGCATGTTGCTGACGTATGTGAATCAAGCAAAGCACCCTCATAAGAGAATTGGGCCTGGCTTTATATTGAATAAATGGTTGGGCCAAAGCCAACTCTTTTTGTTCGTGAATAGCTTGGACCTGACAGTAAGCCAGGCCCAAATGTGTTTTCTTCTCCTCTAATATCATATGCTCGCGGAAAATTTTCATATTTCCCACTTCATTCACCCCGTTCTGAGAACTGGAAAAATTAACTCTACACAGTTTCGCGCTTCTTTCGCCGTCTTTCTCAGTTGTTCCCAAGAAACTTCTGGCAAATCCGTCCAGCTTTGTAGTCTGTAGATGTACATGGCGGATTCAATTCACAGAAACAGCGTCTTCTTGCGGCTTAAACCCTACTGCCTAGAGCTCTTCGAGCTTCTCCAGAACCCTAGCAATCGTTCTTCTTCCGTGATTCCTTCAAATTTCTCCGCGCTTGTTCCTCTACTGATTTACAGCCTTTCTTCGAGTGAGTACGACAATGTTAGATGAAAAGTCTAGCGGCTCTTACTATGGATATTTATGGGATTTATTAGAGCAGTTTGACTTGAAACTCATCTAATGCGCCTTTCAGCTACGTCTCATTCCCGTTGCTGCTCCTGCTCGATGCGGCGGTCGAATGCCGATCTTCTAAGGAGGGTGATCCCGAGAAGAAGAGGAAGAAGCTGTCTGCAGTGCCGCATAGAGTGAGTGACAAAGTGGCAGAAGGCGTGGTGCTGTGCTTGGAAGAGCTTTTCCAGAAGAGTCGCTTCGGGTTTGTCGATCAGGTTGTTTAAGTCTCGATTCGAATTTGTTTGATTCTGGTTACAGATTGAATCGGTAGTGTGTTGAAACCTTTTTGAATAACTTGGTGATTGTGCTTTAGATGGTTCTAGTGATGAAGAAATTGACTCACGCAGCTATGCTGTCTCCATTGGAAGCTTCGGAGGAGTTTCGGGAGGGCGTGATCAGGTGTTTCGGAGCTGTACTTAGAGGTATACGTCCTTGTGCCGATGAAGCTTGTTCGTGTAGGCAAGCTTATGGTGTGCCATCATTGGTAGAGAATGGGGATGGTCATTCGTTGGCTCTACGTGAGCCTTTGAGTTATGATACAGAAGGAAGTGAATGCTTGATTGCATTTCTCCAATCCCATAATGCAGCAGCTGAAATTGGACACTGGTTCTCACTTCTTTTTTGATAATGGTGATTGAGATTAAACAAAAAGAAAACAGAACAGAGTTCACAAGGGCAGAAGAGATCACTAGAAATGATCTCAGGCCACCCAGAAAAGAAGGAAAGCCAACCAAAGGCCCGCAAGGTTAGATGGACGAGACCACCCCTACCAGCGGTTACAGAAGAAAAGGGAAAAGCCGGGCAACCAAGATACAGACAGAAGTCCAAGAGGAAGCCACAATCCAGAACGAAGAGCAGAGCAACCACAAACAAGAAGGATCAGATTCTCTGAATTCTCTCATTGAGCCACTGTGAACAAATACTCCTGTCCGCTTTGTTATGAGCAGAAATCCAATCAATAGCCTCCTTACACGCATTCCTGGAAACGATTCTGGCAGGGCTACTAGAGTCATTGAAGATGCGCCGATTCCTCTCCCGCCAGACGTGCCAACAAACAGAATGGAGCGCTGCATACGAAAACCAAGAGTTCACATTATCCGGAACCCCCGATGGCCAAGTCTGCAGAACCGTGACAATGTCACCAGACGGCGACTCCACGAGTGGGCATGCTCTCTTGATTCCAAGCCAAACTTCACGAACAAAAGCGCAATCCACGAACAAATGGTTAGCGGTCTCTTCTTGACATTTGCATAGATCACATCTGTTCGCAAGAGCTAATCCCCAACTCTTCAGTTTGTCAATCGTACGCAGCTTCATATGCGACAATGTCCATAGAAAAAAGCACACCTTGGTGGGGATTATTGACTTCCAAATAGACGCGGCTGGATAATTAGCGACCCCCGGGAAAAGATCATCCGCCAGAGTCCTGTACATAGAAGAGACAGAGAAACCAGAGTCTGGATTTGGAAGCCAAACCAGCCTACCGGGACCATTAGTAACACGACCAGCAGCAGAAGAGTTAAGAAAGCTCATAAGGTCAAGACGCTCACGCTCAGCACCCCCCCTAAGAGAAAGATTTAAAGGAAAATCCCACCTTACTATCTCACCTGAGCGATGGTACATATCTGAGATCCGGGCAGCAGGATGTGAAGCGGCAGCAGCAACACGGGGGTATCTAGAGGCAAGAGTGCTACCAGGACACCAGTTGTCATGCCAAAAAGAAACGTCTGACCCGCAACCAGGATCCAAGCATGCAAGTTTCCAGAATTTATCAAAATCTCTGTTGATGTTGGACCAAACTGATTTCGAGTAGCCTCCATGGATGTGACCAGGTTGCCAAGAGGACAAAGAGTTGGGATATTTAATTGAGATAAGGCTTCTCCACCAACCCTCATGTTCTGCGGCAAACCTCCAGGCCCATTTAGCAAGCAAAGCACTGTTAAAGCTGGCAAGATCAATAATGCCGAGGCCACCATTGCTCCTTGAAGCCTTACAAACATCCCATATGACTAAGGGATTCTTGTGATCATCCCCAGTCCCTTGCCACAAGAATTGCCTCTGAATTTGCTCAAGTCTATTAGTGGTGCGTTTGGGAGCTTTAAGCAAAGAGAAGAGGTGAACCGGTTTACTAGATAGGATCGATTTAATCAGGACCATCCGAGCCCCAAAGGACAAATGCCTCCCCCTCCATCCTTGGAGTTTCTTCCTATAACTGTCCTCGAGAGGATCCCATATATTCACCCCATTCGGCTTAGCTCCCAAGGGAAATCCGAGGTAAACAGATGGATCCCGACTCCATTTACATCCGAAAATAGAAGCAAAAAAACTTGGTTCCGGGACATCTCCCACAGTGTACATAACAGATTTATCAAGATTGATTTTCAGCCCCGTGACTGCCTGGAAACACACCAGAGTAGCCAAAATATTGAGAACCTGATCTTGAGAGGCATCGCAGAAGATAAGAGAGTCGTCTGCAAACAACAAATGAGAGACTTCCCCCAGCCCATGATCTTCATCCATACAAAAACCTTTAACCTTTCCTTCCTGCTGAAGTCGAACAATCATAAAAGAAAGAATATCCATGATAAGCACAAAAAGACCAGGCGAAAGAGGATCGCCTTGCCTTAACCCTTTTTGAGCAGGGAAGAAGCCTTTGGCTTCACCATTAATCAGGATAGAGTACATGGGGGAGCACATAACACCTTTCATCCATCTCAACCACTTCGTCGGAAAATCCAAAGTCGAGAGAACTTTAAAAAGGCAGTTCCAGTTAACATTGTCAAACGCTTTCTCGATGTCAAGCTTGAACATCAATCCAGGTTTTCGACTTTTCTTCCGGCTATCCACCAGCTCATTAGCTAACAATCCGGCTTCCGAAATCTGTCTGCCACAGACTGAAGCGTGTTGGAACTTAGAGACCACCTTAGGTAAAATCAGACCCAACCTTCGAGCCAAAACTTTACTGAGGAGCTTATTAATGCTGCCCAAGAGACTAATCGGTCTCAAATCTTTAATATCTTCAATCGTGTCTTTCTTGGGAGTCAAGCAAATAAAGGAATGTGCAGCGCATTTTGGGAGGTAGCCTGAATCATAAAATTCACCAAAAGCACTGAGAATCTCTGGCCTCAACAAATCCCAGCATCTTTTGTAGAACTCCATTGGAAACCCATCAGGGCCCGGGGCTTTGCCACCATCGCTGTCTCTCAAAGTCGCGAGAATTTCCGCTTCAGAGAAAGGTTGAGTTAGAAGATTCTTATCCAATTCCGAAAGCCTGCAATCCATATAGTATCTAGGGAAAGGGCGAGAGTGAAACTTGTCGAGGAAAAGATTCTGATAATGAGTAACCACCGCCTAAGACAGTTCCTCTCTGCCTTCAACTGGGATGCCATTGATTTTAATCAGATTAATGTAGTTTACTTTCCTTCTGTAGTTCGCAGCTCTATGAAAGAAGCCCGAATTGCGTTCACCCACCTTTAACCAGAGTTCTCTCGACTTTTGTCTCCAGCTGATCTCATGGAGTGTAAGAAAATTTTCAAGATCAATCTTAAGACTGTTCCTGAGGCACTGATCTTCACTGGAAATATCCCCATTTTCTTCCAGAATGTCGAGGTTTTTAATTTCCTGGAGCAGCACTTCAATTCTGGTGTTAATATTGCCAAAAGTCTCCTTGTTCCACACTTTGAGCTTAGATTTCAGATCCTGAAGCCGTTTAGACCAGCGAAAAATCAAACCAGAGCCAGATAAACTAATCTCAAACCAACCCGGAATATCTCTGAAGAACCTTTCATCTTCCAGCCACATGGATTCAAACCGCCAAGGCCTTTTGATTCTCCCAACATCTCCCCATTTAAGCATAAGCGGGTTATGATCAGAATCAAACCTCTCGAGGGCAGAAAGCGAGCAATCAGAATATAATATATCAAAGTCAACAGAGAGCAGAACCCGATCAATTCGAGAGAGAGAACCAGACCCAAATCCTCCACTTCTAGTAAATCTGCTCCCTCCCAAAGGAAGATCAATCAGGGCATTGTTGTCGATAAAGAGGTTGAATTCAGCCATAAGATCCGGGCTGCGCCTAACACCAATGTAATCTTCATGGCTTCTAACTAAGTTGAAATCGCCAGCAATACAGATCGGGCCATGAGCGTCTTGACAGAAGCCGTTGATCTCTTCAAGACAGTGATGACTCTGTAGAATCATTTCTGGACCAGCTTCGCCAATTACCTATCAGCACTCAGGGGTGTGTGAAGAATATGGCTGACGAGTCGATGGGTAAAACAGACAATGCAGTCGCTTGTCGGTCTGAATTTGAAATGACCGGGGCCATGAAAAAGAAGCAAGGACCCAGGATCTTTGCACGTTGAGCGAACGGCAGATTGGTTACAGCAAACTTCAGCAAATGTGGTTAAATTGTTGAATTCCACATTTCCACAGGTAAGGCTTTGCATTTTATAAATCAAAGTGCACCAAAAAATTTGTGGTCTACTTTTCTGTGTTTTGATAGTATCAACGTCTTTCTGTTGGTAGATTTGTGTTCATCCAGCTAAAAGGTTGAGACGGGGACTGCTGGCTGCCATAACAGCAATGCTATCAAGGTGCAGTTCTACTTTGAAGGAAAGTAGGTTGATGCTATTGGTAAGTTGATGGGTTATTCTTTGATTCTTGGAACTTTGAGTTGATTATGGAAGAGTGCATATGTTCATGGGTTGCACATCTGCCAGCTTTATTGGCTGTTTAAGTAAGATACATATTTGTTGATGACAATTGTGCAGGAGTGTCTCTTTGTCTTGGTTGTTGATGACTCTGAAGATATTGCTGCAGCTTCCCAGGAGTTCCTTCATCTATTATTTTCCACGCCATGTGGCAAGCACTCTCTAAAAACTGATATAGCTCAGATTTTTGCAAGGTCTGGATTTGGTATCAAAGGGTTTTATATTTCAATCTAGTTTGAACTCTATTTTACTCTATTTTCTTTGTTATGCCCTTTTCTTTACTAGGCTCATCGAAAAGCTTCCAAAAGTAGTACTTGGAGGCAAGGAGTTGGCTGCTCTCTTCCATGCACAACAGTTACTTGCTGTCATTTATTATTCCGGGCCTCGGTTTATGTTGGATCACCTCCAAAATCCGGTAGGTCGGAGCATGCATTTGTTTCTTCATCTCTAATGCTTCTTTATTTTGGCACCTCATCTTACGGCAAAGCCAAGATAATAACTTCTTTGCACCTTTGTGGGAGTGCCTAAAACATTTTGAATACTTCCCCACATGCTAAGAAAAACCTGGTGTGATGATCTCTTGTTTCTCTTTATTTCAATTGCTCTACAACAGAGTAGATGAAAGGTTAAAATCAATAAGGTGCTAGTTTCTTATAAATGACCTTATCTTTTCTGTACTGGTCTTCGTAGGTGACTGCAGCAAGACTCTTGGATGTTTTTGCCCTCTGTTTGGGTCAGAATTCTGTATATACAGGCGCTCTTGATAAGCTCATGTCGACATGCACATCCTCGATTAGTTTTCTTCCGTCTATTTTGGAGTTACAAGGTGGTCCTGTTTCTTATAGTTTCCAGAGTCTTAAGGATAATTCTCTTGCTAATGTGTCAGATATGAGTGTTAGTGACGGGGAAAGAGTGGAGTACTCTTCTGAAACTCTGAAGAGTAGTTATGGGCTTCCACGAATGCCACCTTGGTTTGTCCATGTTGGCCGTAAGAAGCTATACGATGCTCTGGCTGCAGTTCTCAGACTAGTAGGCTTATCCTTACTAGCAGGTAAATGCCGCTCTTGGTATATTTTTTGTTGCTTGAATTGAAGTTTTACTCTGCTTGGTGCTTACTTTGAGTTATACCCTCTTGTTGCTAGACATGTAGACTCAACTTGGCTTATGTCAGATTAGATGGAATAACTGTTTTATTACAAGCTTCTTAGTTTAGTTGGCGTCTTGTTGCACTTTGTTGTGTCATGTTGGCTATCAGGAGGAATAACCATTGTCTTACAAACCTCAATAGTGTAGTAACCACTAACCATGAGGCATTTATCTCCTTTTCTTGGCTGGTCATTTTTGTTCAGAAAAACTAGTTACGTTCATGGATTTAGAAATTCATTGTTTCACTCGGTTTGCTCCCACAGGCCGTGAGGAAATGCGCAAGTGTGATAGCCAACGTGGTGCAAATATGCGGAGGGGACTTCTTCTCACGCAGGTTCCACACCGACGGTCCATGCTTATGGAAGCTCCTCTCCTCATCTCCGTTCCAAAAGAAGCCCGTAAAAGAAGAACGAACACCGCTGCTCCTTCCTTACAGAAGCAATCCTTCCACAGATGAGTCGTCTTCCGTGGCAGAGATCTCAAACCTGAAGGTCCAGGTGACGGTGCTTAACATGATCTCCGACCTGGCACGGAACAAGAGGAGTTCCACGGCACTGGAGATAGTCCTGAAGAAGGTCAGCGGTCTAGTGGTGGGAATAGCTTGCAGCAGCGTGGCAGGGCTCCACGATGCCTCGATCAATGCCCTTCATGGACTTGCGTCAATGGACCCTGATCTTATATGGCTTCTGGTGGCCGATGTCTATTACTCTGTGAAGAAGGAAGGAGAAGTTACTCCTCCCCCTGGATCAGATTTTCCGGAGCTGTCTCGGCTACTGCGCCCACCGCAGAAAGATAAGTATTACCTTTATGTGCAGTATGGTGGACAAAGTTACGGGTTTGGGATCAACTTGGCCTCGGTAGAGAAAGTGTTCTTGAAATTACATTCCCTGGCTTTTCCTGACCAGCTGTATTTATGATCTGAAAATGGAGTGCACAATAACCAAATGTTAGTTATTTAAAGTGCCTTGACGAAGGAGTCGTGGACGTAGAGCCTCAAGGGAGCGAGATGAACGTTCTGATACAAGGAGTAGATCCGCCAGTGGTGGTGGAAGTCTCCGGCGGATAGATAATTGTTAGCGCGCCTGTTTGGTTCTCCGATCGTCTCCATCTGAGACTGAGAGTGAGAGTGAGAGGGAGAAATGGAGAGAATGGGTTGCTATCCGAAGATGAGATTTCAGAGACAGAGAGCAGCAATGGCGGACAGTAGGAATGGGATTGCTGCTACTCTTCTTGCTGTTCACTGCCGGCGAAGTGAAAAGCAGAGCGGGAAATGGGATGTAGCTGATAAACACTTGGCATCGTCCGAGGCGGTAAAAATGTTATTTCCAAAGCGATGAAGCTGCTGCGTCAGTTCCCCGGTGGGAACTTCCGAAGTGAAAAACAAGGCGATCCTGTTGAAGAAGTCCATCGCGCACTGAAACTTCCGAAGTCCGGGAATTGGCTGGCTAGCCAGTTTCCCTTTGAAAATGACGGATAGATTTGGCACCATTAATGAAGAGTTCGTCGAGGCAAATCCTTGCTGATAATCCAGTTTAATTAATTTTTTCTCGTTTGTAAGCGACCAACCCAAAGTGTGCCTTTTTTTCCCCCCCTTCTGTCTACCAAATCAACACCCACCATTACTATTGTTTGTATCTTTCCTAATTTCTTCCAGCTGCTTCACGGTGCCTCCTCATTATAAGAGAAGCTAGCTAGGAAACTGCCGGCAGATCAGCAACAACCAGATCGGTCTGGATTTTGGGTGGCCGGCCGGGGGGGATTTCAGGATGCAGAGAACCGTGCTGAAGGTGGATATTGCGTGCGTCAAATGCAAGAAGAAGCTCCTCAAAGCCGTTTCTGCTGTCCAAGGTATAACCTTTCTTCTTGAAGTCCTCGTTTTAATTTTCAACTAGCTAGTCGCTTTGGGATGAATCGCTGGCCACAAAACAACCTTATTAGCTTTTTTTTTTTTTAATAATGGTGAATTTCGTTACCAACTGAACATTGAATATTTTGGCGAGACTAGTACTAAGATGGGCAACAACCTTATTAGCTTGTTAAATGACTCTCCTTTTCCTAATTCTGATGGTATGTATGTATATTCCGACTATATATTCAGGCGTGGATAGGGTTGAGATTGATGAAACAAAGGGAACACTAACAGTGACGGGAAGTGGTGACCCGTACGAGGTAATTGTTCGGGCAAGGAAGACCGGAAAACACGTGGAAGTTGTGAGTATCGGGCCGCCGCCTCCTCCTCCGAAGCCACAGGCGGAGGGAGGACAACAACAACAACAACCAAAGAAGCCCGACGACAAGAAAGCACCTGCGGCTGGAGGAGGGGATGACAAGAAAGGAGGCGATCAGAAAAAAGGCGGCGGCGGCGGTGGGGGGCAGCCTAAAGAGGAGAAGCTGGGTGAGCAAAAGGGGCAGTTGGGGTGGCCGATTGTTCACCATCAGGATCCAAGTAACTATCCATACTATCAGCAAGTGGTAGTGGTTCCGATGCCCACATCCTATGATCCACACTATGATAACCATAACCCCTCTTGCTCTATCATGTAGAAAGATTTTTTTTTTTTAATATATATTCTGTTCTTTTAGTTCATTTTCTATAAACGATTGATTTCATTTTTCGTAGGTGTTACATATGTTATGGCATTGGTCCCTAATAACATATTAGAATTGTACTATGAAATGACATCCAATATTTAATATATATAGCAAAATCCCACTTACGGTTCACTAAGCCTGTGATTATTTTTAATTGTTAGTAAGTTACTGGGCCAAGGCTTGTGGATTTAGTGTGCTCAGAGGATTCTCTTTGGGTTATGGTTTGTTATCACTATAAGAATACAAGTATGGTAACCAAAGTCCAAGATATTATGAGGGTAGTATTGCGGTCGATACTCTCGCCCAAGAGGAAGACTCTTTGTGCTGGTCGGCGGCAGCAGATGGACGGTTCTCTACGAAGTCGACCTATGAGCTGCTGACGGCTCCTAACCTGCAGCCGAGGGATGAGATCTGGATGGTGATCTGGGGCTTGCCAGTGCCGGAGAGGATTAGGTGTTTAATTTGGTTGGCTATTCAGGGCAAGATAGCAACCAATGTTCTCCGAGCTCAGAGGAAGGGAGCAGATTCACCTATGTGTTTACGTTGCACAGGGCAGCCTGAGACGGTTCTTCGCATCCTGAGGGACTGCGCCTTTGCGCTTTTCTTCTGGTCCAGACTTGTGCCACAGCAGAAGCAACATGATTTCTTCAGCGCCCCTCACGAGAGTTGGTTCCGCATCAATCTCTTGAGCAAGGAGACGACCAGCTCAGGTATTAATTGGCCTGGTTTTTTCAGCATGGCTTGCTGGTTATTATGGAAAAACCGCACCACTATGGCGTTCAAGGGTCCTAGCGCAACTTTGACCGCTCCTTCGCTCTTGCACTCCATTATGGTTAAGAGCAAGCTTTGGAACGACTCCTAGCATGTCCCAGACCCCTTCTCCAACCACAAGAAGCAAGGGACGAAGCGGGTTATGGCGGATATCGGTTGGGCGCCCCCTGCGGAGGGTTGGGTTCTGGTGAACACGAATGGGGCTTCTAATGGTTATCCGGGACCAGCCGGTGCTGGTGGGGTGATTAGAGGACCGCTGGGTAACTGGTTGGGGGGTTTTGTGGCAGGTATTGGCTCGGCAACTGCCGTTTTGGCTGAACTGTGGGCTATATATTATGGTTTGGAGCTCACGTGGAAGCTCGGTCATCGGATGGTGAAGTTAATCCAAAACGTTTTGGTAAATAGATATAGAAGAATAAGGAGCTCTTGGACGATTTGTGATGTCCTGGGTCGTGAGAGTCTTGACCAGGCCCGGGCCAGGCCCTGTGCTGGTCTGACCCACAGCACAGGGCCTCAAAATATTTGGGGCCTCAAAGCCCATACCTAATACACATATATAATTTTTTTTAGGAAACGTAGAGGCCTCTGCTCCGCCTCTTAACTTCCCCTTCCCTTCCCAAAATCATCAATCATTTCCCCAGAAATCTCCTCCACTGCTCCGCCTCTTAATCTCCCCTTCCCTTCCCAAAATAATCAATCATTAATCCTTTCCCCAAAAATCTCACCTTCCCAAAAGATACCAACGTCACTAAACCAACGTTTCAATTCATAATCAATGTTTATTGCTTTATGTCTCTACTCTCTAATTCCTTCTCCTTAAAAACCGCCCAACCCAGATTCTTCCTCGCATTTTCATTCCTTTACGAAATCAATCACCTCCTGAAGCAGCCGATTAGCCGAAAATCAAAATCAATACGACAATCCCTTATTCCGCTCGCCTTCCCCTGGTTTCCACTTGGCGTCTTGGTGACTTCAGTCTTTACGCCGTCGCTCGGTAATTGCCAATCCGTAAGAATTCCTCTTGTCTTTTGTTGATTTTTAGCGTGCTGCCTCTGGAGAGTCGGTCCTCCGACGTCCCACCTTGATACTCTGCTTCTGCTTGAGAATGGCGAGTTTGGAGTCATGGAGTTGGAGAAGGAGAAGCAATGGGACCGCCGGGCCGACCAAAATCCGAATGGGCCTGGAGGTTGAAATTTGGAATGAATCCGAATGGGCTTGCACTGTAACCATTTACCAAATTTGTGTTTATTTTTTTGCAGGGTTTTGTTTTTGGAAGACTGGTCATTTGGGCGAGTGAATCTGCCTAATTTGTTTTGGGAAGAGTGGTCATGTATTCTAATCAAATTTATGTTTATTTTTTAGGGATTTTGCTTGGAAATTTGGATTAGTACTATTTGATTTTCGAGTGGTTATTGCCTGAGTGTAATCATTAATTTTTGGTAACAACTTTAATTATGTCAACTAGAAAATTTGAATAAGGTAGTTCTAACTTCTAAGCGTAAAAAAAAGCAGAGGATTGAGTTGTTAACTCATTTTTTGAACTTATGTATTTTTTTTATTTAATAATTTTTATTTTTAATAAATTTTACGGGAAAAAAATTTAGGGCCACATTTTTAATTTTGGAACAGGGCCTCCGAATATTATGGGACGGCCCTGGTCTTGACTGGTGTAAGAGAAGAGGAAAGTAGAAGAAGGAAGAGAGAGAGAAGGAAGTGAGAGAGGGAAAGTTTGTTGTATTAACCGAGATAGTCGTTCAGGTCGTTACAGATGGTATTATATACCCGTTAGCCAAATATCCAAATCAGTCACTATATTTCTACTATCTACAATTAAGACCATTTGTTACAACTCCTTCCCGCTTCAGAAACAACTTGACCTCAAGTTTGAAACTCTGTATAAGGTTTAGGCAGACAAAAGAAGTGACTGTACTTGGAGAATCTGTAAACTACAACAAACACCACCTCCTTCCCTTGAGACTTAGGAGAGCTTCTATGAAATCTATGGAAATATGTCTCCAGGCCTGGTCAGGAACTCGTAGATGCTGCAACTAACCTGGATATGACACATTCTCCACCTTGCATCTCTGACATATATCACACTCATGCACAAACTTCTTTAAGTCACTCTTAATCCCAGGCCACCAGAAATGCCGTTTAAGTCTTTGATAATTGGCTTGAAGACTTGAATGACCCCCAATTGGAGATTCATGGAATAATTGCATTAACTGCTGCCTCATGACCCCAGTAGACCCTACAAACAAGGATGCCTTATGATACAACAGCCCCATGTGTATTGAAAATATTGTAGGGCCCACCATTGGTACTGCAGCCTCCATAAGCAAGTCTTGAACCACTTGATCCCCTTCATAAGTGGCTTCAATCTCAGCTAACCAGGAAGACAGAACAACTGTAATGGCTTGGCATTTGCTGTGATTGCTAAACTGAGGGTGTCTAGATAAGGCATCTGCAACTTTATTAAACTTGCCTTGCCTGTACTGAATCTCAAAATCTAACCCCAACAATTTAACCAACATTTTCTTCGTATGAATTTTCAGCCCCAGCAAGTGCTTTAAGCTTTCATGATCAGTAAAAATAACAAACTGTCGCCCTTCCAAATAATGTCTCCACTTGGTGACAACAAGAATGACTGCCAAATACTCTTTCTCATAAGTGGAAAGACCCTGCTTCCTAGGCCCCAATGCCTGACTATGATAGGCTAAGGGTTTACTAGCTTGAGACAGGACTGCACCTATGCCAATATCACTGACATCTGTTTCCAGAACAAAATGTTGAGTAAAATCAGGTAAGGCCAACACTAGGGTCTGTACCATAGCCTTCTTTAATATGTGAAAAGCCCTTTCAGCTGCAGCGGACCATTGAAAACAATCTTTCCTCAATAAATCAGTCAAAGGCTTGGCCAGCACACTATAATTTCTCACAAACTTTCTATAGTACCCTGTTAACCCCAAGAACCCTCGTAGCTCCTTGATATTCTATGGAACAGGCCAAGAAATCATGGCCTCAATCTTGCTGGGATCTGTAGATACTCCTTCTTGATTGATTATATGGCCTAGATAGTCCACATGTGTTTGCCCAAAGGAACACTTGGAAGGTTTAGCAAACAAAGTGTTAGCTCGCAAGATGCCGAGAGTGATGGCCAAATGTTGCTTATGGCTTTCCTGATCTGGGCTCTATACCAAAATATCATCGAAAAAAACTAAGATGAACTGTCTCAAGTGGGGAGCAAAAATTTGGTTCATTAAAGCCTGGAATGTGGCTGGTGCATTTGTCAATCCAAAGGGCATCACCCTGAATTCATAGTGCCCTTGATGTGTCCTGAAAGCAGTCTTGTGCTGATCAGGAGGGTGCATCCTTATCTGGCGATAACCAGACAACAAGTCAAGCTTCGTGAAGTACTTAGACCCGCACAAATCATCTAGTAAATCATCAATCACGGGAATGGGGAACTTATCCTTGATAGTCAATGCATTTAACTGCCTGTAATCCACACAAAATCTCCACGAATCATCTTTCTTTAAGACTAACAACACTGGAGAAGCAAACGGATTGCGAGTGGTCTGTATATATTGAGCTTCCATCATCTCCTTCACTAACCTGTCCATTTCATTCTTCTAAGGTATAGAATATCGATAGGGCCTTAGGTTCACAGGCTGGGCATTTGGTTGAAGTGGAATGGTGTGGTCACATGATCTCACAGGTGGTAATCCTTTCGGTTTACCAAACACATCTTAAAACTCACTTACTACTGGTTCCAGGAAAACAGGAACCTTACCTGGGTTGGCCGTTTCCACAGATATACTGAATAGATGACCCACCAATGTGTCTTTGGTCTTCCTCAATAGCCTCTGAAGACTCTTGCCTGACATTGCCTTGCATTGAGCTATATCCTCCATGCCCTGTAACACCACTTCTTGCCCTTTCCAGTCACATATGCAGATTAATGAAATCAAACTTGACCGGACTGATAGTCTTTAGCCAATCCAATCCCAACACCACATCATTCGTACCCAGTAACACAGACTCAAAATACGCATGTCAAACACAAATTGCTGGTCCTGCATTTCCCAACAAAAATCCTTACACACCATGTTGCTAAACAAGACTGTCCCATCTGCTAACTTCAATCTCAGTGGAGTAGTAGCTTGAACCATTTTACATTTTAACTCAACAGTCTTCCTTTCACTTAGAAAGGTATGTGTACTACCTGTATCAATCAATACAAAGACCTTCTCCTTCTTGACTTTACCACGCACAATCAATGAATTCGATAAACCACCACTACTTAAAGCCTGCATAGAAACTTCTACCACTTCTGGTTGTTGAGGTTCTTCTATCAGATCACCCATGTCTTCCTCATCCATCACACTCCAATCTTCAGGAGCTAATACCTCCTCATCTTCAGCCTGTAGTACATTCAATTGCCTTCTAGTATCACACACATGCCCGAAATAATACTTGTCGCCACATTTATAACAAGCCCCCCTTGGCAAAGTTAGGTTTAGGACCATTGGTGGCAGACTGAGGAGCCTTAGTCCCATTGTTATTGCTACCAGAACGCCCCCCCAAACTCTCCCATCTACGAACTCCTTGAGTCTGTCCTGTCAGTGCCGTTGGAAGAGGTGGTCTGGTGATACTTCCAGAACCCATCCGCCACTTCTTCCTCCTTGCTTCATTAGAGGCCCCCTCCAGCTGTGCTAACTGAAAAGCATGAGCCATAGTCTGAGGTTGCCACATTTTAATCACCGGTCGGAGTTCTTCTTCTAACCCACTCACAAAGCTTGAAATGAAGTACTGCTTCCCCAAAGCTGGATTGTACCTCACCATCTGTGATTTAAGCTCTTCGAACTTCTCCTGATACTCCACTAACGAACCACGCTGCCTCAGTTAATTGAATTCACCTACGATACCCCCATATTCCCGATCTCCAAACCAATGACATAGATCTGCTACAAAGTCCTCTCAGATCCAATTCGGCCTATCGAATTTCCAGCCCTCGAACCATATATCTGGGCGTCTTTCGAAGTAAATCGACGCCATCCTTACCTTCTAATCATTGGGAATTTGGTAAATTTCAAACAATTTCTCGCCTTTGCGAGTCCAATCACGCAGATTATCACCCCCAAACATAGGAAAGTCCAATCGCGGTAATTGATTCGGAGCGTTACCTCGCGGTGGAACAGGAATCTGTTCTTACTCTACCTCGCGAACCTGAGGCGGAGGACCTCGATGCATCTGAATCTGCGGCTCTGCTAGACGAAAGTGGTGATTCGGCAACGACAGTAATCCCCTGTCCTCTTGACAAACCAATTGCGGATTTCCATCGCCGGCGACGAGAACCTCCGGTCGCTGCTGGACCACTTCTAACCTACGAAGGATCTCTTGAACGTTCTGTTGAAGCTGATCGAATTGAGCGAACCGAGTTGCTGCGGGGTCCTCCATTCTGTCCAAACGAGTAGTAAGCGTCGCGAACTGCTGAGAATGCCCCTCAGAGCGAGCCATTAGCTCGGTGAGCTGATTCGACTGCGGGCGATTCTGATCCTCCAAAGTAGCAATCTGAGCAGTGACGACATTTTCCACCTCCAGCGTGCGAGAAGAGAATGAGTTAAGGCGATCGTCGAGCTGTCGAACGGTAGTCACCATGGCCAAGACTAGCTCTGATACCAATTTGTGATGTCCTGGGTCGTGAGAGTCTTTGCTGGTGTAAGAGAAGAGGAAAGTAGAAGAAGGAAGATAGAGAGAGAAGGAAGTGAGAGAGGGAAAATTTGTTGTATTAACCGAGATAGCCGTTCAGGCCGTTACAGACAGTATTATGTACCCGTTAGCCAAATATCCAAATCAGTCACTACATTTCTACTATCTACAATTAAGACCATTTGTTACACTATTGTAGACAATTGCTCCTTTAATACCATAGATGCAATATTTTAATGGTCTTGTAGAAGTAACATTAAAACGTTATAACTTTTGGTCTCAAAACATCTTGTTCTCTTTCAGTTGAGCATTAAACAGACTGGATTTCACTTATCAGGTCATCAATTTAATTTGGTAAAGTTCTCTAAACCTTCCTATTGTGATTTCGACATACAAATCCTAAGATCAAAGGAACAATCTGGCAACAATCCCCAATTTCAATTGAGGTGCTGACTGCTGAGTGGTTACCTGGATTTTTTGATAATGATTTTGTTGCAAAATTCCCACCAAAATGGGCGGGCGGCCATGCTTGTTCGTTGGGCTAGCTCCTGGCCTGGAATGGGGTTGAAGGAGAAAGTTATTAGGCCCAAGTTTTTATTTATTTTTGTCGGTTAGGTCGATCCAGTATATCGGTTAACCCAATAACCCACAGAAGCCAAAAATATCTGAAAAACCCTTTCTCTACTCCAGCCTCTTCTTCTTTCTCAATCAACCGCCGTCTGCAGCTCTTCTCCGTCGCGTTCTGCAAGCGCCACTGTCACAAGGTATCACGGAGCGGCTTGCCGGTAAGCAAAAATGGCCGAGGAGAATGAGGAAGTGAAGACGTTCAAAGATTTGGGGATATGCGAGGAATTGGCGAACGCTTGCGACACATTGGGATGGAAAAACCCGACAAAGATACAGGTGGAATCTATCCCACATGCACTCGAAGGGAAAGACTTGATTGCCTTGGCACAAACGGGTTCCGGGAAGACGGGTGCTTTCGCTCTTCCCATAATCCAGTCGCTCCTGACCGAGGCCGCGAAGAAGAGGTCCGTTGGGGCGTTCTTCGCCTGCGTGCTGTCGCCCACGAGGGAGTTAGCTATTCAAATTTCCGAGCAGTTCGAAGCCTTGGGGTCTGCCATTGGTCTCAAATGTGCTGTGGTAAGCATTTTCTGATCAAATTAGTGCGCTCGGTGTTTTTTTTTTGGGTCAATATATTTTGGTGGCGGATTAATTAACTTATGATCCTACTGATTGCTTTCGGGTTCAGCTTGTTGGAGGAGTAGATATGGTGCAACAAGCTGTTTCTCTTGGAAAGCGGCCTCACATTGTCGTAAGTTCCTTGTCTGCTGTATTTGCATCTCCATTGCACTTTCATTCTCAGCAGAAGTTGAATATTTTGGGCTTGACTAGCGTATGCTGATTTAAGTTCATGGTGTTTCTCTTCCGTTTAGGATGCTAACTTCTATTTGTAGTTCTTTTAGTGCCCCTATAATGGGATTCAGCTCATTTCATTTTCAGGGAACTGCTTGGATTGAAATTTATTTGAATTCTTTTTGGGTTTTGTCGTAGGTTGGTACACCTGGGCGCCTTATGGATCATTTGACGAACACAAAAGGGTTCTCTCTTCGGACATTAAAGTATTTGGTATGTTATATTGAGGACTTTTTTATGAGTTTCTAGTAGATTTTAGAACTGTTGCCTTTTGTTTCAATTAATCTGGGTAATTTTTTGGCTACTGTACTGGTTGAGCAGGTCTTAGATGAAGCTGACAGGTTGCTAAATGAGGACTTTGAGAAGTCACTTGATGAGATTCTTAGTTCAATTCCGCAAGACCGGAAAACATACTTGTTTTCTGCTACTATGACTAAAAAGGTGCGTGAGTGGAATAGATTTATGACTTACGTGTGTTCCCTTTTATTACTGTCGGAGCATTATGTCGACTTGGGATACAGGGTGAGATTGCTTGCTTGCTGAAGATGTTTGAAATTTTGAGCAGTTTCTCTATTAAATATGCAGGTGAAGAAACTTCAGAGGGCTTGCTTGAAGAATCCCGTCAAGGTACATTATTAATTCTGGCAGTGATCGTAGTTTGCTCTATTTGGATTCCCTTGTTTTTCCATTCTTGTCATTATTACATGCATTACTTATATTCTTGTTCCAGATAGAAGCTGCATCTAAGTATTCTACTGTGGATACGCTGAAGCAGCAATATTGTTTTATTCCAGCCAAGCATAAGGTCTTTATTCGCCTCTTTTTTCTGGTGGCATATGTTACCTAGGTTTTAGTATCATTTGTCAGGAAATATCTGTTTGAAGTCTATGATGGACTAATATCCATGGTTCAATTTGTATCTTACCGTGCTCCCAGGATTGCTATCTTGTCTACATTTTGACTGAAATGTCTGGAAGTACTTCAATGGTATTCACTCGAACATGTGATGCAACTACATTGTTGGCTTTGGTTCTTAGAAATTTGGGTATGAGGGCCATCCCGATTAATGGCCACATGACACAGGTATGCTCTCCTTAATTGGTATTCTTTTGTACATGTTTGTTCCTCACCTTGCCTTAGTTCCGACCAGTTCCTTATTACAATTGGTAACTGGACTTGGTACTGGAAATCTCTTTAACAGTCCAAGAGACTTGGCGCCTTGAACAAGTTCAAAGCTGGAGAGTGCAATGTTCTTATATGCACCGACGTGGCTAGTAGAGGGCTAGACATTCCTTCAGTAGACATGGTTATTAATTATGACATCCCTACAAACTCAAAGGTGCATCTCAAGTTTTCATTTGACTGTAGGTAACTAAACATTCTGAGTGGCATAGTAGAGGCAAACTAACGCTTTTTGTTTGAACTAACAGGACTATATTCATCGGGTGGGGAGAACTGCTCGTGCAGGGCGGTCTGGGGTTGCAATCTCCCTAGTAAATCAGTATGAACTGGAGTGGTATATACAAATAGAGAAGCTTATCGGTACGCCATACATTTCAGTGTTTCTCTTCGGAAATAATTTTAAAGAAGTCAGGTTCGATATGCTTGAGTTGCTGAATGAGTGGTTTTGTGGCATATTGCAGGTAGAAAGTTGGATGAGTTTCCCGCTGTGAATGATGAGGTACTGTTGTTGCTCGAAAGAGTCACGGAAGCCAAAAGAATTTCCCAGATGGTATTTCAACTGTCTCCATTTTGCCTATTGTGTAGTATTAGTAGAATAGAGAAATGGGTGATAGCAGCAGAACGAGTGGGTTTTGGTAACTGACTTGCTCTCTCCGCCTTTGTACTGTACAGAAATTGAAAGAAAGTGGAGGCAACAGGAAGAGGCGGGGTGGAGGTGGAGGAGATGAGCAAGATGAGGAGGTTGAGAGATATCTAGGCGGCAAAGATAACCATCCCAGAAAATTTAAGAAGAACAAACGAGGATGAAAGGCTTCTGGAATGCAATCAAAGTTCAAATTATGTTCATTTTGAGTGAGAATTTTGATCTTTCGATGGTGTACATCCTAAACTTGTACCTCATTAGAGGCTTGTAACGTTACGAATTCTCTGATGTCTAAGTTGATGGATTCTTACAATCAAGTAATTTATGTATCTAGTATCTACTGGTATCAAGTGGATGTACTGTGAAGCATTCAAGCAGTTGACCTATTTCAGAAGACAAGGCCCCAATATATATACTTTTATTGCATAATTTCATTCCCTTAGTGATTATTTATTGAAGGATAACAGGGCATTGTTGGCTAGATTACACATTTACACTTTCATTTAATTAGTAATCATTAATTTTTAATTTTTGTTTCATCGTTGATTACTGTCTTTTAAATTTCATTGAATTTGTCCCAGGTGAGTGTGACAGTACAATTCTTGTTAAATTATTCGTTGTTATCAAAATTTGCCTAATGATTGTTTACCTGATATTTTTTTTATTGGGCCATTCACGAGGAAAATTTTCATTGGGCTAAACCCCCGCGTAACTGTAGCATAAACATAAGTGATAAGCCAACAGAAAGCCCGCGTAACTATAGGGTAAGCCGAGAGATGCTGGCTACCTGGCTCCGTTTCGGTGTCGCCTCGCCTTCGCGTAATTGCATCTCAAATTCCCAATTCCATCAATTCCGGCTAGAATCAGTCCCGGCGGCTGAAGTTCGCATTGTCGATAGCGAGGATTTCGACCAACGACCGATCAGCCTGAATTCTACCCATTTCCCCGCCGGGAGAATCTGGCAGTTGAGCTTTCCGAAGACAAAAGCAGCGGCACTTGTTGTTTGTTCGAGCTTCTCAGCTCTGCCTTCACCGCCTAAAGCACCTGCAGTTTAATGAAATTGACTCGGTTCTTCTTATCGGAACTCCGCGTCAGCTCCTATTCTTCAGGACGGTGTATCTATTTCAGCATAAACGCAGTTCAAAGAGTTCCCGATCTCTGCGTCCCGAGGTCAGCCGCCACCTGTTCGACGAAATGCCAGACTGAAGCCGAAGAGGAAGAAGTAGAAGAAGCACCGCCCAAGAACTCTGTAGAGGTTTTCAAGAGATGGGGATGCAAGGACAGCGATTTGGCCAAGATATTCTCTCGCAGGCCGGCTCTGCGAAACGCCAGCGTCGCCCTCCTCCACTCCAAATTAACTGTCCTCCAAAACCTGGGCTTAAACGCATCCCACCTTGTTCAGATCATCAACTGCCGCCCGCATTTCCTAAGCTACAGCATGAACGGTTCCTTCAATGAGCGCATGGAATACTTCGCGGAGTTGTTTGGGTCAAAGGAGATGGTTCTTAAAGCCATCGTGGGGAATCCCTCCTTGTTGAGATACGACCTCCACAACAAGATCAAACCCGTGGTCGCCTTGTACGATTCCATGGGTGTGAACAAACAAAGCTTCGCCCAAATGCTCATGTCTCGTCCTGCATTGATCGCGAGAACACAATTCGACGACGAGAAGATGGAGTTCATCCACAAAACCGGGGTCCCCCAAAGCTCAAAGCTTTACAAGTACATAGTCACAATCGTGGGCATTTCGAAAACAGAGACTCTGCTTGGCAAAGTTGCCAACTTGGAGAAGTTCGGGTTTCAAGAAGAAGAAGTCTGGCAACTCGTGGGGCGTTCGCCTTATCTGTTGACGTTGGCTGTCGATAAGGTCCAGCGGAACATGACTTACGTTGTGGGCACGTTGAAGCTTCCTGCGAGTGTTGTACTGAGTTACCCTGCGTTGATCTATGCTAGCCTGGAGGCGGTCATGAAACCTCGAGTTCTGCTTGCTGGGAAGATAGACGAGATGGGTCTCCAGCCAAAGATCGAAGGGCCGTCACTGTTGAAGGCCATCAAGATGAGCGAGAAGAGAATGATCAAGGTGTTTATTTCGTGTCATCCTGAGGATGTTGCCAAGGAGCTGATGGAGTATTATGAGAAGGCCAAAGGGCTGAAGAGATTAGCTCAGGCATCGAGAAAGGCTGTGAATCGGTGGTTCCCGTTTTGATTTGTTTGTGTTTTGGTATAGGCTTCTTGCACAAGCTTGATCATTCTCTTGCTAAGATGTTCGATACCATTGTTTTCCAGATCATATACATTCTGCAATTTGATATCCCCCAACTCCATTGTTGTAGTGTAATTTTGTGTAGCTTGTTCTTTGTTCTCGGGCACCATGTTTGTTTGGTATCTTGTAATAAAAAGAGGCCAGAATGGGGCTCAGAAGCAAGAACCGAGGCTCATAACTCCATCTGATTCTGTCCGTCCATTCAACTATTTTGGGCCCGGCCGGGCCGAAAGTCCACACCAATTTCAGACGGTAACGGGCTCCGGGCGCGAGCCTGTAATGAGAAAACCTGCGCCGGCGCCACTACCGTCGTCTAGACGTCTACAGCGACAATGGCTGGAGCCGGGAAGGACTCGCTAAATTGCGGCAAGCGGCACAAGCGGACAGAAGAGGAGCACAGTGGTCCCTTTTGTCATCTTTTGCCTTCACTCTCAACTCTCCCTCTCTCTCTCTCTCTCTCTCTCTCTACTGCACCGTGGGGCACTGACTCGGCTCTCTCTCTATCGACTTCTCATCTATTTCTATGGTCTGCGAATAAAATGGCTTCCAGCAGTATAGCCAGGACGATCCTTCTTGGTCAGCGCGTCACCCAATTCTGCTCCTCCTCTTCCTACGCTCCCCAGCGATTCGGTGCTCTCTTCAGCCTGAACTCCAAGGTAATTTGGATATCGTGGTCCTCTTTCAACTGCGATACCTATCCGGGGTCTTTGGTTTCTTCGTTATTTGCATATACTGCTGGATTTGGTTCTTCCATTCCTTGCCTCTTTCTTGTAGAGGTTTTGTTGCTCTTTCATTATGCTTACGGAAGGAAATCGGGGTCTCGAGCTGGTTCATGGAAAGTCGTTCTTCAACTGCTTGAAACGATTTCTAATCTGTTGAGATGATTGGGGTACGTTTAGTGATCAGGTTTCCATAAGACCGGTGTTTCAGTTCATGGTATAGTGGCTGTAGGGAAAATTGATTCGTTTCTGGTGTATGAGATGAAGGATGGAGACAGTTCATTTCTCTTGGTTGATCGTTCAGAATTTTGCTTGTGAACCTTTCCATTTTCATTTTCTTGCCAAGTCTTTCGTGGTTGATTTACCTTGCACAGTGGGGTTGATTGTCCTTGGCTTGAGGGTGTATTGCCCAAGCAAGTTTGCTGGCGCAGCATCATCTGTCCCTCTTTCACTTTGTGATCTTGATTGAATTTCTGTTGATTTTACTTATAGAAGGCGCAGCTTCACCAGTTTAGAATCCCCACCAGAACATCTTACAAGGCAACAAGTTGGGTTCCTCGTGCTATGGCTTACACGTTAGGAGGAAAAGCTACTTTCTCCACACAGTCGTTATCTACCAATGAACCTGTTATTTCTGTTGATTGGCTCCATTGCAACCTCAGGGAGCCTGGCATAAAGGTAGTTGGACAGAACGAGTTTTACAGTTTATGAGACCTTTTTATTTGTGGAAACTCGTAAATTTCTCTCTCCTTTTGTTAACTTCAGGTTCTTGATGCATCTTGGTATATGCCTGATGAGCAGAGGAACCCAATTCAGGAGTATCAGGTTCACTTAATCTTCATCACATCACCCCCCTCTTTCTTTCCTTTCTTTCTTTTTACGTTTTGCTAGATTATTGTAGAGAACAATTCTAAAACTTGACGTCTCTGTGTAATATCTTATTTGTTCAACAGGTTGCTCATATTCCAGGGGCTCTGTTCTTTGATGTGGACGGTATATCAGATCAAAATACAAATGTAAAATCCTTAATCTGTTTCATGAGCATCTGAAAATTTTAGCTAGGTTTATCTCATTTTTCTTGTACTTATCTGAGAAAGCTGTGTCCGTAACAGGTGCCACACATGTTGCCAAAGGAGGAAGCTTTTGCAGCTGCTGTTTCTTCTCTAGGAATTGAAAATAAAGACGGAGTGGTTGTATATGATGGGAAGGGGATTTTCAGTGCAGCTCGTGTCTGGTGGTAAGCTGTGTGGTATGGTTTTGTAGCTGTGATGTTTATTTCAAAACACTTGACTCTCCTTTCTTGAACTTGTTGTGAAGGATGTTCAGAGTTTTTGGACATGACAAAGTTTGGGTGTTAGATGGAGGCCTTCCTAGATGGCGTGCTTCAGGGTATGATGTTGAATCTAGTGCTTCTAGTGATGCCATCTTGAAAGCTAGTGCTGCTAGTGAAGCAATACAGAAAGTATATCGAGGCCAACCTGTAAGTGCATATGGTGTGTAGATCTACTGATAAACATGGCCTGTAGTTGATGTTCCTCTACAGACAACTTTTGTTTCGGTCATTCAAATGATTGGTTATGTTTCTCTAGATTTAGTGCTTCTAGTTGTTGATATCAGTGCTTGTCTCTTGTTTGTATGCATTGCAGGTAGGGCCAATAACATTTGAGACCAAGTTCTTGCCCCATCTTGTCTGGACTCTTGAACAGGTTGGTTGAATTCTTTCAGCTAGTTCCATCTCAGTGCAGCACTATTACAACTTCACCTATGTTGGTAGTGATACATCACATGTTGAAAGATACTAGTTGCATTTTATAGGTTCAGAAGAACATCGAGAATAAGACTTGCCAACAAATAGATGCCCGTTCAAAACCAAGGTATTCTTGCAACAATGTCTTTCCTGGTTATGGTATCTGTTCTGAGTGCTTCTGATTTTGAAGATTAATGCTTGAATAATGCTGTATCTTCATATCGGTCTTTATTAGTTGGTTGATGGACAGTTCCATTCTTTGCAGGTTCGATGGTGCTGCACCGGAACCACGAAAGGGTGTTCGAAGTGGTCATGTACCCGGAAGCAAGTGTATTCCTTTTCCTCAGGTAGAAGATAAAATGTTGGTCCATTGCTATTATCAGTAGATCTTAGGTACTGATTTTATCATGTCTTTATCATTTGTCATAATTGGGTACTTTTCCTGGCAGATGCTCGACTCATCACAAACTCTGTTACCAGCAGAGGAGTTAAAGAAACGATTTGATGAAGAAGGTCAGTTGTTGGGTTGTCCATGTTATGGTTTATCCTCTATCAATTGAGCCCTTTTGGTAATTTGTTTTGACTCTGAAGAGTGATAATCATAAAAAAAGGTTCACTGATCAAGACAACCTGTTCCCCATCTACAGGCATCTCTTTGGAAGCCCCAGTTGTCACCTCATGTGGAACCGGTGTAACTGCTTGCATCCTTGCTTTGGTAAATTTAAACTCTTTCCGTCTATGGTTCTTATGTCGTTATCTTTACTCAACCCATCTCTGAATCTGAATGTAGAGTGACTTGCCTAAGAACTGTAGAGTCCTTTTCCCATGCAATATACAGAAGAGAATTTCAGAAGCTATCTGTGTATGATTGGTTTATGATGCTGGTTGTGAATTGCAGGGTCTGCACCGACTTGGCAAACACGACGTGGCAGTTTACGATGGGTCTTGGACAGAATGGGGTGCTCATCCAGAGACACCTGTCGATACATTGTCGTAGGTCCTTACCCTTGCTGCTGTCCATGTCAAGGTGGTGGCGGGGAAGCTTTGCTAATTCTGCAACACACGTAACTGTAACCAACAGTGGTGTAATCCTAGAATGGTTGAACATTGAATGAATAGGGTTTTCTATGGTATGTTGTTGCCTATTTCCTTTTGGGTTCTTAGGCAAGTTATGCTGCATCTGACCTGAACCCTTCCTCAGTCTTTTACAAGTCTTTGACATTAAAAGTTCTAGGATTTTTTTTTTGTTTGATTCTCGTGAGCTGTGGAAATAAATGAAAGAGAAACATGGTGGTATTGAGTATCGTAGTGATAGGTGATAAATTGCACATATTTTGGTTGATGTAGTTCATAATTTGTTTTCTCCGTGATATAGATAGTGAGTAGTGAGAGTTGAACCAAATCCTAGCAAAATGGATGGGTTGGAGATTCTTCTTCCTAAATTATCTTAAATTTAGAGTTTGTAACACATTTATGTTAGACAAAGAAGACTGTAATTAAGTATTCTTACTTTGAGATTTCTAGAACACATTCTTAATTAACATATGATTATCGTGTATCTCATCCAAAACTCATTATGAAGAGGCGATAAGCTGCACAGTAGTTACCGATGTAATAAATCTAGAGAGTAATTAGTCAACTTCATCTAAAAAAAAGGAGGTCAAAGACCAATTGACGAAACCAAATACAACAAATAAATGGCCAAAAAAGGGGGGAAATAAAAAAAGCCAACAAAACACAAATACTAATCCAAAGCAATAAAAAGGGTGGAAATCAAAATAAGCCAACAAAACACAAATACTAATCCAAAGCAATAGAAAAAACCGCTCTAAGTATATTATAGTCCATGTTTTGGTCATCAAATTGAGAAACGAACCAAAAGACATGAAAACTCAGCAACTAAATTTTGAAAAAGTAAACATAATACGAAAAATAGGGAATGTATGAGGCCATTACTTGATCCTTTATCTTCGAGTTCAAAATTCACTCTTCTTAAAATACCTTTTTTGTTTTTGATTTTTTACTATTTTCTTATCACCTTTCCATAGCTTTAGCTATTTGCAAAAATTCTCCATTACCTATTGCTATTGCAAAAAAGAACCCGTCCTCTCTTTTCTTTTCCTTTCATTTCCTTCCCTCTTCTGCTTGTGAATCACAGGCAGATCCTAAAACATCAATTGGTCCTGTCCCTTCGTGACTCTTTAACTATGGCATCTGAAAGCATCCAAGAACATCCTCCAATGGCTTCTGACAAGCCTTCCCAAATCTCAGAACAATCACCACAAGACCAACAACAGCAACAACAATCGAGACCAGAAGCAGCACCCTCATCATCAACAACGAATGCAATAAATTCGGTCGATACAAATGCCCCCTCGAAGAATGAAGAACAACAGACTTCCTCCACCACCATTACCACCAAAGCTTCCCCACAAAAAGGAGAATCATTAACCACAAAAACAATGAATGCTGTGAATTCGTCCGATTCGAATCCTCCCACGAAGAAGATGGAAGAACTACAACAACAACAGCCATCCAAAGCTTCCTCACCAAAGGAAGCATCATCAACAACCACAACCGCAACCACAACAACAACAACCACAACTGCTGTGAATTCTTCAGACTCGAACTCTCCCCTAACAACAGAAGAACCCAATGGTCCTCCTCAACAGAAGAAGATTGAGGAACAACAACAACAACAACAGCCTGCTAAGGATGTTGCTGAAACGGAGACAAATCAAGCACAACCTCAACAGCAAAAACAAGGTGAAGAGAAGGTAAATGCTGCAAATTCTCCTTCAAAACAAGTGAAGGAACAACAGGAACCGCCATTGCAGCAAACATGTGCCAACAGTGTTGACATTGTAGATCATAGTAGTGTTGATGTTGTTGTTCCACCAACTCAACAACTACACAAACAAGAAGACGAAAAGGTGGCAGCAAAAGAGAATGAAGCTCAAGTGGAGAAACATCCCTCTGCCTCTGACATTGCAAAACTAGAAGAAGCAAATAAATCTGAGGAGCCCAAAGTGGGGAATGATGAGGTGAAGCAAAAAGAGGTGAAATTTGCTGATGGGATTGAGACCAAAGAAGAGAAATCTGAGGTTGAAGAGAGCTCTTCGTCTCGAGAACAAACCACTCTTCTCTCCGATTTGAAAGAGTACGAGCGCAAGGCATTGCTCGAGCTCAAATCCAAGATTGAAGAAGCCGTCCTTCTCAACAAATTCTTCGAGGACGATCAAACGATCGACCAGACCAAAGCTACCGATACCACCAATAACGAACAACAACAACCACCCTCTCAGGAGAGCCAAGACCTCAAGAAAGAAGGGGAAGAAAGTAGTGCACCAACATCACAAGAAGACGAGAAAATAACCGCAGATCAAGCCCCGGCCGTGAAGGAAAGTAAAGGGAAAGAGATCATGATCGATGATCAAAATGTCTCTAACGCTACTGCTGATGCAGAGCCAAAAACAGGGGGACAGAAGGAGGCAGAGGATTCCTCAAACGCAGAGGAAATGATGATGAAGAAGAAGGAAATGGGAATCATTGACAAAGAAATTTCACTGTGGGGTGCGCCACTGATGCCGAGCAAAGGCGAAGCGAGCACCGACGTGATTCTGCTGAAATTCCTGAGGGCCAGGGAGTTCAGAGTGGACGAGGCGTTCGAGATGCTGAAGAACACGTTGAAATGGAGGAAGGAGAACAACATGGATTCGATTCTGGAGGAACAAGATCCGCAGACGGATATTCTGGAACCGGTGGTGTACATGGAAGGCCGCGATCGAGAAGGGAACCCGATCTGTTATAACGTGTATGGATTGCTGGGATTCGATAAATCGGTGGATAAGTTGCTTGGGGATGAAGAGAAGAGGGAGAGGTTCCTGAGGTGGCGGATTAGGAAGATGGAGCAATCCGTGAAGGAGTTGGATTTCAACCCTGGTGGGAGCTGTGAGATTCTGCAGATTAATGATTTGAAGAACACTCCTCTGCCGAGTAAGAAGGAAGTCAGGCTGACTACCAGGAAAGTTGCTGAAACTCTTCAGGATAATTACCCTGAATTCGTTTCCAAAAACGTATGCCTTCTTCTGCTCTGTTTTTATCCCTTTTGTGTATGCCTGATCTGCTCTGCACTTACGCAAGCATTTCCTCCCCCCCCCCCCCCCCCCCCCCCCCCCCCCCCAAATCTGTTTGGTTTTTGTAGATATTCATCAATGTGCCATTGTGGTACTATGCCTTCAATACAGTTTTGTCTCCTTTCCTTACTCCAAGGACCAAGAACAAGTTCATCCAAGCCAGGACTTCCAAGGTGGCAGAGATCCTACTCAAGTAAGAACCCTGCTTACCCATTTTCTCCTATCTACAATTTGATCTGAATCTTACTGGCCATCGGTGTGATTTCCAGGTACATTGCGGCGGAGCAGCTCCCAGTCCGGTATGGCGGGCTGAAGATGGACAACGACCCGGATTTCGGGACGGAGGACGTGGCGGAGGAGACGTGGGTGAAGGCAGGATCGTCGGAGACCATCGAGATTCCAGCGCTAGAGGGAGGCAAGACGATGGTATGGGATCTCGCAGTGTCGGCCTGGGAAGTGAGCTACAAGGAGGAATTCGTACCCAGCAACGAGCGATCCTACACCGTAATAGTTCAGAAGATGAAGAAGATTGCCTGGCAGGAAGGCACGATTCGCAACTCGTTCAGGAATGGTGAGCCTGGCAAGATTCTGCTCACCATCGACAACCCATCGTTCAAGAAGAAGCGCATTCTTTATAGACACAAGGTCAAGAAAGTTTGACTTTGATGTTTCACTCATGATGACGAGTTTTAGCCTGGCTTTAAGCTAGAATACCAGTTGTTCATTGTTTCGTTGTAGATCTCTCGTTAAAGTTTTTGCAGATTCGTTGCTTTGTTTTCCATTGTTTCCTATTTTTAAGCAATAAACAGAAATGCATGTCGTTTTAGGAGGGTTGGTAAAGGTATGTTCGTAGTGTTCTTGAGCCTCTCTTTTGAGGTTCCTTTGTTTGTAGAGGTGCTGATCATCTTATCCAACATATTCTGAACAACAGATCGCGTGGCCTAATGGATAATGCGCTCCCCCTCAGGAGTGGAAGATTGTAGGTTAGAATCCCATCGTAATTAATTATACATTTTTTTGCAGCCTAGAAGCAAAAACCTTTTTTTTTTTTCAGGAGCAAATCTGGTCATATCATTGGATTAACAACATGAAAAATTCTTGAAATTGCATTACAAACTCAAACCCAAACATTTATAGTTTACCAGAAAGATTGCAGAATAACAGCTTGATCATCAAGTCATCTCTTAAACAAGAAAACCAATACAGGAGCTAAAGGCCTGTTTAACATCGGGAACTTGCATCAGCTCCATTCATCAGCAGGTAATCCTGAAGCAAAACCTTCAACAGCCTCCAATTCTTCCCTGCAAGTAATCAAAAACCAACAAAACAGAATAGAGATAATCACAGGTGGGTTAATAGTGTTCTTGATTTTGGAGCAGTAGCATGAGAAAAGTTACCTTCCACCAGGATGCCCTATGTAAACAACTAAGCTGATGAATCCTCTGGGGGCTAGAAGAATCCTCTTGGCTGCATCTAAGGCTAACCGGGTTGTTTGTGGAACAGTGATGATATTTTTGTTGCCCCCTGGAAGATAGCCCAGGTCGAATGCCACAAGCCTGCAGTAAAAGCTTACAAGATAAGTTAACCTTCTCAAACCTACTTTCAGTTGATAAGCTTTGATAATGCTAGCGGATTATTACCTAACTGGACTATTTTCTGGTACAATTTCTTCCATTCTACTGTGGCAGATGCCGGAAAGCTTGACAAGTTCCCTCTGCATGTTATTTGAGGATCAGTAAGCAATCATGGACTAGGTATATACCATAACAACGGGAACACATAGAGAAATTTGGTAATAAAAGGAACGCTTTTGGTACAACAATGGCTCTCTCTATTTGTTCAAAAACTTCAAAAACAACAGCAGAAATGGCAGCCAAAATATGTTGCTGTATTTGGCTTTAGCAGTGACAAGTCACTACAAGATTTCCATAAAGTTCAATGACAGTCTCCGAACCCTCGAATTGAAGAATCAATAGACAATAGTGTACCCACCTCCCTGGGACTGAGACTCTCATCAAGCAAAGACGAAGTAGTGTACAATTCAAAGCATTCTTCTGAATGTCCAGTCCATAGACACGCCCTCTGCCCGATTCGTCAGAAACCATTTTAACCATCTCTAGAGTGTCATGACCGTTTCCACAAGTGGCATCTACCACGGTATCCCCTGGCTGAACCACACGCCTCCATACCCTGAAGTCATCAGCCAGAGATGGATTAGACGCAATTACAAAGAGGTTCTTAAACATGGGACTCGAATACAGACCTGCATGGTTGTAAGTGCTGACAATTATTCATTACTCACAGTCCTGAATCACCTATGACGCAACCGATTCCGAGTCCTCACAGACAAGGAGAGAAGGAAGGTTGGCAAAAAGGGTAGAAGTTACCTACAAATGAGCCACTTCAGTTGCCTTCTTCTTCCCCAACAAATACCCAACGAGAACGTCGTCGACTCCTGTATGAAAGATTAAACAGTGCAGAAAAGAAACAAACTCATAAAGAAAAATAGCAACTTGGGCTCAACGCAGGCAACACCCGGAAGAGGATAATCGACGGCGGGAGCGGAGAAGCTTCGTTTCTTCAATGGCGCGGAAACGGAAATGGGGAGGCGGGAATCCAACAGCGATGCAGTAGTGGGAAGGAAAATCCTGGAATCGTAGCACCGATAACTGATTAGGGTTTTGTGAACAGTAGCGAAGCAGTGGCGAGAAGGGAAGCCGTAGCAGCAGCGCCTCAATCCTGACATTTCAGTTTCTTTGCCGCGCTGTATTTCCTGGCAGACGGCGCCAAGGTAAGCAACTCCCTTTATTCTATTGGGCCATGGCAGCGGGTTTGGCCAAAGATGCGGGCTGAGGCGAATGACGTCTTACTGGGGGCCCGTTGTGAACCAGTTGGTGTTAGTTATATTAGACGAGAAAACGTCATTGATGAAACTTGAAAGGGAGCAGAAGTATAACATAACCACATTGTAATTTGTTTGTAAGCTTGTTGCAGATTGCAAGTTGATACAGAGAGAAAATGGTCAAACTTCATTGAACTGAGAGAGAGAGAGAGAGAGAGAGAGAGACTGCCATTTAAAACGTGAATATTAGTCTTAATCTGTAGGCGAAGGGAGGCACCGACTCCATTGCTTTAATCAGAACCAACAAATGTGAAGGACTGCAATGCAATGGTCATGGAAGCCACAGCCACAGCCACAGATTATAATTTGTTACAACCCACCAACAACAAAGAACCAAAAACAGCACAATCAAATGCATAAGCTTTATGTTTTTTCCCGGGCCGACCATCTATCATTATTATTATTATTATTATTATTATTATTATTATTATTATTATTATTATTATTATTATTATTATTTCCAAGCCAAGTAAGCTCCCTTTCATTCCTTAGCTACCACCCTCAGTCTAGAGGATAAGCTTTGAGTTTTGAGAATGCTTTAATATGGTCCATCAGCATTCATATGACTATAGGAGTTGAACGACTCCACCATCACCAACCCAGTTTAAAAAAAATAAAATTGTGCAAGGGGTTGTTTCTTCGAAATATATGTGGTGAATGTGAGCTAAATGCTATTTATTAAATCTTTATCCTTAAATTAGGAAAATTTTGCTCGAAACTTCAAATAGAGTATTTATAATTAGCTATTAAACTCTCATAACACTAAATATATTGCAATGATGGTGCATATGCATTTATCATACAGTTGTGAATCAATATTTCTTTTCAATAAAATAAGAGACTTGCGATTTACATCTAAACGCAAATAATTTTTCGTTCAAAAAATTTATGTTTATAATTTGATTGAGATAGTGTGATTGTCAATCCATTGACGTTTCAAACATTAAATCATTTGAGTTTGGTGCAATGGATGGACCAAAGGGAATCCAAATGACAAATCCCAAGTTCAATCGAATCCCTTGTGGCCTAAGCTAATTGGGATTCAAGTTTACCTCTGCCCCCGGCCAAGGTTCAAGCAATTAACCCTAGAATAAGCAAAATCAATAAAGCAAACAAAACCTCCAAGTCCTCAAGCCAACCCATTAACTATACTTGTACTTAATTATTAGTCCTTTTCTTTTTTTTGTTGCAAGGTGTAAGCTGTTCACATGATCCAATGCCCTGCCATCTGCCCGTTTACCCATTTCATCACCACATAATCACAATCGTCCATAATCATACTGGTAAATTATTTGTGTGTATTTGGTTGTTTTGTGGTTATGTATAGTATAGGCAGGGGAATCATAGCATAGTCAATCTGCGAAGCTAACAGTGTAATAATTTGATTCTGAGTAAATATAAAAATGCGGCGGGAAGAAAGGCTTGCTTCCCCTTCTTGGCTTCTTGTGTGGTCTGGTCTGACCATTATGTTATAGGCTGAATCTAAATGGTACACAAAGTAGAATTCTTTATTCGCACAAATTGGGTTCGTTTTTTAATTTAAAATAATAAGTCCCTGGAAATTGATTATTGGATCTAAAAAAGAATAAGCAAAAATGCCGATGGGAGGTGGGAAGGGAAGTAAACAAGACAAAATAAACAACGGGAGCCAGAGAGAGAGAGAGAGAGAGAGAGAGAGAGAGGGCGGAACGTCGATGATAAAGATGGAAAGCGAGAGGGGGAAGGAAGAATGGTTTTGAAAGATTTGAACCCACCACCACCTTGTTTATTGTCTTCGTCCCAATCCCTCCTTCCAAACTGTAATTTGCTTAAATTTCATTCACCCGCCTCCCTCAAATCCCCTCTCGAAACCCTGAACCTTACTTTGTCTCCTCCTCGAATTGCCATTTTCCATTCTCCAGGTAAGCTACCCACTGCCCACAATTCCTTTCTGTCTAAATCTGAGAGACTCCGTCGATTCAAGCTTGTCCATCTGCTGATTTGCAGGCATTTTTCTTTGATCTGTGTGTAAAGTTCGCTGCTTTTCTTTAACTCTGAATCAAGCTTCGTTGGTTTGCTGTTACTTTTCGTCCTTCTGATATCGCTGCTGAGCTTCAAAATCTGCAGCAGCCTAACTCATTTTCTACTGCTGGGATTCGCCTATCAGTGATGCCTTTGTTTTCAATCTTATTTCCACTAGATTGTTTTTTGCTGGTAGTGGCATGGTTTAACCAAACGGAATTTGAACTTAGCTCTTTCTTCTTCATCCTTTCATTTGGAGAAGATGCATGCCTGTGCTTGTAATCTTTCCTAGTTCTATTGATGATTCAGCTGCTTTAGATGTTTGTAGGGTTTAAAGGTCGTTCATTTCTTGAAGAGTATCGATTTCCATGTTAGTCTGGAACATAACAAGTGTGATAGTGGTCAGTATTACAAGCTGCAACCAGGTTCAAAACATAAGGCAGATTACAAATCAGATGTGCCATCTATGTTTTTCCTTTAGGTAGAGTCTCTTGCCTACCAAAACTATCTCAGTGGGCTGGAGTTAGATGGTGGAAGGATTCACTGAAACCTATAAAGATTTTCATATGGAAGATTAGTAGCCAGAACCAGAAAGTTATGTAATTGCTGTAGTTGGTTTGACCTTTTGCTAATTTATTGCTCTTAAAAGTTCCAACTTCCAACTATGGTTGCATGCTTTCTTCTGCGAATTCTATGTCAGAGTTCCAACTGTAGCTTGCTTTGACGGGCAGAAGCTAGTTTTTTTTAGCAATTTGATCCTTTTGATGGAATGTTCTATTGCAGATATAGTTGGTGGACTTTTTGCTGTACATGAATGTATGCACTTAGTATGAAGCGCTCTTTTTTGGTTTGTGTGGGATCTGCTTTACCTTCTCTATTCTCACTTCGTGTTGCTTTTACAGGATGTATTAGAAAAATTTAATGCCGGTCAAGGATTACTGGATTTGATACCCGATTGAGTTTGTTATTGTCTACCTCAGCTGCATAATTTTGTGATTAGGCATTTATGCCGTGGACACTCAGTATGCACAGCTGAATTGAGTTGACTGAATTCTCAAATATCGTGATGGAGCAGTCCGGTGTCCATCACCAATACGATCCCAGGGAACATGGACTGGAAGGTTTCCACCCTTCATCCCAAGCATTTACCGTGGACTCTACAATCAGTGGACTTCCACACTTGATACTGCACCCTGACCAAAATCTGTCTGAAGTTAAACCCGTACGTAATTTCTCAATACAGACTGGGGAGGAATTCGCCCTGGAATTCATGCGTGACCGAGTTAATCCCAAGAATTCTTTGTTCCCAAACAGCGGTGCTGAGCCCAACTATGCAACAGGTTATATGGAACTGAAGGGCATTCTAGGCATAAGTCATACAGGATCAGAAAGTGGATCCGATATATCTATGGTCACCATTGTTGAGAAAGGTAAAGAATTTGAGAGAGCAAACTCTTCTTTACTTGAAGACAGAAGCATGTATGGTTCAGTTCGGTCTATACCACGGTCTCATTCGGGCTATGATAGCAGAGGAACTCTAAATGGTTATCCATCTTCTGGAGCTTCTGGTTCATTGACCAAGATGAGAGTCCTCTGTAGCTTTGGTGGTAAAATCCTACCCCGTCCTAGTGATGGAAAGCTAAGGTATGTCGGAGGTGAGACACGAATTATACGCATAAGTAGGGATGTTTCTTTCCAAGAGCTGAGGCATAAAACTTTGGCCATTTATAGCGAGGCTCATGTGATAAAGTACCAACTTCCTGGTGAAGATCTTGATGCATTAGTTTCCGTTTCATGCGATGAGGATCTGCAGAATATGATGGAGGAATGGAGTGAGGTTGAGGATAAAGAAGGGTCTCAGAAGCTAAGGATGTTCTTGTTCTCCAGGAGTGATTTGGATGAGTCTCAGTTTGGGATAGGAAGCACGGAAGGTGAGTCTGAGATTCAATTTGTGGTTGCTATAAATGGAATGGACATTGGATCAAGAAAAGGTTCAGCTTTGCAAGGCTTGGGGAGCTCTTCTGGGAATAATTTAGACGAGCAGGATAGGTTAAATGGTGACGTGGAGGCTAATAGAAGTGTTCCACCTATCGCATCTTCTACGCCAGTAATTCAAAGCTCTTCCCTTGAGTATGAAGCTCCTCCTCAGTTTTATCCCGTTCACATGGCGAATCATGGAGAAAGCCAGATGCCTTTGCACTATCGAAATGGTTCATCTAATTACTCTCAGTTTGGAGAAACTCCTTATCCAATGCCATTCTATGGAGTCTTGCCCAATGCACAAGGAGGGGTGAATGAAGGATGGCCATATGGAAACTTTCAAGTGCCAAACTCACATGTTCTAGTAAATGAGGCGAATATGAAGCCTGATGGCTATATTCAGCAGGACTCTGACTTGCTGCAAAGAACCTCTTACCCTGCTCCTGTCGATGAAGCACAGGCTGCAGCGACTAATAATTTACATTCTGTCAGTTCCAGAAATGAGGGAGCGACACAGGAACCGGAAAACAAGGCTAGGGGTGAAGATGCTCAATGTCTTCCAACATCTAGTGCTGCTGCTGCTGCTGGTCCTTCTGTTTCGGATCCTGTTGACTTGAGTTATCTCGAGTCAACCATTCCTCCACAAAGAGTGTACTTTTCTGAGAGACTACCGAGGGAACAATCGGGCTTGTTCAGTAGGTTATCTAAATCTGATGACTCCCTTGGTCCACAGATTCTTGGTTCTCATTCACGTCCTGGTATTCCCGAGCATGATTCAGTTGCAGAATCTGTTGAAAAGTTGGGTCAAAGTAATCAAACTTCTCATGATGAACACTCCAATGCTGATGGGAAAACCCTGCACGTAGAAGAGCCTGGAAATGGTAGGCTTCAGGATTCTGAAGATCTGTTGCAAAACAAAGAGGCTGTTACAGACGCCAAACAAGTGGATATTGTGGTCAATATTGATGACAGATTCCCTCAGGATTTCCTTTCCGAGTTGTTTTCCAATAATACCCCTGGCATTGCTCCAATGCACAAAGATGGAGCTGGTGGTGTGAGTGTGAACATGGAGAATCGTGAGCCTAGACGGTGGTCTTACTTCCAGAAGTTGGCACAAGAAGAATTTATTGTGACGGATGTTTCCCTTATGGACCAAGACCATCTCCCTGCTCCATCAACAAAAATCGAAGGGGAAAATATCGAGTCTCGCCAGTTTGCACCTTTGACAGCAGATGTAGTTTCAATTGGGCAAGATTACTCCCAACTCAATTTTGGTGAAGAAAGTCGGAGTAATTTGCCACCTAGGGTCACTGAAGCTTCTGATAATGTATCGGACTATGATCATCCCCAGGCGAAGGAAATTGACAGCATGCAGTTTGAGGTCATGATTGAGAATCTAAAACCTGAATCTGAATACGAGGTAACTTTTCCTCCCTGTCATATTGAATATAAGTACGTTTTATTGGACAAAATTGAAAAAAGAACTCATTCCTCAGCTCGCTTACTGGAGTTTTGTTTCCATCTGATGCTTTGTAGGATCTGAATTTGGAAAACAAGGATATCGGTCTTCCTCCTGTGAACCCTTCTCTAGCGGATATCGATTTTAGTTCTTTGCAGGTATCTTTTCCGCGTTTATTAATAAAAATGTTTTCTGCAAACCAAGTTGAGTTTCTTTTTTCTTCTTTACGCTTTTGGTATGTTAGAGAACAAGATCGGGCTATTGCTTTTCGTTTGCTTCAAACTCATACTAGAACTCTATATATGCTTTTGACATTGCAATTTGATAAAATGTATGTTCATGGTGGGGGAAAAAACTTGGCATCAATTCATCTTTATCTGGACTCACATTTCAGATAATAAAGAATGAAGATCTAGAAGAACTAAAAGAACTTGGTTCGGGTACTTTTGGGACAGTCTACCATGGAAAATGGAGAGGGAGTGATGTTGCCATTAAGAGGCTGAAGAAAACCTGTTTCACGGGTCGCTCATCAGAGCAACAAAGACTGGTAATAGTTGTAGGAATCATTCCATTATTCTTCTTCTCTGGTTATCGTGAACTTTTATGCTTGATATCAATATCGGTCTCTGTATTGTTGTTGTTGTTGTTAGACTCTAGAGTTCTGGCATGAAGCCGAAATTCTTTCGAAGCTGCATCACCCAAATGTGGTGGCATTTTATGGCGTCGTTCAAGATGGTCCCGGGGGAACATTAGCTACTGTGACCGAATACATGGTTGATGGGTCTCTTAGGCATGTTTTACTCCGAAAGGACAGGTTAGTTGACTTTCATCTAGTTTGAAGGAGTTTGGCATTCTTCAGATTATGGACATTAGGAGATTGAGTAGGTTAGATAGTTGTACGTTCTTAGGGGTAGATATCATATTTTTTGTGAATCAAGTCTGTTTATGTCCCACTGAATCTTAACATGTAGGTATCTAGACCGACGCAAGAGGCTTCTAATTGCTATGGATGCTGCATTTGGAATGGAGTATCTACACTCAAAGAACATTGTGCATTTTGATCTAAAATGTGATAACTTGCTAGTCAATATGAAAGATCCACAACGACCAATTTGCAAAGTAAGTGCTGAAGAAGAAAAGACTAATCGTTAAAAACTTGAGTGAATTTTGTAAAGCATTCTAACATTAATACACGAAACCAGGTTGGTGACTTCGGACTCTCGAAAATCAAAAGAAACACCTTGGTCTCCGGAGGCGTGCGAGGGACTTTACCGTGGATGGCCCCTGAACTGCTAAACGGCGGCAGCAATAAGGTCTCCGAAAAGGTAAACCAACTTTTTCATTGAACTTTGATTACCTTTTTGTAGGAAGTCTAATTATATCTCTATATATGTTTTCCTCAGGTTGATGTGTTCTCTTTTGGGATTGTGTTATGGGAGATACTTACTGGAGAAGAGCCCTATGCTAACATGCATTACGGTGCGATCATAGGTATGGTTTAGTTCTACAAACCATGATAATTCATGTCGAGTAGTTTCAGTATTTGGTGATACGTTTGCTGTTGTCAAGCTCGAGAGTTTACAAAAAAAAAAAAAAAAAAAAAATACTACGAGGATCCTAATCCTGAGATGGAATCGTGAACCCTTTACATTTTAGTGTCCTATAGTATAACCATGAATATTAACTACCCTCAGGTGCGAATGAAATAAGATTAGTGATATGAACTGGGATTTGAACAACAGTTGGTTTAGATCTGGTGTGAATGATTTGGTAATGACGCAGGAGGAATTGTGAACAACACTCTAAGGCCAACGATCCCGAGCTTCTGCGATCCAGAATGGAGGAGGTTGATGGAGCTGTGTTGGGCACCAAATCCTGCAGCAAGGCCCAACTTCACTGAGATTGCTGGGCAGTTGAGAACAATGTCAGCTGCAGCTGCTAGCCAAAGTAAAGGACATGGTGGTCACAAACCACCAAAGTAAATGGGCATGTCCCATTTATTGTGTACTCCACTTTCAAGAAAAAAAGGTTCCCCCTACTTTATTATTTTAGCTGTTATGGTAAGGTGATTCATTTTGAGTTTGATAGTCTGGTAATGGAAGAGTAAAAGAGGGAGGACAGGGCTTCTTCCATTGATGTTTTTAAAATGGAATAGGATGTTCTCCCTGAACTCCATTGATGTTTTAGAAAAATGCAACCAGTTCATTTCTATTTAGTCCAACTTCTGAAAGCAATAATGCAGCAAACTCGCATCGGTGGTTGATTCAAGATATTTGGTTTAGGCTGATGGTCACTACGAACTTCATTTTCATTATATACTCTAATGAGTTGTTGATTCAAGATATTTATGGGTTAATTGCATGTTTGGTCATTGATATTACAAAAAACGTTTAAGTTTGGTCACTCGAAATATTTGAATCCATTGGTGGTACTTCAGTTTACTGAAATCGTTCACGTTTGGTCACTCTCCTTCCAACTCCGTTAACTTTTGCTTACGTGATGGTCAACTCTAAAAGTTGATCGTTAAATAGATGACGTGACGATTAAAAACATTTTTATTTTTATTTTTTCAATTGCCACCCCATTTTTAGAATAAATTAAAATAAATAAAATAATTATAATTACCGAACTTATATCTCACCTCCATGATTTCCACTTCCCTGCTGGATAGCAGAAGTTTGCGACGGCAGTGCGAGCGAAGCTCAAATCAGATGACCTTCCCAAACTGTCTCCCGCTTCTTTTGTCGCGTCAGATGGGCATCACTACTGTGTCGTTTTGATTGGCTTCCCACTTCCATGATTTCCACTTCATGGCGAAGCGATTCAAGAAATTCGCATATGGGATTTCGGATCTGGTGGTCGGGAAGTTGAGGGGGATACCGGGTCGGTCTCCACGAAGCTAACCACGGGCAAAAGGAGACGGCAAGGGCATTTTTTTGAGGAACGTGAATCATACGCATAGGAAGCTAAGGATCGACGGGAGCTTCTCCTGGAGGAAGTTCCGACAGTTTAAGGTTCCAGTTTTGGCCGGGATCGCCTCGGGAACGTGGTTTCTCGATCATCGTCGATACCTCCACCACGTCGATTTCTGAATCTCCCATTGCCGCGTCGATTTGCATAATGGGAAGGTGAAGCCGGCCGTTGAAATCAAATCGACGTGGGTTTAGGTACTCATTTACCAATTCACCCCTGCTGGTGGAGGAAGCCCTCTGTGGAAAGCTCTTAGATCTGTCCAGAATTGACTCTTATCTAATGAAGTTGTTCGAGGTGGAAGCCTACAAGGTGTGGGCCGCCATGGAGCTTGGAGCACGAGCATGAGGTTCGGGGGCGAAGAGGGAGATGGAAGCGGCGGAGCTCCGGCGTTGCACCAATCTCTAGTGAAAAAATCAATATGCTACTTACCCATTGATGCCCTTGTCGTCATATGCTTGCTCAGACGTTGTATTATTTCCTTTTTCTTTTTTTTTTGTTGTTCTTCTTATGGTTGAAACGAGATAAAGAGGAAGCCCATGAATTAGGTGGAGGAAGATCTTATTGAGTTGTTGTCGTCCCTTGTATTTGTGGCGAAGAAATTTATTGTCCAATTCAATCCACTTTGGAAATAGAGAAGTGAGTATCCAAACAAATACGCTACTGCAAGAATAGCGATGTGCCGGGAACTGGAATCAGCGGCGGCCGACGACGGCTTGGCGATGAGGAGCTAGCGGGCGAAGGTCCGAATTAGCGGGCTTTTGGCTTTCCTTTTATCTTTATTTTCTAGTTTTATTTTCTAAAGTTGAGAAAAAATAAGGTGTAAATTAAAAATATTTTATTTTTATTTTGTAATAGCCACGTCACTCATCTAACGGTCAACTTTTAAAGTTGACCGCCACATAAGCAAAAGTTAACGGAGTTGGACGGAGAGTGACCAAACGTGAACAGTTTCAGTAAACTGAAGAATCACCAATGAATTTAAATATTTTGAGTGATCAAACTTGAACGTTTTTTGTAATCTCAGTGACCAATCATGCAATTAACCAGGTATTTATCATGGGGATTGCTATTCATCGCCCTAAAAATCCTTATTCGTCGCCCTAACTTAATTAATTTTACTCTAATGCCCTCAATTCATTTATTTGTATTTTAAACGCATAAACCCATAACCAAATGATGAACTAACAAATCAATTCTACGGATAAATCCAAAATCAAAACTAGTACCATATACTGATTACAATTGTTCTTCTGCGAGTCTGCGACAATAAGAAATGACCAAATCACCTCACTATATCCATAATTTTTTATGAATCACTGTATCCATAATCATGGAATTGGCCCTTATTTCATTTATTCTGCGACAACTCGATCTGTCTAGCTGGGTTGGGTTAACACACAAGAACTTCACAAGGACTTTGATCCCAGACTCAGCGAGAGAGAACTGAAACAGAAATCTGGAAGGAAGCAAAGAGACGACGGCCGGGGAAAATTCCCTTAATTTCCCGATTCTTCTTCTTCTTGTCTCTCCGGCGGACGACAGGGGAAGTAGTAGCAGCAGAAAGTTAGGTGGTTCATGGCGGAGCTGAAGCAAAGAGTTGGCGTCTTTCAGTCCGAAGCGGGTCATGGCGGAGCTGAGGCACTAGAGCTCGCTCGGCGCCAGAGCTACAGCTACTTCGTCTATGTTGTAGGGGTGAGTGTCCAATTTTTCTGCCCAGATGTAGGGGCGGGGGTCGGGTTTGGAGTGAGATCATGAGATTTAGAGATTGTTTGTTTAGTGTTCAGTTAGAAATTAGGGCTAAAAATAAATGTGTCAACTTAATGTGTTTTAGGGCGATAAAATTTAAATATTAAGGCGACGAATAGCAATTCAGTTTATCATTCATACATCCATTTGTAAACTTTCGACAATGCTCAGAAGTCAGAACATAAAAACAGAGTCCTGAAAACAAGGGCAAGTTCGATCTTATTGCATTACCCATACAATAAATCATCCTAACATACGAAGAAAGAAAGAATTTTCAGTTTTTCGACATGACAGAGACCCGAACAAAGGAAGAACCAGCTGAAGAAGCACTATGAGGATGAACTTGCCAAGCTGAAGCCAGCATAATCGGCCTACCTTTCCAACCCAAAAGCAAGAAACCTTTCTCGCTCGCCAGAGTATACCCATCGCACCCGTAAACCGAGAGCATCATCCTCGCTTGACTCATACACTTCAACCCTGCCGCCTGGAACCCAGCTCTCCCCAGCTGCCTTCGCCACTGATCCGCCCGCTCGTGCCTATCGACGCGATCCGAACCCTCATAGGCCACAATGTTCTTAATCTCTTCCGCGAAATGGTACTTCTCCATCCTCACCCTCTGCACGCTGTTCCGCTGCAAACTCGCCTCCAGGGAATCGAAAATGGCAGAGTAGTAATGCAGAGAGTCCAGGAACCTCTCCAGAAAGAAGGGCCCATTGTGGACTTGTGGTTCGCGTCTTGCTCGACGACGGTAAGCAAAGCGGGACCCAGTTTCTTGATAGCCTGAAGGATTGCTTTGAGTGAGCCTCTGCTTTCTTTAAAGAACTTGTGGAGATTCATGACGCTGTTGACGAACAGAGCTTCCCCTGTTTCTAAACCAATCTTTTCTGGAGTGAAGAGGGCAGGGGAGACAGAGTCGGATATTATGTTGAATTCGAATTCGGGGATTCCGAGGGATTGTGCCTCAATAGTTAAGGATTTCATCCTGGAATCCAATTCCATGATTGATTTCCGATTCCCCGGATTGTTGGTTAATCCAGTGATTTTGATTTTCTTCGGAGGTCCTTCTGCTCTGGAAGCGAGGGTTCTGAGGAGCGAAGGCCATTGAAGGGTATGGAACATGCCGAGGTCAATGATGTGGAGGAATTCTTTTCCCTGAGCTGCCTGTGAGATGGCTTCGTTTGCGGCCATGAACCCGAAGGCGACGTAAGGAGTGGTCTGGTGGAGGAGGTGGAAGGCTTCGATTCTCTCATACCAGGTCAATATATCGCACAAAAGTCAATATATCGCATAAATATCACGATAAATCGATTTATCGTGATATCTCGTCAATTTCAATTTCTCGTCAAATTATCGCGTTTCTATTTTGGTTTTGAGGACTAGAAACGTTTCGCGTTTCGATCGATTCTGGTGCCCGTTTCTCCGATCTGCAGGGCTTTCCTGTTTTCGCCGGCCTACCCCTACCTTGCTTACGAAACGGCAGGCCACTTTTAGTTCTTTGGGCCTTCGGATAAGTAGAGAAAAAGGTATTCGGACCCTTTGTCTAACGAGAGCCCAGATTTACCAGGCCGTCCGCCTACCTCCCGATCCAAACGCTGCTGGGGTTTTCGTTCCTGTGGGCCTTCGATTAAATTAATGAAGAATCCTTTCTGGTCCGTTTCGCCCGTTTCTGATACCCGTTTCGCTATTTTGTTCGGGTTTCCCGTTTTCGCCAGCCGTAGGCCTGCCCTCCCCCACGAAACGCCATCGGTTTATCAAACTTATGGGCCTTCTATTCTGTTAAATAGAGAAGAAGTGTTCTGCGCTTTTGTCAAACGAAAGCCCAGTTTATCCGTACGTACGTCTACCCCCTCCCAAACCGGCGGCGGATTATTTCTTCCTGTGAGCCTTCAATTTAATGAAAGCCTTGAATTTAAATAAAGAATAATTGGTTTTAGTTTTGGAACGCGAATCGCTGGTTTTCCCGGCAGCAAGACTTCTTTCCCCGGCCAACGGCGAGGACGGCAGGCGGCTTCTGCCGGAGTTGAAGAATGGCTGTAAGATCGAATTGCTGTTGATGTTGAATGTGTGGGTAAAGCTTAGGGCTTCTACGAGTCAGGAGCGGATTTATTCCGGGTCAATTTTTGGCAAATTCCAAAAGGGTACCATCTTGGAGCGATTTTCCGAAATGCCATTTTTCTTTCGATTCTTGAGCCTTCAAATCATGGGATCTGGCCGAAGCTATTCTCTACCGATAAATAAGTCTATTGATACTATTCTTCACGAACGATAAGTCCATTTAACACCGATTTCGGCCAATTTATTTTCGGATGACATTTTCGTAATTTTGTGGTCGACGAAAGACCATTTTCTTTGGATTTTGAAGTCTACAGATCACGGATTCAGCCTGAGACTATTCTTCAATGATGATTAAGTCCATTAAGCACCGATTTGGGATAATTTATTCCGTGTCAATTTTTTGCAGATTGCAAAGGTGTACCATCACAGATTTGGGCGATTGTTCTGAAATGCCATTTTCTTTCGATTCTGGAGGCTACAGATCCCAGAATTAGGGCGAGGCTATTCTCCATCGATAATAAAGTCTATTGATCCTATTCTCCACGGATGATAAGTCCATTAAGCATTGATTTGGGCTAATTAATTTTCGGATGACATTTTCGTAATTTTGTGGACGTCGAAAGGCCATTTTCTTTGGATTTTTTAGGCTGCAGATCACAGATTTGGCCCGAGGCTATTCTTCATCGATGATTAAGTCCATTAAGCACAGATTTGGGCGGATTTATTTCGGGTCAATTTTTGGCTGAATGCAAAGGGGTACTATCACAGATTTTGGGCGATTTTTTTGAAATGCCATTTTCTTTCTACTCTCGAGACTATAGATCACGGAATCAGGCCGAGGTTATTCTCCACCTATTATGAAGTCTATTGATCCTATTCACCACGGATGATAAGTCCATTAAGCACCGATTTGGGCCAATTTATCATCGGATGGCATTTTCGTAATTTTTTGGGAGACGAAAGGTCATTTTGTTTGGATTTTGAAAGATACAGATCACAGGTTCGGCCCGAGGCTATTCTTCAACTATGATTAAGTCCATTAAGCACCGATTTGGACGGATTTATTCCGGATCAATTTTAGGCCGATTCCAAAGGGTACCATTACATATTTTTGGCGATTTTTGCGAAATGTCATTTACTTTCGATTCTGGAGGCTACAGATCACAGAATCAGGCCAAGTCTACTCTCCATCGATAATGAAGTCTATTGATCCTATTCTCCACGGATGATAAGTCCATTAAGAACCGATTTGGGCAAATTTATTTTCGGATGACATTTTCGTAATTTTTTGGGCGTCGAAAGGCCATTTTCTTTGGATTTTGAAGGCTACAGATCACGGATTCACCCTAAGGCTATTCTTCAACGATGATTAAGTCCATTAAGCACCGATTTGGGCGGATTTATTTCGGGTTAATTTTTGGCAGATTCCAAAGGGGTACCATCACAGATTTAGGGCGATTTTTCCGAAATGTCATTTTCTTTCGATTCTGGAAGCTGCAGATCATTGAATTAGGCTGAGTCTATTCTCCACCGATAATGAAGTATATTGATCCTATTCTCCACGGAAGATAAGTCCATTAACCACCGATTTGGGGCAATTTATTTTTGGATGGAATTTTCGCAATTTTTTGGGCGACGAAAAGCCATTTTCTTTGGATTTTGAAGGATACAGATCACAGATTCAGCCTGAGGCTATTCTTCAATGATTATTATGTCCATTAAGCGCCCATTTGGGCAAATTTATTTTGGTCGAATTTTTTGCAGATTCCAAAGGGGTACCATCACAGATTTCTGGCGATTTTTCCGAAATGTCAGTTTTTCTATTCTGGAGGTTGCAGATCATTGAATCAGGCTGAGGCTATTCTCCACCGATAATGAAGTCTATTGATCCTATTCTCCACGGATGATAAGTTCATTAAGCACCAATTTGGGCCAATTTATTTTTGGATGGCATTTTCGTAATTTTTTGGGCAACGAAAAGCCATTTTCTTTGGATTTTGAAGGCTACAGATCATGGATTCGACCTGAGGCTATTCTTCAACGATGATTAAGTCCATTAAGCGCCGATTTGGGTCGATTTATTCCGGGTTAATTTTTGGCAGATTCCAAAGGGGTACCATCACAGATTTCGTGCAATTTTTCCAAAATGTCATTTTCTTTCGATTCTGGAGGCTGCATATCACGGAATCAGGCCGAGGCTATTCTTCACCGATAATGAAGCCTATTGATCCTATTCTCCACAAATGATAAGTCCATTAAGCACCAATTTGGGCCAATTTATTTTCGGATGACATTTTCGTAATTTTAGGGCGACGAAATGACATTTTCTTTGGATTTGGTAGGCTACAGATCACGGAGTCGGCCTGAAGCTATTCTTCAACGATGATTATGTCCATTAAGCGCCGATTTGGCAGGATTTATTCCGTGTCAATTTTTGGTTGATTCCAAAGGGGTACCATCACAGATTTCGGGCGATTTTTCCGAAATATAATTTTCTTTCAATTTTGGAAGCTGCAGATCACGGAATTAGGCCGAGTCTATTCTCCACCGATAATGAAGTCCATTGATCCTATTCTCCACAAATGATAAGTCCATTAAGCACCAATTTGGGCCAATTTATTTTCTAATGGCATTTTCGTAATTTTTTTGGCGACGAAAGGCCATTTTATTTTGATTTGGAAGGCTGCAGATCACGGATTCGGCCTGAAGCTAATCTTCAACGATGATTAAGTCCATTAAGCGCCGATTTTGGAGGATTTAATCCGGTTAAATTTTTGGCAGATTCCGAAGGGGTACCATCACAGATTTAGGGCGATTTTTCCGAAATGCCATTTTCTTTCGATTCTTGAGGCTGCAGATCACGGAATCAGGCCGATGCTATTCTCCACCGATAATGAAGTATATTGTTCCTATTCTCCACGGAAGATAAGTCCATTAACCACCGATTTGGGGCAATTTTTTTTCGGATGGCATTTTCGTAATTTGTTGGGCGACGAAAGGCCATTTTCTTTGGATTTTGAAGGCTACCGATCACGGATTCGGCTTGAAGCTATTTTTCAACGATGATTATGTCCATTAAGCGCCGATTTGGGAGGATTTATTCCGGGTAAATTTTTGCCTGATTCCAAAGCGGTACCATCACAGATTTAGGGCGATTTTTAGGAAATGCCATTTTCTTTCGATTCTGGAGGCTGCAAATCACGGAATCAGGCTTAGGCTATTCTCCATCGATAATGAAGTATATTAATCCTATTCTCCACGGAAGATAATTCCATTAACCACTGATTTGGAGCAATTAGTTTTTGGATGGAATTTTCGTAATTTTTTAGGCGAGGAAAGACCATCTTCTTTTGATTTTGAAGGATACAGATCATGGATTCAACGATGATTAAGTCCATTAAGCGCCAATTTGGATGGATTTATTCCGGGTTAATATTTGGCAGACTCCAAACGGGTACCATCACAGATTTCGGGCGATTTTTCCGAAATATCATTTTCTTTCAATTTTGGAAGCTACAGATCACAGAATTAGGCCGAGTCTATTCTCCACCGATAATGAAGTCTATTGATCCTATTCTCCACGGATGGTAAGTCCATTAAGCACCAATTTGGGCGAATTTATTTTTGGAAGGCAATTTCGTAATTTTTTTGGCGACGAAAGGCCATTTTCTTTGGATTTGGAAGGCTACAGTTCGCGGATTCGGCCTGAAGCTATTCTTCAACGATGATTATGTCCATTAAGCGCTGATTTTGGAGGATTTAATCGGGGTCAATTTTAGGCAGATTCCAAATGGGTACCATCACAGATTTAGGGCGATTTTTCTGAAATACAAATTTCTTTCGATTCTGGAGGCTGCAGATCACGGAATCAGGCCGAGGCTATTCTTCACCGATAATGAAGTATATTGATCCTATTCACCTCGGATGATAAGTCCATTAAGCACCGATTTGGGACAATTTAATTTGGGATGGAATTTTTGTAATTTTTAGACGACGAAAGGCTATTTTCATTGCATTTTGAATGCTACAGATCACGGATTCGGCCTAAGGCTATTCTTCAACTATGATTAAGTCCATTAAGCGCCGATTTGGGCCGATTTATTTTCGGATGGCATTTTGAAGGCTACAGAACCCGGATTCGGCCTGATGCTATTCTTCAACGATGACTATGTCCATGTAGCGTTGATTTAGGAGGATTTATTCCGGGTCATTTTTTGGCAGATTCCAAAGGTGTACCATCACAGATTTCGGGCTGTTTTTCTGAAATGTCATTTTCTTTCGATTATGGAGTCTACAGATCCTAGAATCAGGCCGTGGCTATTCTCCATCGACAATGAAGTCTATTGATCCTATTCTCCATGGATGATTAATCCATTAAACACCGATTTGGGCCAATTTTTTTTGGATGGCATTTTCGTATTTTTTTGGTCGACTAAATGACATTTTCTTTGGATTTGGTAGGCTACAGATCACGGATTCGGCCTGAAACTATTCTTCAACGATGATTATGTCCATTAAGCGCAGATTTGGGAGGATTTATTCCGGGTCAATTTTGGCAGATTTCAAAGGGGTACCATCACAGATTTAGGGCGATTTTTCCGAAATGCCATTTTCTTTCGATTCTTGAGGCTGCAGATCACGGAATCAGGCCAGGGCTATTAATGGACTTAATCGACGTTGAAGAATAGCCTCAGGCCGAATCCGTGATCAGTAGCCTTCACAAACCAATGGAAAAGGGCCTTTCGAAAAAAATCCCCCAAGATATTACGATAATGCCATCCGAAAATAAATTCGCCCAAATCGGTGCTTAATGGGCTTCATCATCCTTGGAGAATTGGATCAATAGACTTCATTATATGTGGAGAATAGCCTCGGGCTGAATCCGTGATCTGTAGCCTCCAAAATAGAGAGAAAATGGCATTTCGGAAAAATCGCCCCAAATCTTTGATGCTACCCCTTTGCAATCTGCCAAAAATGGACCCGGAAGAAATCCGCCCAAATCAGTCCTGAATGGACTTAATCGACGTTGAAGAATAGCCTCAGGCCGAATCCGTGATCAGTAGCCTTCAAAAACCAATGGAAAAGGGCCTTTCGAAAAAAATCCCCCAAGATATTACGATAATGCCATCCGAAAATAAATTAGCCCAAATCGGTGCTTAATGGGCTTCATCATCCTGGGAGAATTGGATCAATAGACTTCATTATATGTGGAGAATAGCTCGGGCTGAATCTGTGATCTGTAGCCTCCAAAATAGAGAGAAAATGGCATTTCGGAAGAATCACCCGAAATGTGTGATCGTACCCCTTTCCAATATGCCAAAAATGGACCCGGAAGAAATCCGCCCAAATCGGTCCTTAATGGACTTAATCGACGTTGAAGAATAGCCTCAGGCCGAATCCGTGATCAGTAGCCTTCAAAAACCAATGGAAAAGGGCCTTTCGAAAAAAATCCCCCAAGATATTACGATAATGCCATCCAAAAATAAATTCGCCCAAATCGGTGCTTAATGGGCTTCATCATCCTTGGAGAATTGGATCAATAGACTTCATTATATGTGGAGAATAGCCTCGGGCTGAATCCGTGATCTGTAGCCTCCAAAATAGAGAGAAAATGGCATTTCGGAAAAATCGCCCGAAATCTGTAATGGTACCCCTTTGCGATCTGCCAAAAATGGACCCGGAAGAAATCCGCCCAAATCGGTCCTTAATGGACTTAATCGACGTTGAAGAATAGCCTCAGGCCAA